CACTTCATGGACGAGAGGAAGAGTTTGACACCGCGGACTCCCCCTCCCACTCGCCTGTCTCACCCCTCCGTGGTCCTCCTGCGCATGACGCCTTTCCTGCCGGGGGCGGAGAGAAAGCCAGTGCCGCAAGAACCTTTGCCAGTGGGCATTTCCTTTTCCCTGTCTCTCCAAAGCAGGCGGAAGTCGGTGTCCGTCGCCTTTCGCCAATGACATTGCCACGGGCGGCCGACTCGGTCCAATCTGCAACTGAAAACCTCTAAGGAGTGGCCGCGTGGATGCCCCGTGATGAGTAACGACACGCATACATGGTGGCAAGGCCGGCATCGACGGAGTCCAAGGTGCCCCCCATCCACGCACCCCCTGCAGTGGCTGTCGCCCGTTCGTCACTACCATGCGCGAAAACGCACTGTGATGATCCACGCCAACGCTCGGTCCGCCTTTGACTCTGGAGCTCCCGTGAGAGGAGGGAACACGGGGCACATGCAGGGCTGTGCGGGCGTGGACGATGAGGAGCCGCGACTTTGTGGAGCCCAGATGATGGCCAGCCCATGGCATGGCTCCATGGTTTGGGAACTCGCTGATGAAGGGGATGGCTGTCGGGACTTCACACCCCCTGCGTGTGACGGGTCGAGGCCTCGCCATCGGTCAAGCCCAGCGAGAAAGAGGGCAAAATTTTGGCTTGGGACCAAATACTCAAATTTCACCGCCGTCAGGTCTCAAAGCAAGAGACGCTATTGGGATCGGGTGCCCCCTCCCCGTCTCTCTCTTGTCTCGCCACCGGATGAAATTGGGTGGCCGTCTTGACGATCAAGCTAGTAGACTCTCTGTCCATGGAAGAGGCTCGTGGCGTGCCCATGACGACAAATAGCTTCGTGCCCACCTCGACACCTGTGTGCGGATTGGGCGCGGACGAGGCAGCTGTTGGTTGCTGGGCCGCCAGCTACTATCCAGGGGAGGGAGAAGGAGGGGGCAGAGGGGGCAACAGGTTTTTTTTGGCCTTTGTTGTGGTGCTGGTCAGAGCGCCGCGTTGGCTGAAGTCTGCAATCTGAGCAGGGTGAGCCCGTTGTTGTGTTCCCCGCCTCCCCCCCGGCTGGCACGCTGCGTGCTCCTCATGCAGCAAGAAAGTACGGGGTGTGTTTGGGCCGCGGTCGAATGGACGGGCTCGTGACGTCGATGATGATGAAGGGTGGTGCCCCTGGTGTTACAACTTGCGGTAGTAGCATCTCATCCCGGTGATGCTCCGTACTGTACAGGCATTCGCGCCCTCCGAGTACGAAGGAAAGGGAGTTGTCACTTGATCAGGTGGGTGGGTTACTTTGGTAAAGAGGCGGCATCCTGGAGCTGCAGGCCAGCGTTTTCCTCGGCGAGCCGTCGTCAGATGGGGAGTGGCGGCTTTCGGACTCCTTGGGACCGTGGACGCGTCGTTGTCGCGCAGTCAGCTCGTGATTGATTTTTCAGACACGGCCACGGTACGATGGGCCCAGATCAGTGTTTAAAACTCACCGTCTGGCTCCATGCTCTGGGCTGGATTGAAATTTTGCGACATCTACTGTCTTGCCTACGGCTGGTTTTATGCGCAAGTTGCTGGCCGGGTCACGACGGAGGAGACATGGCGTCGACACTGCGCGCTGAGGGTACGGTCTTGAGCCCGCTCGCGCAGATCCCCCAGGCCCCAGATCCCTCAGTCATCACCAGCCTCGTATTCTCGTTCTCCCTTGACAACTCTCTTTCTGATGCTGTATCCTCGCTGGGCCTCAGAGAGCATGGCTTGCACGAAACTGATTCCGTCCTCCCGCATACAATGATACCAGACGCAGACAAGCAGACACTCGTCGATCAACACGCAACTGTCGTTCGTGCACACGCCCCGCGAAGCGGTTGGGTTGGTGGCTCTCCAGACCCGTCTGTTGCGTTGCTGCTGGCCGCAAGTTCTGGCCTCGTTTTTTTAATTTTTCTCTCCGCTGCGGGAGCGGCTCGCGCCGAAGTGTGCCCCCTTTTTTTCCCGTCCCGCGCCGTTCCCACGTTTTTTTGCTCTGTTATGTTGCGGCCCCCCGGCCTGTGCTGTTATGTTATGTCTGTTCTGTGTAGCGTGGTGTTGCATCTGCGTGTGTGTGTGGCAGTGTGCCTGTGTGTGAGTGTGTGTTTGTCGATTCTCCTCGGTGCCGCTGGGCTGAGCTGGGCTGAGAGCCGTGTTGGGGAGAGTCCTAACAAGCCTGTTCTGTTCCCGGCCCCCTTGAGGCGGTACAGCAGTACTACTGTGCAGCAGTGCGGTGCAGTTACTGACACACTCCGACGCCGTTGTGTTGTGTCTGTTCCTGGTTGGCATGGCATGGCGTGACATGGCATGTGTGTTTGCTGTAGGCCTCTCACTTCCCCATCTCGCGCCATGACAATTCTCCGTCGTGAGCTTAATTTTTCTCCGGCTGGCTGGATCCCCTTTTTTTGCCGGTTGTGTCTTTCTGTTGTGTTGCTCGCTGTCGTTCTCTCTCTGTGGGCGAACTGCCGCGCCCTGTGTCTAAGGGAGGGGGGAGGGGAGCGGAGGGCAAGGGCCCAACGCCAACAAGTGCAGTGCAGTGCAGTGCCTTCCCACGCCCCCGTGCCCTGACGAGAACGTGTGAGGCAGGGAATGCGGCTAAGTTATGTGACTTGTTGCTGTTGGCGGCGGCTGCGAGGAGAAGATGGAAGGGAAGGGGGAAGTGAAGGAGAAGGGCGTTTAGGTGCGACGTTGTGCCTCGATGGGTTGGGGCCGGCCGCGCCGGCCGGCACTGCTTGCTGCTGGTGTTGCTGCCCTACCCGCTTGCGGTTGCTTTGCCCTCACCTCCAAGTATGTTGGAGAGGCGCACACACGTTGCTCAACGCTTGTACTGTACTCCGTACTTCGTACAGACCGCATCCATGCTCTGTGCGAGGTGTATGGCTCGCCTCGCTCGTGCGAGGAGTTGGACCGACCTTTTCTGACAGATGGATCCGTGTGCGTGCGTGCCTTGCATAGGGCGAGACTGGAGACCGTTGCTCACGGGTACGACACCGCGCCTCCCTTTCCAGCCTTGCGCTGCTGTGACCCCTTTTTCTTGGCCCTCCCGTTCCACGGCCGCAACCAGAGAAGATCGCAGTTTTCGGACATCTCTTTTGCTGTTTGTTTCAGGCCGACTCCTGAAAATATTTGAGGGTGGTGAGGAGGGTCGCTGTTGCAGGCGCTTGCTTCCTTGTTTGTTTGGCTGCGACTGGCGAGGCTGCTGCTGAGCTGCTGGTTGTGCCTTCACGCGCCGCTTCCTGCGGCCCCCAACGAGGCGGGTGTGCGACCACACTCATCAATCAGCTCCAAACGTCCTCCCTCTTTGCGAATCCCTCTTGCGCGCGCCGGATTTGATGCCGTGGTGTTGCCATGTTGCTACGGGGTATTTCAAATTCTTTTCCCGTTCTGGGGGTTGGTGCTGTGGTGCTCTCGCGCCCCCTCTTTTTTTTTGATGCGGAGAGATATTCGGACATCAACTTTTTGGTCTTCTAGGGAAAGGGGGGAGCTCACTCGCAAATGGACTAAAAGGGTGGAACCAGTCCTTCTCTAAGCTTGCGGAGATGCGCAGCACGCGGGGGTAGTATATTTACTTCACGGGGAAGTCGACGTCCCAACGATGGACCACGAGCGCAGGGTATGTGAGATGGAAGCCCCCTTGTATGACCACATCACATTGCCCGCCAGCACAGAACGGGGAAGCCGCGAATCATCAGCTACATCGACAAGACTGGTGTAGAAATGCATCGTTCACGCGTGCGTAGTTCTGTATCAATGCTCTGGGATATATCTAGGAAGTGTGGTGGCACCGCGGACGAGGAGGCGTAGAGCCTTAGTCTCGTATGGCATGCGCACGATTGCACGAAGTAGAGGTGGCTGGACGAGCGAAACAAATGGGACTGTGCGTCTAAGTCATGGCTAGATCATGGAGTTGTAGCCTGGGTGATTCCCGGGATGAGGAAAGATGTGCGGAGATGACACCAGTCGGAAGAAAGGTGCTAGAGCGACATTCTATGAGCCGTCTAGGAGTAGAAAATTGTCACCAGACCTTGATTGTGCCGCCTTTCTGTGATGTAACTTCAAGGTATAGTGCTGTAACATTCCAGAAGGCCGACATGGACAGAGTCTTGTATGTATCGACATGCAAAAAGGGGCATCAGGGCGGTAGTGGCCATGCGAAGTTGGCAGTCGCGTCCATTCGGTCTCCCTAATCGAGACCCCCAGATGAGTATACTATGAGCACGACCAACTAAAAAGAAAGCGAGGAATCAATACGTTGGTCACGGGGACTTTGCAGACAGTCTTTCGTCTCACGCGTAGGCCTTTGCTATTTGATGACCGCCCAAACCAAGATGCCATCGTCGCAGACAGGCGTGTGTAGGCGAGCCGTGGCGAAGAACACGAGCGGAATAGCACGACGCGACAAATCACCAAGGAGCAGGGTTCGAGAAAAGACAGGAAAGGCAGGCAGTCATTAAACATTCCGAGTGTGAATTCGTTACAACACTATCAAGGCCCCCTGAATGTACACGTCAAACGCCAGCTGTGCTCTCATATCATATCACCAGTTCTCCTGAATATCACTCCCTCCCATCCCAGTCACCATGAACGAAACTTGCGGGCGGCATCAAAGGGTTGCCGCCGCGGGGCCCGACTCTTCTTCATAAACACGCCGCCTTGGGCGGCCAAGATTTTTCAACCGCTTGCACCAAACCTCCTTATAAGATCGCAACACCAACAGCGCTGCTGCTCCACGCTCGCATGATTATGTAGGCACTGCCGGAGCCGCTCTCAACCGTGCCGCGCGCGATGGTATATGGTCCTGCTGTTGGACATACGGCCATGTCCTGCACGCGGCCGTGCTTCTCACACTCCCCCTCCCTTGCGTCATAACATGGCGCAGAAGAGCTTCCTTGGTGGCCGCCAAGTAGTTGAAATTCGAAGCGAGCTCCCAAAGATACTCGCCGTTGTGCATGCCGACGACACTCTACGCCCCTTCGAGCGGGGGCACAAACGAGTAGTTAAAGTCAAGAAGCCCATCCAGCATCCAATGCTGGGGATCAAAGAAGTCGTAATTCGTCTCGCCATAGCTCATCCCGCCTCCGATCATGCTGTTGGGGCCGGAGGCGGCCGCCGAGAGCGCGGCGGCGCTCGGCGTCAGCGCTCCGTTCGTGCCCAGCAGCGTGTTGGAAGTGGGCGGAATGTGCGATGGCATGAGCGTGCTATCAAGTTGAGACGAAGACGCCGAGGACTCGTTGGCCGAGTCGGGATTCGTCGGTTGCTTAGTATCTGTAGGGACCCGGTCAGCCGTGGTTCTGGTGTTCGGCGCAAAAACGTTCCCCCCTGGCGCTTTTGAGCGCTCAAGGGTTCGGGCGCGGCCGAACTCACTCTCCAACGAACCTCTGCCTTGTGATTGATACTCCTCGCGCCATCGCCATACCGAGTCGAATACCAGACTCATGCTGTGTCGACAGCGGACCTTGAGTTGGAGGCTATCATCCACCTGGATTGCCGAGTCATCTTCGCGGTTCCAGGCCGCGTTCCGGCTGTCGAGGCGAGCTCCGTTCCACATCTGCACCATGAGCTCGGCTAGGCGCCATTGCAGGTCGTTGTTGACCACGCTCGTTGCCCGAATCGCTCGGATGGAGTGGTGGAAAAGGCTGCGGCCCCGGTCAAAGTCAATCGTCTTGCAAAAGAAAGACCTCATGAGCTTGAGCAGTGTAAAGGCCGCCGCGACCAGCATCTGCTGCAGGTAGTTGGTCGCGTAGAGAAGGATGGTACCGCCGAGGCCATCGCGGGGAGACGTCACCTTGTCCACCTCGAGGAGCTCGTCGAGAAAGCTGGTCGCCGCGCGCCAGAGACCCATCAAATCGTCCATGTAACCGGGCGTCTTGCTCGAGTCGAAGAATCCCGCCAGACGCATATGCAAGGCCGCGGCCCGCAAGTGCAGGTTCACAATGGGACCTAATTGCTGGGACAGAACCGAGGCCTGCATCTCGCCATAGTCGCGGCGGTAGACGCGCATCAGCATGGCTCGGTGCTCGTCTCCTGCGACTCCGCGCGGATCGCTGGCGTTGCTGTACATCTCCTTGGAGACCTTGTCGCAAAATCGCTCGATCTGCAGGCGCGCCTCCAAGTCCCTGGAGAGGTGCAGGGCAGGGTCGTCGCCCGGCCTAAGGGCGAGGGTCCAGTCGTACAGACTTGAGGCGGGCTGGCCGTAGCCGGTTCCGACATTTTGCGCGACAATATTGCACACGGCCCAGGTGGTCACGCGATCGTGCAGCTGCTCCTTGTTAAGTTCGACAGAGACGCGCGAGAAGTCCCGGATGTGGTTGGGACGGTGCAGGCCGATGCCAGTAGCCGTCTTCATCATGACGCCGCACAAGATATGCGTTGGATCTGACGTCGTGGTGCTCGTGGGCAACGGCCAGGTGCAGAGAAGGCACATGGCCTTGACGACGTGATAGTTGCTCGGTACCTCGCCGATTGTGGTCCAAAGGAACCGCGTCATGGGACCGGAGAGGTTCGTGAGGAGATTAGGGCAGTCGGCCGGGCTGAAGCGGCGCGCGGCGACGGCTATTATGGACCAAAATAAAAGAGGATGCTGTTGCTTGTACTGATCCGGAGGCTGCTGAGGGCTGAGGAACGGAAGAAACGGATGATAAAAGGCGAAAAACTCGTTGAAGAGATGTGTAACGTTGTTGTCGGTGAGGCGCACGCCCTCGAGCTCGTGGGAGTAGTGCTGCTGCACGTTATAGGAGCCTCCCCTCTTCAGGTGAAGAAGCGACGAGACGGCCTCGTCGGAGCCCATGAGGGACGGGTTGCGGGTATGCGTGTAGGGCGCGGGGGTGCTGTGGGCGACGGGGGAGTCGATCTCGTCGTCCTCGTCGAGGACGTAGCCCTGGGAGCGAGCGCGGGCGACGTTGCGGCGCAAGCGGTCAATCTCCTTTTCCATCTCTGCGTGCTTGGAGCGCTTGCCCACACGCTTGAAGTTGGACTCGATCTTGCATTCTAGCTTGAGGCGGTTACACCGCGAGCAGGTCTGGAAGGGATCCTGGACGACGTCGCAGCGCAGCTGGCGTTGGAGAACGGCGCATCAGCATCCGCGAGATGCATATGGGCTCGGGGGTGACTCACCTTTTGCTGGCGACACTCGTTGCACGCACGCTTGACGCCTGGTTGGCGCTTCTTGTCGCTGTCGCCATGGTCGCCGTGCTCGCCGTGGTCGGCATGGTCTTCGTCCATGAAGCTGCCGGGGCTGCTCTCGACGGGAGCGACGCCGGTGCTGCGCTTGCGCTTGGGGCCGCCGTTCCCGTGGCGGGAACTGGCCGGGCTGGTCGGGCTCATGGAGGCGGCCCCGCGGGCGACGATGGAGGAGCCGTCCATGCACCGCGGAGGTTTGCTGCAGCGGGAGGCCTCGGCCGCCGCTGGTCTGCAGCAGGATGTTTGTTTGTCTGTGTTGCTTGTCGCGGGCCGCGAGGCGAAACGAAACGCGGGACCGGGGAGCCGCGGTGGAGAGGCTGCCGAGGCGGGAGAAGTGAGGCGGGCAGAGGCAAGGCGAGGCAAAGCGAAGCAAGACGAGACGAGGCTGAGCGGACGGCGTCTGGCGGGGTAACGAGAATGAGCAAGCGCACGCGCGCAGGCAAGAAGCGCGACGGCTGGCTGTCGCCAGATACAAGCAGCGGTCGAGAGAGCGACGAGGGCTGTTGGGCGAGCGACGAGGTCCGTCTGCAGGGCCGAGAGCGGAGGCGAAGGGCGAGGTTGAGGAATCGCAACGCGGGACCGACAGGAGTCAGAAAGACAAAAACTGGACTGATCTGAGTCTGGTCTGGCGCAGGCGCCGGCCGTTGCAGCGCCGCAGCGAGTGCGGGCGCAACGAGAGTGGATGAATTGGGGGGGCGCCCCGGGGATGAAGTGGAGCGGGGCTGGCGTGTGGTGGTGCCCCCGCCTGGCCGGGCCTGGCGTCCAGTGCAGGTGCAGGTGGGGCCTCCACTAACGGAGGGACGGGACCTTCTGTACCTCGCTGTGGCAGCGCCCGGCGACGCCAGCGACACCAGCACCGACCCGGATCTTGGTGCAACTGCGCATCAAAGTCCGGGGACCGCGGTGGGAGGAGAAGCGCGCCGCCTGATTGGGCCGCGGACCGGTGTGGAGTCACGTGAAGGGGAAGCCTGCCTTGCTTGCCTGCCTGCCTGCCTGCATGGAGGGTGAGGGTGGTGGACGGGTGGCTGGCCGGTGGACAAACTGCCCGCCCGCTGATGCGCTGCGCTGCGCTTCCTGCTTACAGTAATTCCAGTCGCGGCAGGCGGACAACGGAGCCTCCGCGCTGTAATCGCCCTGCAACGGCGCCAGGCCCGCGCAGGGGACGGGCTAATGGACGGGGATGGATTCGTATCCATCCATGCCATGAGACAAGCGGGGCCGCGGCCGTCCACCGAGACAAGCGTCCGCGTCGTTCGAACGGACTCGTGCGCACGCCGGGGAACCGCTGCGAACCGGTCAAGGTGTCACGGCGGCGCAAGGCGCACATGAAAACGGCACACCGGAGTGTGGCATGTACAAGTGATCCAATCGCCAATGGCTCTCTGCTTGATGACTCTTCCGTGCTTCGCTCTGAGCGACAGATTCCCCTTCCCTTCCAGCCCAATCCTTCCACACGTCTTGTTGACCGGGGACCGGAGGGCGCGCAACCACTGCTTGCTGCAGCCAGCCAGCCGCCGGCGACCTTTCTTCAGAAAGCGGAGCCACCCATTTTTGCCGGCCGTCCAGTTTGCCAGAGCCACGCACAATGATTAGCCAGCGCCCGCCTCAGGTGGGTTCCGCGGTGGGGCCCGCCTGCAGCCAGCGTCTCCCGTTTTCTCCACGTTTTCCGCCTTTCTGGAAGTCGACGCGCATCCCCTCCAAGCCCTCACCCTTCATCCTCGCCGGCTTACCCCAAACGCCGCCCGCCACGGCAACACTCCGAATAAGCGGCTCGTGACTGGCCCGACTGTGCCATTTGCCGTTCAGCCGCCTCGTGCGCCGCCCTGAAGAGCTCCACTGTTTCGCCGTCTCTGCTGTTGCTGGTCTCTCCAGGCCGGCTGGCCAGATAACAAGCCCTGAGCTCTGTGAAGCAGCACCCAGTTGCGGGCCAACAAACGGACCAGCAGCAGGCCAGCCCTCACCGCGGCGGTCGACGCCTTAAAGACGCTTTCTCATTATACGTTGCTTACACCCTGACCGCTGTCGCCATGGCTGGATCAGCGAAGCACCACCACGCAAGCAAGAACAAGGCCCCTCCTCCAACGAAGCTGGTCCTGAAGCAAGCCCCGCCTTCTGCGAGCCACGCCGTGTCGTCCGCACCGCTCAGGTCAGAGGTTCAGTTCGTCTTGCCAGGCACGCGGCCAGAGCCAGGTACGTTGGTCGCCTCCGTCCGTCTCCACGGGCCCGTCCCCCGCTGGCGTCTTGGCTCACCTTTCTTGAAGGAACCGTGCGCGTCAACACCAATGACACCCCGCAGCCGTTCCTCGATCCAACGGCCTTGCAGCAGTGGCGATGACGCAGGGGCCGTCCATCCATTGATCAAGTAAGAAGCTCACTGTGGCCTCCCCGGGGCCGGGCCGGAGTGACAGCCGGAGCCCGTCGTCAGCCAACGTCCATAACCGGCCCGAGCTCGTAAGCCGCCATTGGCTCACCCGCCAACCCACCCGGAGCTGAGATACGAGGCCCGGCCCGAACACGGGGAGAAACACGGGCCATCTCGGCCCTTCGATTCGGAGCGCGCACGTTGCGCCTGGGAGACCTTGTTGCTCCAATCGGAGCCACCCTGCAATCGTCCACGCGAATGACAGCCGCTCGCTGGCGTGCCATGTCGTGTATCATGGCGAGCAACGCGGTGTCGGAACTGGTGTTCTTGGCCAACGTCCAGTTGGTGCTTAGTGCCACCACAACCACGATGCGGGATACCGAGAACCTGAACACAAGTTCCGAGGGGCTGCATTGCCGTTCGCTGCCGCAAAGTGCAGACTAGCGACGCCATTGCAGTTGCCTTTGTAATTCTACACGACCTTGCCGGCATTGGCAGGCTGCATCCAGGCGTCGTGGCGTCGTGATGAAAGACGAGACCTATCGGGTCCTCCTTTGCCGATTGTGCGGGGTCGCTACGCCCAAACGGCTGGTGCAAGTCGCAAAATGCCGGTTTTGCGGCTCCCGTTTCACCTGTTGTTAGTTAGCAGGTGGTGCCTTAGCCCGCCGACGGGGCTGCCTTCCTACCCCATCGATGCGACTCCATAATGAAGATCACGGTTAGATAATACAATAGGCAGGTGTCTGGGCCAACGTCTTTTAAAAGGGGCGGCATACCTTCCGCCAACACAGCGGCAGTGTTGCCACTCTCGCAGACCCGAGCAGCTTCGAACATCATGTCGGCGTCCAGTTCGTCATTCACAGTGCCTTTCTTCATTGGTGGCAAAGACACCAGCGCGGACAAGAGCTTCGATGTCGTCTCGCCCAGTGATGGCAAGGTCGCGCACCGCTGCGGCTCTGCCACGCTGGCGGACGCCAGCGCCGCGATAGCAGCGGCCGCCGACGCGTTCAAGACATGGCGCAGGACGACACCGGTGCAACGTCGTGACATATTCCTCAAGGCAGCCGACATCATGGCCGCCCGCCGCGAGGAACTGGCCGGCTACATGGCGACCGAGACGGGGGCCACTCCTCCGTGGTGCAACTTCAACTTGGATGTCGGAATAGGCATGCTCAAGGACATTGCCGGCCGCATTGCTACTCTTGAGGGCTCGTTCCCGGCCTTGATGGACCCCAACACAAGCGCCATCGTCATGCGAGAACCCTACGGCGTCGTCCTGGCCATGGCCCCTTGGTATGTATTCCGACCCGTAAATCATGAACTTATATGCTAACGAGTCTGCCAGGAACGCCCCTTTCATCCTAGGGACTCGCTGCGTCGCATTTCCCATTGCGGCGGGCAACACAGTCGTCTTCAAAGGCTCTGAAGTGGCGCCGCGGACAATGTCGGCCATTGTGTCCGTGTTTCGGGAAGCAGGACTGCCGGACGGCGTGCTAAACTTCATTGTGCACGAGCCTTCCGCCGCTGCCGAAATTACCGCCCACGCTATTGCCCATCCCCAAGTCAAGAAGATCAACTTTACAGGAAGCACTCAGGTTGGGCGCATCATCGGGCGCCTGGCTGGAGAGAACCTCAAGCCTCTCGTCCTGGAGCTGGGCGGCAAGGCACCGGCGATTGTCTGGGAGGACGCTGATCTACAGCTCGCCGCCGACCAGTGCGCATTGGGCTCTTTCCTTCACTCGGGCCAGATTTGCATGAGCACGGAAAAGATACTCGTGCACGAGTCCGTCAAGAAGGACTTCTTGGACAAGCTCGTCGCTGCCGTTGAGAAGATATTCCCCACCGGCGGCGATGCGTTGACGCTCATCAACAGCACCGCTGTCGACAAGAATAAGGCGCTCGTGAAGGATGCGACGAGCAAAGGTGCTTCCGTGGTGTTTGGCAACCCTGACGCCCAGGAGGCAAGCGGCACACGTCTCCGACCCATCGTCGTGGACAATGTGACGACAGACATGGAGCTGTACCGAACCGAGTCGTTTGGGCCGACCGTATCCGTCATCGGCATCGAGTCCGAAGACGAGGCGATCCGGATCGCCAACGACACCGAGTATGGGCTCACTTCTGCCGTTTTCACAGAGGACCTGAGGCGAGGCCTGCGCTTTGCGCGCGAGATCGAGACGGGAGCGGTGCACATCAACAACATGACGGTCCACGACGAGACAGCGCTGCCTCATGGCGGTGCCAAGGCCAGCGGCTACGGACGCTTCAATGCTTCAAAGGGTCTGGATGAGTGGGTTCGCACAAAGAACGTCACGTTCAAGCACTGAAGCCCATGAGTGAAGATATATTGCTGGTAGCGATATTTGCACGGCCTTGATGATTAGTGCGAACATACATTAGTGTAACGAAAGATCAACGCCATGTTCTTCCGGATGACTCGCTTCAAATCCCCACGTGAATTCATCTTAAAGAACATGGCTGAAATTGCTGAAGCTATAAGATTATTTGAACCTATTGCTTGAGGCCGTCGGTTTAGGGGCCAGGGCTGCAGGGTAGGCGACCTTCTCACATCGTGCAAAAGCGATCGCGATAAGTTCGCCCAATCGATAAGACGGGCCATCCACTTAGTCAGCGTCCAAGTTCCTCGATAACGGCCCGGAAATTTTACCACCCATCGTCACAAGCTCCATCCGTCGCGCAGCCCAAAGTTCAACGTCGTCAAGCCCGTTTCTCTTTACGCACCTCGTCGCCAATCCACCATCGCTTTCCTTGCGCCCTCCCCTCAAAGCCCAACGACCGACCGCCACCACCGACCACCACCAAAAACCCTTTCGCCCAGCATGTCGTTCCTCGGAATGGGCCGCCAGCAGCCCACGTCGGAGCAGAAGATTGCCGCCGTCGAGGGCGAGATGCGCATGATGGCTGATACGTATAACCGGTATGCTTTCTCCCCTTTTCCTCCTCTGTCCCCTATTTGTCTGAGAGCGCGCGCGCGCGCGCGGGTGAAACGTTGGCGGCTGCGGTGAGCGATCGTCGCTTGGTGGATGATTTACTCGTCTGCCCGCCGTTGCCGCCTGAGTTGGGTTCCCGGTTGTCGTCCCGCGATTGCGGGCCCGGGGGACCAGCGTCGTACAGAGCTGGGACTGGGATGCTCGCTCGCGCGGCGGGTCACCTGACGATGGCGACCGGGGCCACGACGACGACAACAAAGACGACGACGACGATGATGATGATGTGCGGCGGCGGCGGCGGAGGATGGTGGATGGGATATCAGTGTGCCGATGAAATTCCGTTGCTGACTCGAGCTCGTCGTGTATAGTCTCCAGCAGGCGTGCCAGAAGAAGTGCGTCCCGACCGACTACCGCGAGGGCGAGCTCAACAAGGGCGAGTCCGTCTGCCTCGACCGCTGCACCGCAAAGTTCCTCGACACGAGCATGAAGGTCAGCGAGATCATGCAGCAGCAGGGGCAGGCCATGGGCGGCGCGGCGCCCCAGCAGGGCGGTGGTGGCCTCTTTTAAGCTACGCGCGCGCCGTTCTCTGCTTGTCTTGTCCACAAAGGGGACGTAGTGCGGCAAGAGAAGGAGCCTCTTCTTAAGAAGACTACAAATCCCCACTTGTTAACATAGAGGGCCCTCGAGAAGGGCGCGGGAGGAAACATGTCGGATGTCACGATGGGCGTCGTCGACGACTCGGCGCCCGTTCTTTTTGTACGAATAGAGATGCATGGGTACATGGTCTGGGACCAAACGCTGGACATAGGGGGCCATCGCGCACCGGGGCGTCGAGTCTTGTCCAATTGAGATGAATTGACTGTAAGAATAATGCGGTTACACGTCTAGTATCAAGAAAAGAGATGGTTGATATATGTATGCCACGACTGGTCTTCTTCCGCCTCGCCCTGCCAAAGGGTATCTCAACTTTCTCTCTGTGTGACGTGAAGTGATGCGCGCGCTGCCAGGCCATGAATCGACGAGATGAATACGTTGCAAGATGCCAACCGGCAAATAAGAAGAAACAGAACTCCGAGGAAAATGCGGCATGATGCGCCCGTATGCAATTCAGCCATCCTCATCCCCCATCCTCACCGCGCCGCCGTGCGCGTGATATTAGGCCCCGTCCCCACGCCCGTCAGCGTCCTCACGAACCAGTGCAGCCAGCTCTCCGTCTCGAGCTGCACCTTGAGCTCCTCGGCGCGGCGCTCCACGTCCTCGACCTGCCTCTCGAAGCTCTGGATCCCGTCCTCGACGTCGTGCACCTTTTGCACCAGGCCGTCAATCTCGTACTCGAGGCGCGCAACCAGCACCTCAATCTCCTTGACGCCCTCGGTGAGGCTCGCGCGCTCCGACGCCAGCAGCTCGTCCGAGTTGTAGCGCACCCGCTGGCACGCGTCGTTGAGCTGGTGGTACAGCTTCTGCAGCTCCGTCTTGTCGCGCGAGTACCGCTCGTTGAGCGTCTCCACGACCCGGAGCTTCTCCTCGACCCACGGCTCCATGTCGTAGACGATGTCGTCGACGAGGCGGGTGAGGTGCGCGGCCTCCTCGGCGCGGGCGCCGAAGCACTCCACGTCGCCGCTCAGATCCATCACGTCGACAATTTCGTCCCATGCCAGGACCGCCTGCTCCGCGTCCCCAAAAGACATGTGGCGTGCCCAGCGGTTCTCGTTGGTGATGTGCTTGTAGGTGAGGTCGGAGACGCCGCAGCTGTGCCTTCGCGACACCACGAGCTTGCGCCCGTCGCCATTGCGCTCCTCGTCGAGCAAGGGACCTTGCAGATCCGATTCGTCGAGCACGGAGCGCATGCGAGTCAACGTCGTGGGCAGCACGTCCTGGCGCACGTCTATACCGATGTCCCCCATCGTGTACTCGGGATCTGTGACGGGCAGCATCTCGTCTGGTATCTTGCTGCTAGATTTGGAATCCGCAGCGGACGAGACCATTTCCAGCGTGTCGTCTGACATGCCCGGGAGCACGTCTTCCCCACGTCGTAAGGCTGCTAGGTATTCTTCCGGCTTGTTCTTCCATGTGAAGGCTCGAGTTACGATGGCCGGGCTCGAAGCCATCGCAGAGCTCTGAGATGAGAGGCCATTGCTCGTTGCACCACTCTCGGCAAAGTCTTCCTTGGCAGAGACGGATTGTCGGCTTGTATGACCCCGTCTACTCCCACCAACAGCATCCTTGATTCGTCCCAGGCCTGACCGAGCGTCGCTCATCTTTCCCGCAACACTCTTGAAAACGGCTTTCCTGAGGGCGTCTCGGTCGCCGCCCCCCATATCCCCTGCCAACGTGGTAGTGGAAACTGGAGATAGAGCGGCGTGGAGGAGAGAGATGTCGTCTTTCTTCTTCTGGTCTATTTGCTCGTCCAAAGGAAGGGACTGCGTGCGCTTAGCGTTCTGTATCGCGGTGTCGGCCTTTCCCGGCACGACGGCATTTGTGTCCTGAACGCCGTCGACGTGATCCGCGGTTGCTCGGCGAGGCTTTCCATGCCACAGCCACTTGGGTCGCTCTCCGTATGCGAGGCTCACAAACGTGTCGAGATCGAGCGTCTCGATATCGGCGACCCCGCCCTTGTCTTTGCCGGACACCATATCCATAACGAGCTCTCCTCGCTTTCCACCGATTTCTGTCATGGTCGACTTGACGGCTTTTTGGACGCCGCGAGCTTCACCGGCAGCCGCCTTGGCGGTGGCTGTATGCAACCGGAAGACGGTCTGGCGATCCAGCCGCCGCGTCTTTTCGAGCTTGTGCTGTTTCTGGAAGTAGGCGATACCCCGTTTCGTGCTATCGATATCAAAGACATCCTTGGACACCGGGGCGCCGTACCAGTTAAGTCTGTTTCGTGCGCCCAGGAGCATCCCGAGCAAAGCCGCGACAGTGGTGGGGCCAAGGATCCCGTCTGTTGGCTCAAAGTTGTAGTGCTCTGCGCCCATCTCAGTCCACCAGTTGCCGATGGCGGATTCGGTGACGTCGCAGAGGAGCCCGTCAATGTACTCGTGGTCCAGCTTCTCAAACATGTACAGGGCGACCTGGCACAGCTTGACCAGCTCGACCACTGAAGGGAGAAACGGTATTCGGTCGCTGATCTTGTATAGTTGCCGGAACTTTGCCTGGGTGGCTTCCGTAGGGTCGGTGAGGGCCAGGCCGGACCGGCCCGAGCAGCCCAAGCGCTTGAGGTTCTCGTTGACGATAAAGATCTGTCGATGCTGCCGCACGTCCCCGTCTGGGACTGGGATCACGGTGAGGGCGGACGGGAAGCCACTAAGGTTGGTAATGAGGAGTTCTCCGAGGGGCGTTTCCTTGGGTCGGGCATGGTGTTGCTGAGCTGCCCTGAAGTATATGCGCAACGTCGGGGACCAGAGGTTCTCGTCTTCAGGGACGGCGAGGACACCGACGACGATGGAATGCGACTCATCGCCGGTGTATGTGGCAACGACGAGGGTGGGCGACTGCCTGGAGCACGCCCACTGCTCGACAACGTAGAGTTCGTATCCGCGTAGAATGCTTTGGCGCTCGATGACTGTCACCGAGGGGTCGTCCTCGAGGAATCTGTTATGCGGGAAACGAGCTTTAGCCAGAACCCAGAGCATGCCTGCAAGCTCCCGGGGCATTCGTACCTGAACGCGACGGGATCAGGGAACACGATGTTGCGCAAGGCGACGCCTGACCCGTACGGTGACACGACAGCGCCGTCGAGCGCTTGGGCGTCCGTGGCGCCGGCCCTCGAAGAAGACAGGCCACGCTGCCGACGGGGCGAGACGACGTCGTCATCGCCGCGGGATCTCGTCTCAGGGCCGGCGGCCGGGGAACGGAGCTGGTCGGTGATGTCATGGGGTTGGGCCTGCGCGGCTCGCCATCGCCGGGGCGGGGGGAACATCGTCGACGTGCGACGGCAGTCACGGCGTCGACATCTGGAGGTAGGCTGTATGCTGCTTGAGGGCGAGGCGCATGCCGGAGGCGAGCGGTGGTGGTGGTGGTTAGAGGGCCGTAGAGACGACACAGAGACCTGGCATGTGATGCAACTGCTGGCCTGGTGGATGGATGGACGCTCGCAGCTCGTGCGGCAGTTGTTGGGCGGGTGGGTGGCACAGCCGGTAGCGGGGCTGTGCCGGGCATGGGCCAGCGCTGCCCGCCGCACCGCAATCAGTGACTGAACCTCCAGCTGGAACCTTGGAAGCTGAGCGAGCTATCGGGGTCGCGGCGCCAATCGGGGCTGCTTCAGTGACTGGAAGCCAACCTTGAAGGGGCCCCGCTCCGTCCACAGTGGGGTCGGCCAGGTGAGTCGGGTGGAGGTGGACTGCACTGGCTGCCAGCGACCACCACCTAGTGCCCCATTCCGTCTCTGGACAGTGAGGTGAGTGACCTCCGACCGACGTCAACCCGAGCCTCATGCTCGTCCGACGAGCTCGACATTTGACTGCCACCTACCACCCGCCCTCAGAGCCGGCATCGACGGCCAACGAGCGACAATTCGAGACACCATAGCCCACGCAACTGCTGCTGCAGCATTCAGCGAGCCCCTCTGCCGCCCAGCCCTCGTCGTCACCATCCGGCCACCGCAGCCATGGCTGGAGCAGACGACTCGCCCTTCCCGCCGCTGCTCAACGAGCTGGCCCGGGTGAGGCGGTCCAACCTCACCGCGGCCATCGGCGACGTGGACAAGATCATCGACCTCCTGGCAAACGCACGGGAGCAGGTCGCCGCGGGTATAGCTGCCTTGTCCCCCCAAACAAGCCTTCCGTCCGCTCGGCCTCCACTGACCAGAGCCTCTCTGCCATCCAGAGGCGGACGCACATAGAATCGGCATGGCGATGACGACGCTCCAGAACCCCGTAAAGGCACAGCTGGAAGCGATAACAAACGACCTCAAAGAGGTGACCAAGGCGCAAAAGGCGTTTGGAAAGGCCCTCGACAAGGCCATGCCTCAGCGGGACCTGCCCATGGAGACGGACGCCATGGCCGACCACCCGGCGCTCATCAACCGCGCCATAGCCATGCACCTGCTCCGCGAGGGCCAGTTCTCCGTCGCTTCGACGTTCGTCCGGGAAGAGCAGCAGCAGCGAGAGCAGAACGAGACGACCGCCATGGCTCACGCCGCCACGCCGCGAAGAGACCACGATGGGGACGACGACATGAACAAGGACGACGACGACGATGTCGACGAAGACAACAACAACAACAACAACGAAGGTGCCGACGCCGAGATGCACAGCCTGCACTCGGAAGACCTGCAGGACAAGTTCTCCGAGATGTATAGCATACTCGCAGAGCTCAAGCAGCGCAACCTCAGCCCGGCCATCGAGTGGGCTCGCCTCAACAATGGCCGCCTCGAGTCCAAGGGCAGCAACCTCGAGTTCGAGCTCTGCAAGCTGCAGTACATCTGGCTCTTCAAGGGCCACGCCGCCAACGGGCTCCCCAACGACGAGCGCAACGGCCAGATGGGCGCCTTGGCCTACGCGCAGAGGCACTTTGCGCCCTTCCAGCGCCGCCACCTCAAGGAGATACAGCAGCTCGTCTGCGCCATGCTCTTCGCCTCCAACCTCGAGGAGTCGCCCTACCGCAACATATTCGAGATCGACTCGGCGTTCGAGGACGTCTCCACGTCCTTCACACGCGAGTTTTGCTCCCTGCTCGGCCTGTCCGCCGAGTCGCCGCTCTACATGGCCGTCACGGCGGGGTCCATAGCCCTGCCCCGCCTTATCAAGTACACCACCTACATGAAGGAGAAGAAGACGGAGTGGACGACGGAGAACGAGCTCGCCTTCGAGACGCCCCTGCCCGAGTCCATGATCTACCACCCCATCTTCGTCTGCCCCGTCAGCAAGGAGCAGACGACGGAGCAGAACCCGCCCATGCTGCTCCCCTGCGGCCACGTCATCTGCCGCGACAGCCTGCACAAGATCTCCAAGGGATCCAGGTACAAGTGCCCCTACTGCCCGATGGAGGGCCACTTGCGAGATGCTGTCAAGATTACCCTCTGAGCGGGAAGCCATTGCGGCGGCGCTCGGGAGCTTGGCCCGGGTCGTCGGGCCGTTGGCCGCGGTGGGGGTGTCGTATGAATGCATGGAATGGCGTTTTCAGGGACCGGGCGTCACGGAGGGATTCTGGGATCTCAACTCGAATGAATGGATAGCGCAATTGTGCCCCTCTTTGTATGGTCGAGCGATTGACGCTGGAACTGGGTTTGGGTGAACTTGTTCAGATGGTCTTGTAGCGTATTACAACAATATCTTATCTTTGAGCAGATGAAGCCCGCCTATCCATCCCATGATAGCCTAACAAACGGCTTCCAGTGTTCTCTCAAGCGCAGCTGTATTGTCCGTAAGGAGTGACAGACGGCAGATGCAGCAGCAGCGCCAACCGCATCGCTGCTCGGCCTCGGTATATCCTCACCGTCTTCGAAAAGCCAACTCGACCAAACAATGCCGCGTACACAAAGTCGCCCACCCATGCGGACGGCCGCGTCCGCGGTCTTACCGCATATCCTGTAACTCCCCGGCGCTCTCGCGTCGACCCGCCGAGGCTAGGCCGCGCACCACCCGCGTCAAGGCTCAAAGCCCGCCCCTTGTTTCAGGACCCATCGGGTCGACGCCTGGGGGCAAAGGCAAACAAACTAGCTGAGCGCGTCCACAACAGTCGCTCTCGTCCGCGGTGAGCGTTGTCCACTCTAACGCCTAATTCCGCCCCGTGATCCCGTGATGGTGATCAAAAATAATGCTGTGCCTCGGCCGGGCCGTCGTCGCGAGCCCGCCCAGTCTGAGCGGCCCGCCAAGGCACCTGGGGAATCTCGTTTTCTTTGTCGTAAATCGTGTCTTTGTACATGGCCCCGAGGACTACCGCCCTCGGCGCCCGGACCGTGCCCCCGCAAAATCAAGCGCCTTTCCATCTAGTCAATCGTCATGCGGCTGGGCAGCTGGGGCTTGACGTCGTGCAAGCTGATCGAATGCGCGTCGGGCTTCTCCTCGACCTTTCGCGACGAAATCAGATGGGCCTTGAGCCCGTTGTCGAAGTTGCGCAGGCAGATGATGGCGTTGATGATGGTGAGGATGATGAGCAGGATGGTGATGACGGCAAAGGCGGTGAGAGACCGGCGGACGGCCTGGTACGAGTCCTTGTGATCCGGCTGGTAGATTCGAACAAGCTTGAAAATGAAGTATGACAGGCCACCCAGATAGAGAATGATGACGACAAACATTCCCGGCTTGTTCTCCTTGCGCGTAAAGTATGCTGCGGCCAGTAGGATGCCAATGGTGATAGGGATCGTGGCGATGGTCAAGGCGAACTCGGGATCTGTCTTTTGGGCTACGACGACGACAAACTGGATGATGAAACCGAGGAAAAAGAAAAAGTCGAACTTGAGCAGTGCGATATAGATCTGCCACAATGTCAGCCTCAATCAATCATGGAGTGGCAGCCGTGGCTCAAGCCTACTTGGTAATGAAGAAAGCGCTTCTTCATGCGGTAGTCGGCGCCAATGTTCTTCAAGATGTCCCACGCAAATTCTTGGTAGAGCTTCCATGCAATAAACCCCATGCACACAGTGGCAAGCCCAATAACAGCCGGAATGGCAACAAGGTAGGGCTTCACATCGCCCCAGAGCTCGGTGCTGAGTGTTTCGGGTTTGAGGGCGTTGAATTCTCCCAAGATCGTGATCGCGGTCTGGATTTGTTCGATTTGGATCGCGGTGTAGACCAGCAGGGCGAGGTTGGCGATGCACACTCCAATGACCTGAATGGTGTTCTTCATGCGCAGCGCGTCCCAAACCACAACCAGCTCGTATAAGAAGCCAAAGATAAAGAGCGTCAGGAAAGTCGGGATCGTCTTGTACTGCGATTGGACTTTGGGCAGGTCCCTGTGTTCTCCGAGGCTCGTCTGGAACTTGCCAAAGACGTATCTGCTTGGTGTTAGCGACCGCGACCATCGGCTGCGTGAAGGTCGGCAACGACGTACGCCTCAAAGACCAGGCAAATGATGGCCTGGAGGGTCGTGACGCCCATGAAGGCGGCGGACCACTTCGTCTTGATGAAGCCCATGCTGTCGCGATGGACGCTCCGCGACGGGGCCGAAGGGGTCAGGCCCTGGCGGTGGGCGTAGCCCTGATCGAAGCTGGTGTTGAGGTTCGCGTTCTCGGCGTAGGCGGGCTGCATGTACGAGGGCTGGTTCACAGCCGGCTGGGGGTAAGCCTGGCCATAGTTTTGAGAGTAGTCTGGGGCGTATTCGCCGCTGTGGCCGTAGGTCGGACTGCGTTGCGAGTTGAAATGTGAGAAGCCCGGATCTGCGCCCAGAAGGGACTTGCGAGAATCTAACCTGGTAGCCAGGGCGGGCGACTGTTTGACCCCAACCGGGAGTCTGCGGCGGCAGCGATGGCTAGTATGGATCGATGGATGAGGAGAGGAGCCGAGTCGTGGCTAGAGAAGCCGCGGCGCGAGTCGGGAGCACGACGCAACCCGAGGGCGAGCGCTTTCGGTCGAGTCGCGGGCGAACCAGGGGGGTAGCGACGAACAGATCAGACGAGGCGAGGCGAGACGGGACGAGAAATGGTTCGGTTGGCTGGTTGGGAAATACGCAGGAGGGCGAGGGCGGAAGCGAGGCGAGAAGAGAAGAGGGGAAGGGATGACGATGATGATGAGAGATGGATGATGAACGAGAGACTCAAAGGACACGCGGGTTGGACAGATAGGTGAGGAGGGAGTGGAGGGTGCTCTGTTCGCGGGATCAGGCCAGGCCGGCAGGGCTCGCAGAAGCACGGGGACACGGACGGGAGAGGAGGATTTTTGTCGGGGGCGGCGCTGGGCAGAGAAGCGGGCATCAGCAGCAGCGGCGGCGGCAGCACATGAGTGTGCCCTGGGGCCGCCTTGCGAGCGTCGTCGTGTCAGTGGGTACAGAGTAACTCGGGTGAGCTTTGCACTGCACTGGTGAAACGGGGGGCCGGGGTTCGGTGGGGCGCAGGGCGGCCCACGGGGCGGGGGGGCGTGGCCCTCCTTGGGAGGCTTGGCTTTGGCTTTGGCTTTTTAGGGAGCGAGGCAGAGGGATGGAGGGCAGGTGAGGGATCCCTGGGCCTGGGTCCGGATGGAGGAGGACTCATCAAGGTGGTGCCGCCGCCGTCGTGTCTGCCCGCGGGCAGCGGCGGCGGCGGGCGCAGTGGAACAAGCAAACAAAAGAAAAGGAACCAGAGAAAAAAAGAGGGGACCGCCACGCGTGCCTCTGCTTGGCTGGGCCTGCCAGGGGGGCAGGGGGAGAGGGGGGGCCGCTAAGGTAGGCCTCCCGCTGTTGCGGGCGGGCTCGAGGCAAATGCCACAGGGGCAAAGGGGCACACGGCATGGCAGGGCAGGGCACGACATGGCCGCACGCAAGGCACCTCACCAGATGGACGGGACACAGAGACGGCAAGGCACAGCGGCGACGGCACTCGCTCGGTCGGGCTGCGAATTTTTTTTTCTCTCTCTTTGATTGCGGCGCCGGCAGCCTCGCAGCAGGAAAAGAGATCGGTGTCTTGGAGGAATCTGCGAATGTCTGACGTGGTGCTCTGTCGCACTGGCGGTGCTGACTCCACCGCCGGCCTCCGTAGGGTTGACGGGCCTATACTTGGAGCTACCTGGCACCAATGGCGGTGATACAGTGCAGTGACCACTGGAACCGTTGAGAACGGCCGCTCAACGGCACCGCACCCGGGCCGTATAATCCACCTGGGCACTCCACCTCTCGCCTTTGCGCTGTGCAGCGTCCACGGTGCTGCTTCCCACGTAACCTCCCATCGTACCGCAAAGTACCCTGCCTTGCGCAGTCGCAAGAGATGAAGCACTGCTTGCACTGCAAATGACGACATCATCATAAGAAAAAAAAAGGCGCAGCAATATCATTGTCGCCGTCCAGGGCGGTGCCCAAGGTCGGCGAGCAGCGGCCGATCTGCAATCTACACGATGCGCCCAACGCCAGGCGCGGGAGATTCCATCAAGGCGCAGCAGCAACCCGTCAGTGAGGCCGCCGCAAGGCAGCCTCGTCGAACGGGACAACCTTGGCAATGGGAGGGCAACAGGGTGTGGCTGTGCCTGTCCGTCCGGCCCAGGTCTCTCTGCGCGGCGCGACAGCCGATGACAGCGTGTGCCAGTGCCACCGACGCAGGACGCCGACCAGCCAGCCATCACCCTCACTGCATGCGCGCCGCCCACCTCCGAGCGCCTTGGATGCTGCTGGCTGCTGCACTGCGACGCCCAGCGCGCTCAAACCGCTGCAGCCCAGTTCGTGTCGGGGCAGCGTCCCTCCCGGCCACCACCGGGGACCGACCGCTGGCGCCACTCCCCTCGGCCCAACATCACATCACGACACAGTCCTGCGAGCAGGCGGGCAGTTGTGGCATCTGCCTTTTCGTATCGCCCGGGGCTACGGCGGGCCACCATCCGCGGAGGACCGAGCCGGTCCCTTGGCCGTCGCGCGGCGTAGTCGCACCACACTCCACGCCATTGGCGAAAACCGCCGACGACGTTGTCGCCATCCCTTGGCATGTATGACATCCGCTCGGCACCTCCTCAGTTGACGGCCCATCACGCGAGAGAAGTATCCGCGACTGCCCTCGACGGCGCGGCTCCTTGCAGCCGCTGTGTGTGTAGGAGTACTGTATGACCGAGCAGCCACCCGCGTGCGTACATACTTGTTGTTGTGCCCATACTGTAGCACCCGCCAGCGTCGCCTCGCCCTCTCTTCGAATCTGTAACGTGGGCTCCTACATACTGTACCTGTCTTTTGAGACGAGACGAGACGAGACGAGACAAGGCCCCCCCTCCTCACCGGCCGCTCCCTTGGCTCGACGAAAGCGTTGCACACTCCGCCAAGATGGGGGTGTCGACGCTCTCGCTTTGAAACGGACGACGAAGCACACCGCTCGACGGGACGGCCTTGCCCGCCCATGTGCTGCTGCCACGGCCAAGCCAGGCCAGCCAAGCGCGGAAAGTCGACGTCGTCGCGAGTTGAGAGGGGGTCTGGGGTCGCGCGCGTCCATTTGCGCCGATGGCGCTGGAATGCGGGTGAAAGTCTGTCGCGCGTCACCACGCCCCATGACTTGAAACACGCCCTGCTCGAAGCGCAACGGCCTGTCTCGTCTCCAAAGCCGGCCGCATGAGACGATTTCCCATTCTCCCGATATCTTCACGTAGGCTTCTTCATCTATAACTTGATTGTGCGAAGTACTACTGCCGCGTGGAAAGAATGGGTGTGCTATGCACATTTCATGCGCCGCCCCAAATCTGGGGCAAGTCGTGCACGAGATGATCAATCGCAATCAAGTGACCTCGACAGGGCCATCAAATAGCATTCGGATCCGCATTATGCTCGTGCAAAGGAAGTAGATACGCGCGAATGCCGAGGGGGCTGGAAAGACGACATGCGCATGGCAGCTGGAGTCTCAAGTAAGCTGCGTTACAGCATGTGGGGACCACCACGCGACTCGCCTCCGTCGAAAGTAGATTCATTTGTCGATTCGGCAAAACCTTGGACGGATGTTCAAAGTTTGACGTATCTCTTCGTCGCTCAAGCGACATGGCGTTGAGATCGGATTGCTTCCGGTCAAGGGCCACTACTGCACACGGCCCCGAGAACGGGATCCGCAGTTCGACGACGACGGGTTTCGGCTCCGTCCCGACGGCGCTCGAACGTACACCGTTGCCCTGGAGCCGCCGAGAGCAGTGTCCCTTGTGCTGGTCCCTGGATGATGGCGTCCTACAAGGGCCGCTCAGGTTCACTTTCTCAATTCCTTCGTTTTCAGTCCTCGAACAATTTCTTTAGCTCACCGTCATACGCCTCCTTGCCAGTGAGCTTGTTCCAGACCGCGTCCTCGGCGTCCCAGCACCAAAAGGTCGAGACAGCGGCCTCAGCCTCACTTGAGAGGGACACCGGCGGGCACAGATGGCTCTCAAGCAGCAAGTACATGGCATTGGCCGATGATATGCAGTGCCAGAACCACACGCCTTTCGTCTCCTACATGTTGTGCATGACGGCCGAGAGTGTGACGTCGTGCCTCGTCTTGGGCCTCAACGCCCGCTCTTCCTTCTCAAAGACGTGCATGAATTCCCGTCGCACCTCGTCAAAGCGTTACAGTTCTTCGCCCTGGATATCGTCGACGGCGCAGCCGGTCATCCAATACGGCGCCCGGAGCATCTCCAGACTCCAGAGGCAGGGCGCAGATCCATTCAAGGTCAACCAGACCCGTCACGTTCCACTCCTCGTCGACAAAGATGTTGCTCGCGTGCAGGTCCGTAAGCTGGAGCGCAAACGGCCCGCTGCGCAAGTATCGCCTGACGTGACGGTGAGACAGCACTCGGAGCAGGGTCTTGACTGCCATCTGGGCGCGACAGTCGTCCCCGCTATAGACGGCGTTTGGTTGGCTTAGAAGGCGGTTGTCGTGGAAAATGAGCATGTCGGACACGAACGCGTCCGTGCAGCCAAAGGTTTCATCCCTCGACATGGTGCGCGCAGCGCCGTCGTTGTCTAGGATCATCACGCTGCAGGACAGCGGCCTGTTTGCCAACGTGACGGTGCCGTTGTCGTGGAACTGAAAGGGCCCGATGCGGGCCTGCGGGATTCCTGCGAGGGAAAGCATGATTCGCGAAAGCCCACGAAAGAGCCTCTCCCTCCGTGGTTTTTCTTCCCGGTGTGCATTGAAGGTGTTTGAAAGCATGCTGCCAGTTTCGGGACCTAGATACGCTACTACGTAGGCGGAGTCCAGCTGATGCGACGGAGCAGTCGCAACATAGCTGGACAGCAGCGGGAGCCCCGCGACCCTATAGAGCATCCGTCAGACTTGTCGGGCAATCCTGCGCAAGTAGGATACGTGCCTCGTGTGCGTAAACTGGCCAAGTTATCAGCAAGGCGCCCGAGTGAGCAGTGACGCAGGAGGCTCACGTGTCGGCCATCCAGGAACCCAAAGCCAAAGAGATGGGGGGCGCGAATCTCAAAACAATGCCTTCTCGGCCCATATATGGGCGCCCACCTCGCAGCCCAGCTTCTCGTCTACGCTGCCGGGATATCTGGCTTCGGCGAGCTTGTGGGGCATGGGACAGCGCACGATGACTTTGCTAGACGGGGCATCGCCGCGGGACTTGATCTCGACCAGGATACACACGTTGAAGCCGCCGCGGATCCAGTGCTCGGGTGGCAGGACGACGCACGTGTCTTGAGGGCCCAGTGCCAGGTGATGCTTGACGAGGCCGGCGATGGAGTCTCTTTGCTCCCAGAGGTCTTGACTGAGAGTCTTGATCGCGGGTCCGTAGGAGGCCAAGTTGAGGACGTTTCTTTCCTCATCGAGAGCGGACGAAAGGGTCATGGGGCCCCGATCCGGAATGTCTATCGTCGGCGGCATGGCGATGGCCGACTCTCTCCAAAGCGTGAACTCGAGACCCCAGATGTCAGACACAAAGACGGCGGCCCTCTTCGTTGAGATGGAAAGCGAGACATGTGGCTCCCCTGGCCACCGTCCAGTCAGCCCCGACGAGCCTGCAGCTATACGAGTAGATTGGCGATCAGGGCATCTCTACATTGCCAAAAGCTTCACGAGTCTTCATAAGTTTCGTGGCGGGATGCTGGTCACAGAGCAAGCACAAACAGTTGGATGGAAGTCAGTTGGGCGCCCGGAAAGTTCCCGGACGCACAGACCAGACAGCGCTCCAGGTCCCCCTGTCGATTAACTTTCAACTGGCGGCGCCTGGGGAAATGACATATCACGTGCAAAAGTGGTGGCAGATGGCAGGCAAGTACCTAACTAAAGCCCACCAACTCCTCAGCAATCTTCAGCGGCGCTCCCGCTAACGTTGTCACTGAGTGACAGCTCCCCATCCACGGAGCACCAAAGAAGAAGAAAAAGTCCGTGATAGTCCACCGTGCCAATTCATTACTCAAGTCATGATGCCACACGGTCACGCGATGCCACGGCCGGTCGACCGCCAAGGGCAGCAACTCAATTTTTTTAGGATCCGACGAGAGGAAAGACGTCGTGATGAGGAGATGGGCCAAGCTCGTTCGACGACGACCGCTGGGCGATGATTCGGTCAGTCGGACAGCCGAGGCACCGGGTCCCCTCCGGAAGTCAACTAAGCCAAGTCGAGCCAGGCAACTCAGTGCCACTCGCCGCCGCCTGTCCCCCCAGACCCAGGCAGGACAGGGCAGCAGGTGCAGCGGATGCAGGGCCGCCTACTAGGTTTAGTTGTGTTGTCCATACGAGTAGCGCCCGCAGCCTGAATTGCATGCGAGGATACGTATAATAAGGCCTGGGGTTCCATACTCCATAACGCCCTTGAACCTCACATAAGATGACCAGGCCGTCCAGCCGCAAGTCAGCCTGAATCTCACCACCAGTCCATCAGCACATCTACCTTGGCCTCTCCGTCGCACCCGGCCATAACGCATTGCTTGGTAGAGTACAAAGTAGATAAGAGCACAGCGACGCCAGCAGCGACGACGACCACTTGTTCCTCAACCCCCTGAGACCCGTCGTCTCTGGCATTTACACCCTCCCCGCCACCTCGTCCTCCCTGTGTCACGTCGTCGCCCGCCATGCAGCCCCCGGCCGACTTCGCCCACTACCCGGATCCCGTCGAGGGCCCCGAGACCGGCTATGACCCCAAGCCCGGCACCAACCCGGTCCTCCGGGGTCTGCCGCTGGCCGCCGCCGCCGCCCTGTAAGCTGCGCCGCCCGCATCCCGACCCGGATGCCCGTCATCCCCATCCCCCAGGCATCGAGACAGACCGTCGTCGCTAACGCAATTTGCAAAGCATCACGAGGTCCGACTGGGTCGCCCGCTACTTCTGGAACAATGCCGGCTTCGGCAGCATCAAGGACATGCCCCAGCTCGACGACATGCCGTACACGTTCCATGTGCGTCCACCCCATCACGCTCAACACACCCCGGGACAAGCCTCACCCTCGCTAACCATGACCTTCACCGCATCCAGCCCGTCGTGACGCCGCTCGGCAAGACGGGCCCCATGCTCGAGTTTGGCCCCGAGCTGGTCACGCCCCAGGCCGACAAGGCCTCCCCTTCCTCCTCCAAGGCGCGCTACTACACGGCTGCCGACTACCACGCGCTCTACAAGTCGGGCGCCGCCACGCCGCTGCAGGTCGCCCAGGCGCTGCTGCCTCTGACGCTGCCGAGCAAGGACGCCGGCGGCAAGCCCGGGCGCTACGAGAACGCCTGGGCCGACGCGCACGGCAACGAGGGGCTCGCCCTGGAGGCCGCACGCGCCTCGACGGAGCGCTGGAAGGCCGGCAAGCCCCTCGGTGTGCTTGACGGCGTGCCCGTCGGCGTCAAGGATGACGTCGCCGTCGCCGGCTACCGCAACCATTATGGCCTCAAGTACGACCCGAACGTGCCCTGGTTCAAGGTCCACGAAAAGTCTGAGTGGCCTGTCAGGACGCTGCAGGAAGCGGGCGCCGTCGTTCTCGGAAAGCTGCGCATGCATGAGATGGGATCAGGTGAGTGTCTCCTTTCTTTGCAGTGAGAATAGACTCGGCGAGGGTGCGTATATGTACTGACTGCATACTCGTCATGTAGACACCAACGGGCTGAACGTAGGGAACCTCCCTGCCCCCTTTTATGACTGACTAAACTTCTCATATTGGCATGCGATACTGACAGATGCTCTTCAGGTCGCCCAGGGCACGCCGACAAACCACCTCAACAACGCCTACTACCCCGGCGGCTCCTCGTCGGGCCCCGCGTCGGCCGTGTCCGCCGGCCTCATCCCCATCGCCGTGGGCACCGACGCGGGCGGCAGCGTGCGCATCCCGGCCACCTTCAACGGCATCTACGGGCTCAAGACGAGCCAGCACCGGACCGTCTTCATGAACCACACCATGTGCATCACGGGCCCCATCGCGGCCACCGTCGCCGACCTGACCATCGCCTACCGCGTCATGTCGCAGCCCAACCCGGAGTGCCCGACGCAGGGCCGCTTCGCGCTCTCGCTGCCGCCGTCGCCCTCGGCCAAGAAGACGATGGGCGTGTACCGCGACTGGTGGCGGCACGCGGACCCGCGCGTCGCGGCCGCCTGCGACGCCGCCGTCGACTGGTTCGCCGCCGAGCGCGGCTACGAGGTGCTCGACATCTCCATCCCGTACCTCGTCGAGGCGCAGCTCGCCCACGGCACCATCTGCATCGCCGAGATGGCCGAGCACCTGCGCCGCCGCGCCGGCGACCCGGCCGACTGGCTGTCGCTCGTCGGGCCCGCCAACCGCATCACCCTGTCGGTGGCGCGCCAGACGCCCGCGGGCGACTACCTCAAGTACAACGCGCTGCGCACGCTGCTGATGCGCCACCTCGCGTTCCTCTTCCAGAAGCACCCGGGCCTGCTCATCATGACGCCCGTGACGCCCCTCGTCGGCTGGCCGCGCACCCCCGGCGACGACAGCCGCGGCCTCAACGACGCCAACACGACGCTCCGCAACATGATGTACATCTTCCTCGCCAACATGACGGGCACGCCCTCCCTGTCCGCGCCCGTCGGCTACGTCGAGCCCGACCAGGGCGAGGGCAAGCTGCCCATCGGCCTGCTGGCCACGGGCGAGTGGGGCAGCGAGGAGCAGCTGCTGAGCTGGGCCGCCGAGGCCGAGGAGTACCTGCACGACGTGTACGAGGACGGGCGGCGGAGGCCCGACGCGTGGCTGGACGCCATCAGCCTGGCCAAGGAGAGCAAGGAGTAGAGGGAGGTCTTGTTGTGAGGGATGGGGAGGCTTTGACGAGATGTGTATATCAAGCGGCTTGGGAACAAGGTACCTATTCCACATGTTGTTTTGTCTGGCTATTTAGGGAGCAGTCTGCGTCTGCCAATAAACTTTGTTCTTGTCCGCCCTACTTGATAAACTTGGACGCCATGGCCATGAGCCCGCCCTGCTGCTGGCCCTGGCTCTTAAAGTACATCTTCATGGCCATCTCGCCCGCCTTTTGGATCGTCGACTCCTTGCTGGCGCCGTCGGCGAGCTGGCCGCTCGAGGCCTTTTGGTCAAAGAGCTGTGGGGGTGCGCGCGTGCGCACGTTGCTGTCAGCGCGGCCTGATCGCTCTCTTCGTTCCCCCGGAGTGGAGTGGGAGGGCCGAGAAGGTTCGGGAGGGGGCTTCAACGCACCTTGCTGGCCTCGGACATGGCCAGGCCGAGGAACGCGCCCTGGCTCTGCTTGCCCGTGTCCTGGTTCTGGTTGAACATCTTGAGAGCCTGCATGGCGGCGGCGATGCCGACGCTGTTCTCGTCGCCGCGCGAGTCGTTTTGGTACTGCTCCTTGTGCTTGCGGACGGCGTCTGCAGCGGCGGGTATTTCTCGTGTCAGCCAGGGAACCATGTAGACCGACGATAACCAAGGAGCTGCTAGTTTGTTCAGCCAAAAGCCATGCTACGCACCCTCCTCGTCAATGTCCTCGTTGGCAATCTGGCCCTTGCGCTGGCCGATGGCGCTCAGCACCGAGGAGAAGAGCTCGCTGCTGCCCGAGGAGCCGGCGCGGTTGGCGGCCTCGTGCTGGGCCGTCTTGAGCTCGTCGTCGTCGTGGGCGAAGCCCCCGCCGGCGGGGTAGTTGCCGCCATGGGACTCTGCGCGGGAAGGGGGGGGAAGACGCCCGAGTGTCAGCGTTGGTCTTGCGACGAGTGGGTTGGGAGATGGCGCAGGTACGCACTGTCACCCGGAGGCAGGTTCTGCTGCTGCTGCTGCTGGTTGTGTTGTCCTGGTCGAGCTGGGCGTCAGCGAAGCCGATCAAGTCGTAGCTTAGCTCCCCCGTCCGTCCGTGGAGGGGTCGAGAGCTATCACGCTGGAAGGAAGCTCCCCGGCAGTCGCACGCACCTTGGCCCTGGTTCTGCATCTGCGACTCCAAAAAGTCCTTGCCGGCGCTAAAGATCTTGTCCATGATGAATACTATGCTATCGCCTTGCGTGATTCGGATTCGATGGATTCGGCGTCGTCTGATCAGGGAGGGGATTCGTTATCGACGAAACAACAAACAGCAACAAGCAGGCGGGGGTTTGGGGGATGCCCAGCTCAAGTATCAAACCCCCCAGAAGTCAGGCACCGGGTCTCAGCAGCTCCGCCACTTCACACACCTCCCTCCCGCTTGGCCCGGATCTTCGGCGCTGGGACTCGGCACATTGGACCCCTCCAAGCTCCAATCGAGGGGCAGCTCAGGGGACCATGACGCGCCATGTGCGGGGCAGCTCCGCGCGCCAAGCGGCGCTTCCAGCTCGGCTCGACACCTGGCACAGCTGAAGCTCCTCCGGGGGGACCCCTCTTGATTATTGTATTCTGATAGTACATAATATCGCGTTCGAAATACTACTACTACTCGTGAGGTCGACACCGGGTGTCCGCCTCCCGTGGTGGCATCCCTCCACCCCCGTATATCCTCTGTACTCCGTAAAGAGCAGCACGTGCCACATGCCTGCATGGTTGAAAATCGAGGGGCGTTGGAGCGAACACCCCACCTCATTGAGCTCCTGCAAGAAGGTTCACTCATGCTTCATGCCACAAAGCCCCTTTGGGCGCAAGTTGCAACGAAATACGCCAAACCCCCGCCGGCAGATGCGTCATGGTCTTTGCAGTTCGGGCAGGTTAGGTTCTTGTCAAGTTCCTTGCCGACCACAATGTTGGAATCTTCAGGCTCCGGCAACTGCCGTCTCGACCCACAAGCGGACATCCTCCAGCCTCAGCCGGCACCACCTGGCCCAAGCTCATAAGCTAATACTTCATGATACTGCCAAGTCAAGGACCAGCAGGATAGGCTTCGTTCAGGAATAAATGCCACTTCCGTTCCTCACGTAAAATGTATCTTCTTGTAAATGGGACGTCTAGTCCAGGTGAATGCCATCAGCCCTTATCCATGTCCTGCGCTGCCGGGGAAAGCGTCTCTGTTCCGGGGTCCAATCACTTGCCGCCTCGGAGGCTGACCCGATGAGGCCATGCCGCTGTTCCGTCCGCGGGTCGACGACTTCTTTGAGACTGCATGTCTCGAAGGCACATGAACCACTTGTACGCTGGCCGCTGCATTCCTCCTCGGATAAGCCCACGCAAGATCAGTGTAGCACGTCCCGATGTCAACCTACCCTGAACGCATTATCATTTGCTTCCGGCAGTCGCCTTTCCTTTCTTTGCCTCTTGCTTCTTTCTCACTTATTTCCTTCCTCTTGAAATAGAGTATGATGCCACCATCGCGACGCACAAGCCAAGCAGAGCCAGCCTATGTTGCGGATGCTACGATGTAGAAATTGCGGCGGACCAGCACACCGTCGCGGCATATGCATATGGGAACCGGCGAAACGCTTCAGCCCCATGCTGTCATACGCGAGAATATCCACACGCTCACGTCTTATCTTCACTCCGGGGCTCGTCGCTCCACCAACGAGCAACCTTGGGGCCTATGCCTGGTTGGCATTGACGCTTGGATCATGAGAATCCGACGTGGTCTCGGGTCAGATGCCCCCGTGTGCCTTTGGGTCTCCGCACTCCTGCCTCCGTTGGACACTCGACGGTTCGAAGCGAGCCTGCCGTCTTGTACAAATGTCGCAGCTTAGATAGTGGCTATGAGGAAATTCTCAAATCCCCCAAGCCACGAACCACTTTCGGCACCTCTGTGACAACTAGTTAATACGGTCTTCTTGAAGGGCTTATCACAGATAGTTTGTCGTTGGCCCTCGATCCGTCATGCCACTATACTCAAACTACGAGAACGGCAAATACCACGACGGAGTTTGGAGGTGTGGCTGTGACCAGAGGGCCATCCCGTTTGAATCGAGCCAGCCGAACAGCAAGGGCGAGAAATGTCAGTCACCGTCTCCATAACTACCGTGGCACGTAGCTCATGAGCCGCCAGTCTTGAGATGTTCACAGCCTCGTGGGCAGCAATGCAGGTTCTTCCTTACTGAAGTGGACGACACCGAGAGGATCAGGCGGGCAAAGACATTGAACGTGATACTCACCCCTGAGACGCTCACCAGCCCGCGGTCAACCGACCCGCGGTCAAACAGCTCGCAGTCAACCAGCTCACAATCCTCCACCATCCCCGCGACTCTCCCAACGCCCGACACGGGAAAAACAACCCTCAAGCGGCGCCTCTTCACAAGCAGTGGCAGCAGCACCAGCGGCGACGACAGCAACGGCTCTTCGTCCCGAAAACGCCGCCGCCTCCTCTCCCTCCACGACGACTCCGAACACAGCCCCTCGCCGTCATCACGCCAGGTCAGGCAGCGAACTGATCACCACGACAAAAACGACTTGCCAACGCTCGTCTTTGAGCTGCTGCAGAGCGACGGGCTCGCGCTCAGGAGCTCGACCAAGTCTGCGATCCGGCACGTCATCCTCGAGCGGGAAGCGGCGAGCAAGGCGAGACTACACGCAAAGGAGAGCCTGGAGATGGCGCTGGAGAAGATTGACGAGCTGGAGGGGCACGACGACTCGGCGTCTTCTGATGACGCATAGGAGACGTCTAAATGGTGTTTACTTTGGGCTTTTTGGAGTTCGGACATAGCGGTAGGGAAAGATGGTTGATCCGCAAATATGCGCACGTTCACTGACTCCGCCAGTCGCATCGATTTTCAAAAGTCTCAAGTCTCAGTACCAACGACTCCGATACAGCACGTGGGACATTGAGTCTGTTCCAATACTTGATGTTCTCTCCAGATAATGAGCAGACGTCGGTCTGTCACCTTGGACCGAGTGAAGTCTCCCATGTGCTTAGTCTTGACCGAGGACTTGGCATGCAACCTCACCACCAAAGTTGCCTCACGAGTCACGACCGCCAAGAGGCTAAACGCACCCATCATCCGAGCCGTCAAAAGTATATGCAGAGCTCAAGGTTGGTAACATTAGAACCGGATTTCGTTTCGACACTGTAGAAACCGTCCAGTCTAAACCACATTAATCCTCGCCCCTGCTGCCCGTCTGCCCACGTGCTTGGTATCATGCCCTCGCTCCGCACCCCCATCGTCGTACAGCACGCCAACCAGCTAGTAAAACCAAAAAAGGAGAAGAAAAAGAAGCCCAAAGCAAGGGCAAAAATCAGGCCATAAATCATGTCATCCCCCCTCAAAAAGGCCGTTGCTTTCTCGCTCGTTGCAGTCGTGTTCGTTTATTTTGGTGCGCCGTCCGTCGTGTTCGTGTATACAAGATGAATATGCCCCTCGAATTCCACACAGCGCCTGCGCCACACCGGCCGTCGCCCGGGAAATGGGGAGGACGCGCCGTGTCATTGTTATCGTACTGGTACAGCACCGTGGAGCGGTCGCCCAGGGCGGCTTCCGCGGCTGTCGCTGCTCAGCCCATGGCGTGTTCGGCCTGCTGGGATGGGTTGGCAGTGTTTCGCTTCTTCTCCTTCTTGGCCCAGCGCAAGCCGCAGGCGTTGCAGAGCGTCTTTGGCCCGCTCGGGCCCTTTCTCCATTCCGGAGAGTCCAGCGTTCCTGGTCTGAATTAGTGTCGAGCCCAAGTCTGCGAGTCGCACATGGGGCAGTAAACCTACCGCAGTCCGTGCAGACGTATTCCTCCGTCGTCTTTAACTTCTTCTTCTTCTCGCCGGGCCGGGAGTCGCGGTCGACGGGTATCGCTATGCCGGCGTCGCCCTTGATAAGGGTCGGGCTTGCGTTGCCCGTCGTAATCCCCCGGCTGCGCTCGCCCTCTTGGTACCGCAGTCCGGTCAACATCTCAATCGTGTCCGCGTGTGACGACCCCTCGTATCGTGCCATCTTATCCCGCAGCGAGTCTGGGCGGCTGCCGGCGGATGCACCCTCGAGGTTCTCTCTGGTCAGGGCGGCGTTGAGCGCATTGCGGTCCGATTGGCTCATCGAATCGCTGACACTGCCCCGGTAGAACGGCGTAACCGACGATGCGCCCGTGTCCTCTGATGGCGTGATGTCCGAACGGCCCTCTTGGCTCTGCATCCATTGCCGCTGCGCTTCGTCGGCGTCGGCCTCTTCCTCTCTGCGCAGCTCGGCGATGCGCCTCCTCAGCCGCTCGTTCTCAATCTTGTGTTCCAAGAATGAGTCTAGCAGGCCTGCGTTCTTTGTCGGGTACGGCCGGGCCATCATGAAGACGGCCTGGCAAAACGGCGATTGATTGTTAGGGTTGGGCGCAAACTTGGCGCTCGCGATGTGGGCGTGGCCAACGGCCTCGAATATGGCGTAAGAGCCGTCCTTTTTCTTGAAGCGGTAAAACATGCGCAAAGGGTTGCCCGACGCAATTGACTCATTGAGCTCCGAGACGAAGATGCCCTGGTCGTCCGGATGGATGAGATCCTTGAGGAAGACGTCGGACACCTCCTCGGGCTGGTAGCCGGCGACGCCCAGAACGCTGGGCGATGCGTACTTGACGCGGCCATTGGCATCGAGAATGTGCAAAAAGTCCCTAAGCTCCTCGACCACCTTGGCAGGCCAGTTCCTCCTCTTGGTAAACTCGGTCAGGGTGTTGCCGCTGGAGAGGCTCATCTGGGCAAAGGAGCCCGGGGGCAGGGGCCCAGCGCCGGGGACGTTGTTGGCGGCCGTGTTGAATTGGTTCTCAGCGCGTGCTATCGACTCGTCGGTGGCGCCTTGCTGCGCGGGCTCGGAATTGGAGCCAAAATCGGCGGCCCCGGCGTCGTCGCCCGTGTCCATCATCTGGACGTCGTCGAATGTGCCCAGCATGTTGCCGTCGAAGTAGCTCGCAAAGTCGTTGCCGGCCTGGGACCCGAGGTCGAAGTTGGGAAAGCCAAAGTAGTTGGGGTTGTCGGCGCCGGTGGCAGTGCCCTGCGGCGGGGGTTGGGTCTGGGACATGGCGGGCGACCGTTCGAGTGTTGCATTAGGCGGAGGGAGAGAGCCGTTTCCGTTTCCTCGCTCACCTCGCGCCCCCGGTCAGCAGCAGCAGCAGCAACAGCAACAGCAGCAGCAGACAAGAACAGACCCGGCCCAGCACACCAACAGACTCGCACACCACAGCGAGAGCTTGCTGGCTCAGAGGCCCTGCTCCGGACGCGCGCAGCAGCGAGCAGCCAGCAGCAGATGCAGCGAGTGGCGCCCGGGAGGTGGGTCGCAGAGCCTGTTCTCGACCGCGGTGACAGCGCCGGCAGAGCTGGGGTGGGATGCGACGAGGGGGAGGGGGAGGGGAGGGGAGGAGAGGAGCGGGCAACGCGCAAAAAGCGACGCCGATGAGGGGGTTGGCGATGGTCGAGGAAACGCGCGTTGCAGGAGGCAAAAAGTCGACGACGACAAGAACAGGTAGGTAGGTGGTGACAGACGGGACGGATCAACGGACGGCGGCGCAAAGGGACGAAATGAAATGGAGAGCCGCTACGGGACGATTGGTCGTGGCGGTTGGTGCGAACTGGCGTGCAGCAGGCAAGCAGCAAGCCAAGGGGATGAACGTTGTTGGCATTTTGGGTACGAGCTCGTTTTGTGCCGGCGGCGGCGCGGGAGGCATTGCTGCATGGCCTGGCATGGCAATGGCATGGCATTGGCATGGCAGAGCAGCACCCAAGCAAAGGCACCCCCTCCAGCATGGGCAACCTGGAAGTCTCATCCGCGCAATCCATCCACCCATCCATCCGTTGCCACCGGCGCGCCAACTGCCTGCCCGCCGTCCCGCCATCCGTCCCGCCAGCCCGCCCCAGCGAGCAAGCACCAAGAAGGTGGGCTCTTTGTCCCGCACTGGAACTGGACTCGACGGCCACGGCCACTATGACAGGCTGACGGACCAAAAGCTCCTGCAGAAAAAGCGGGCGGGCGGCACCAGCAAAGGCCCTAGTCGGCGCTCCATCTTTTTTCGCTCTCGTGCCAGCGAGGCTTAGGTTTCGCCAGGTCGCTACCCAGCAGGCCTCTCTGCGTACTAGGTAGGAACCTCTGGTTCCGAGCCTTCCATCCTGGAGCGTCGCTACTGCTGGCCATTGGTACCCAGCATCTGAGCGGTCGTCCATCTGTCTGCATGTCCATCCGTCTGCGGGGGGCCCCCCAGATTACCCATCCATCCCGCCGCCCGCCCTGTCCGGGTGGCCCCTCCGGCTCCGGGCTGCCTGCCACCTGCAGCCGCCAAAGGTAATTCCAGCTGTCGTTGTTGCCGCGCGGGCGCCCGGGTGGGACAGCGCCCGCACTGACAGCGCGTCAACATGACCTGTCAGGCCCCTGCGAGCCGCCCCCCTGGGGGGGGCTTTGTTCCCGCCGGGGCAGCTGGGGGGGGTTCCCGCGGGTGGCGGACGGTAGGTAGGTGGCGGGTGGTGGCTGTACGCCCACTGGGGCGACCTCCACTCACTGATTGTGCTGCTCCTGTAGCCACTGCGCGGTGGGACAAGAAGCCGCCCAGCGGCGTCCCCCCGACTGCAGCCGAGCACTAAAATCCATGAATGCTTGTCGCTGTTCCCGGCGGCCACCGCGCAGCCCATGCCCCGTCCCGAGGTTTCTTTTCGCACCTCACCTCATCCGCGAGCCTGTCGCTGCCGTCGCTACCTTGGCACCCGCCTCCCGCGGCGGGCTCGACTCCCCGGTCTGCAGGGCCGCGAGACGGCCGTCCTGCTTTGGTACGGCAAGGCGGTCGTGGCTGCTCGCTGCTGACCACCCACGAGAGCGATTGCCACCCAAATCCCCGATGCGGCCAACATGGGGAAACGAGAAATCCCCATGTTGCCCAACCAGGGGCTGGCCGACGAAGCCCCTCACCCACCAACCTGGAAGGCCCCTGGCTGGCATGAAAGCTCCAAGCCTTGCAAGCCCCAAAAGCCCCGAGCGAGCCTGCCCCCACTGGGCTGCCGCCAGCGCCTCCCACCACCACCACCACCACCAACCAGGTTACCATTTCGACAGCCGCCGCACGGCCCGTCGACAGCTTGAAGAAGGGGGGGCCACTGGGCCTCTCGCGGCCGGCTCAGTGGAATGGTCTGCTGCTGGACTTTGCGTGAGTATTGCGCCCCGACCAAACCCTGTCAAATAGCGACCCGGCTCGCAAGCCCTCGACCTGTTCCGACGCCGCCTCCTGGGCGACTCAGCATCAGCCATCTCAGCTCCCAGATGACAAGCAAAGTCCAGGACCGAGCGTGAAATACCACCCGCTGCACACCACTGCCGGCGCCTGGCGCTCCATTCCCTCGGGCATCCACGTGCCCGATCCTCCCCACCGCGGTCTAGACCCCGGAGTAGTCTCTCTCTCCACGGTCACGGAACACTGCATGCACTTGCACATCGACGGGTCAATCATCTGATTAGTTATTCATGGCTCCTGGAGCTGCTCCAGTTGTTGCGCGACTTGTGGCTTCAGGTACAGCCGGAACACCCGGTGGCGCCGAGTGGCGGAGGGAGTGCCGCCTTTGCGACGTCTTTTCGGCTGCTGATGATGAGTACAATAAGGCAGCCACACGCTTCCGCGACACTCAATGTCGTCGGGGGCTGTATTGGGCTTGCGTCAGGTACTTCGTGAGCACTGCGTGACTGCGGCGCAAGATATCTGTGTGTTTGAGACTGTTGTTTGGCCATGATGATGTGTCGCCTACAGCAAGACCTAGAGGACATGGCCTCGGTGCCTCGAATAAGCGACAAAAGGTTGCTGTTGCAGTCTGCCGAGGCCGAGTCTTGGCCACCCGGGATCGAAGAGGACATGGTCCCCGCCGAAAATCAAAGCCCGCGTTCACGAGAATATCACGAGCAAGTCGACAGGTCGAGCCAGCCCGCCTTGTGGGACGTGATGTGTCTCTCCTCAACAAAGAGACAGTAGTGCTTGGCTACTGTACAGAATATATGTACATGACTTATCACTATGGGATAAGCTCGCATTCGTCCAGCTTGTCATAGGTGGGTGGAAAGCGACCGTTCGGGCCCGTGGCCTCGTACCTGCGCAAGGACTTCTTCCACGCCAAGTAGTTCATTGCCGTCCCCCGTATCTCGGTCCAGCGACACACGCAATCCCCCAGTACCCTCTTGTCCCGGGCCGCTGTTTTCAGAGCGTATTCGACCCAGTGAGCGCTGTTCCAGTTTGCCTTGTTTGGTCTAAACACCGGGATGGACTGGAAGATTTTCCGGAGGCGCATCAACTTGTGTTTATTGAGCTTGCCGACGACGATACGGACCAGCGGCACCGGGTCTTTGGAGGTCAGGCTCAACTCCTCAAACGTCCAGCCCATGATCGATGGTCGCTTCGGGTCGAGCTCCTTCGGCGTTTGCGTGATTTGGTAGCACAAGCTCATGTCGCCCACTGACATGTAGCTCCTTCTCCCGATAATGAGCGCCCACTGGTATCTATTTGCGCGTAAGCCTGGGCTTCTTCAAGCCAAGCGCGCGAGTGATGGCTCACGCGTCTTCAGGCCTGGCCATCTTGGGCTTGGTCGACCGCGGGAACAAGGCCACGTAGAGACGGGCCCGGTGAAATCCCATACTGCCGGGGCCTGGGCGAGACGGGCGCTGCGCAACCTAGGATTTTGCTGCTCCCCGCGTATCGTCGCCCAAGGTCATCCAGAAAATGAGATTGATACCTTGGTAAGTTCTCGAAACGATGCGGCAAGGAGGTCAAGAGTTGGTGCACGGGCAACATGGATCACGGCGTTGAACAGCGAGCAGCACTTTTTGAACGGAGTGCCTGCCCGAGGACTATTAGCCACGTACGCAAGGAAAGGGCGCTCGATGATGCATTATTCAGTTTATCCGAGGATGTCGCAGGAAACATTGCGCTTTGATCATCTATTAAGTTATCGCCCACGTGCTTGCCTCACTCTTCAGTGTGTCTCGCTCTCCTCGGTGGCTGCTCTCGACCGGAGTCGGCAGACCATGTGTCGGTGCATTTTGGACCTGTGGCGCGCGTGTAAGGCTTCTCCGAAGCGAGGTCGTTGCGATACGATCTCATCCAATTAAAGACATTGAAGTCACTATTTGCAGCCCAAGCCCAGGACGAGGCTAAATGGCATGACGAGGTGCATCGCTAGTGCTGGGAGTCGAGGATTTGAGGATGTCGTTGGCCTTTGTTCGCTAGTCGGCGGTACGTATCGCTGGGTACAGGCCGCCCAGGCAGCAGCACGTGAGCACGCACCTCAGCTCAACGCGTGAACCCACTTGCGCGCGTCCTCAGCTCTGGGTCCTCGACGACTCGCTCCGCGCCCGATGTAACAACCAACGAGACGTCACTCCATCGGTTTCGCACGACGCTGCGGTTTGCACCTTGCTGCAGTCTTGATGCACCGACTGGCCCAGCATGTCGAGAATCGATAAGCTCTCCATCTCGGGCGTCCGGTCCTTCAGCCCGGCCGTCCGCGAGGCCATCCAGTTCAACACCCCGCTGACCCTCATCGTCGGCTACAATGGCTCCGGCAAGACGACCATCATTGAATGCCTCAAGTATGCCACCACGGGAGAGCTGCCGCCAAACAGCAAGGGCGGCGCTTTCATACATGACCCAAAGGTACCTTCGTAGCCTGTCCGGTCGCCAGACTGCGCTAATGTGCCGGGCAGCTGTGTGGTGAAAAGGAAGTCATGGCGCAGGTCAAGCTGCAGTTTCGATCCATCAACGACCGCCAGCATGTCGCGACGCGGAGTATGCAGCTCACCGTCAAAAAGACCACCCGCTCCCAAAAGACCCTCGACTGCTCCCTCGTCGTCGTCAACAATGGCGAACGGACGACGACCTCGACAAGACAGGCCCAGCTGGACGAGATGATACCCGAGCGCCTTGGCGTCTCCCCGGCGATCTTAGACGCGGTGATATTCTGCCATCAGGACGAGTCGTTGTGGCCCCTGAGCGAGCCCGCCGCACTGAAGAAGCGATTCGACGAGATCTTCGAGGCTTTGAAGTACACCAAGGCCATTGACAACCTCAAAGTGCTTCGCAAGAAGCAGATGGAGCAACTGGGCAAACTACAAAACGACGAGGCGCACAACAAGGTCAACAAGGATCGGGGAGAGCGCGCTGAGAAGCGCATGACCGGCCTGCAGGCTGAGATTGAGGAAGCTCGCGACAAGTGCGAGGGCCTGTCCACGGAGATGCAGGACACGCAAGACAAGATCAAGCAAAAGTATGAACAAGCGAACAGCTTTCTGCAAATTGTCCAGAACCTCAGCAACAAGAGGGAGCAGCTCGAATACCGCCAGGATGCCGTCGACGAACTCAAGCAAACGTTTGACGAGCTTCGCGAGGACGACGCGTCCCTCGAGGAGTCGTTGGCTCAGTACGAGGAAAGCATGGAACGGCAGAGGGACGAGGAACAGCAAAACAGGACGCAATATAACGATCTGCAGAAAGAGCTGGCTGACTCTCGCAAGAGCTTGTCGGCGAAACTGTCAGAGCAGGGCAAGCATCAGTCCGACAAAGACAAGTACGAGAGGCAGCTCAAGGCCCGTGTCGACATGGTTCAGGACGCCGCCCAGGCCCACGGACTCAGGGGCTACGACGGAGACTTGACGGAGCAGGACGTCAAGTCTTTCAACGACAAGATCCAGAAACTTCTAGCCGACAGGAAACGTGACCTTGAGCGACTCCAAAAAGAGAATGCGGCGGAACTCGACAAAGCTACCGCCCAGATCACAGATCTGGAAGGGCGCAAGGCGGCTAGGACGCAAGACCGCGTCTCTGCCAAGCAAAGGATGAACGCCATAGACAAGCGGACGCAAATCCTGCAGAACGAGGCTGGTTTGATAAATGTCGATGAAGGCGCCAAGGCAATCCTGGATGGCCAACTGGAGGAAGTCGGGACCAAGCTACAACGGGCCCAGCAAGATTTCGAAAAGGCCAACTGGGACAAGCAGATCGCCGACGAGAACAGCAACCTGTGGCAACAGGAGAAAGAAAACGAAAAGCTAGGCCAGGAGCTGGTGGAGTGCACTCGCCTCGCCTCAGAGAGGGCCCAGCTAGACTTCAGAAAGAAGGAAGTGGCAGATCGAAAGCGCAAGTTGGAGACTTTGGCGAGCACCTGGAGGCCGAAGCTCTCTGCGATTGTCGGAGAGAATTGGGAGCCAGAGACCCTAGAGCCGAAGTTCCAGTCATTGCTTGCGAAACAGAGCAAAAGCCTGCAGGACGCGCGGAAGAAGCGTGACCAAGCCCGGGAAAAGCAACAAAAGGTTGAGTACCGGCTCAAGACCGCAAAGGAGTCACAGGACAGCAAGTCGCAGGACGCAACCGAACGGAAACAAGAGGTTCTCGCCGCCCTCCGAAAGGTTCGCGACGGAGCGGTCATCGAAGACTTTAGCGAGGAGGTCACCGCCGTGGAGCAGCAGGTGGAGGATCTCAGAAACGAGTTGAGTCTCTTCGACGCACTTGTTGACTACTATAGCAAGTGCAAGCGAATGCTGGAGACCAAGAAGCGATGTCTCTTGTGTGATCGGCACTTTGACGACTCGCAAAGCGCAAGCCTCGACCGCTTGAGCAAAAAGATTGACAAGCACTTGGATCCCAAGGGAAGAGGCGAGGTGCAGACAGATTACAAAGAGGCATTGGCAAGCCTCGAGTCGCTGCGCGCGGTTCGGGCGTCATACGATACCTACGAGAGGCTGTCCACAGAAGTACCGAAGCTTCGAGATGAGTACAAGGCGATTCAAGCCGAGCACGACGCGTTGGAGCGCCAGGTGGAAGAGCTCGAGTCTGCCGTCTCCAGCGAGGAGGAAAAGCACAGAGACATGGAGGAGCTGTCCAAGACAGTCACCAACATTTCGCAGACCATTAAGGACATCCAAGAATCCGAGGGCCAAGTGGAGCGAATTATGTCTCAGCAGTCAGCTGGCGCTGTGTCTCGGAGCGCAGAGGAGATCCACGAAGCCCAGGCCGCCATCGCAGAGCAGATGAGGGGCTTGAAAAGCCGGATCGCAAAGCTCACGAGCGACCGGCAGCGGATGAAGGATCAAATAAACGGCCTCGAGCTGGAGCGAAGCGAACTGAACAACAAGATCGGTCGTGCGGCGGGGCAGCTTGAGAAGAAGAAGGATCTTCTAGCACAGATTCAGTCTCTCAAAGATGACCACACAGCGCAGCGAGAGATCATCCAGCGGGCGGACGAGGACCTGGAAAGTCTGGAGCCAAGCATTACCGAAGCACGGTCAGTGCGGGATGAGACGCTGCGACATGGCCGCCAAAAAGAGCAGGTCATCATCGACGAGCGAGATGCCATTGCCAACTCTGTGAGCGAGATCAAGATGCTGGACAGCGACATTGCAGACTATATCGACAGAGGCGGTCCATCCAATCTTGCTTCGAACCAGCGGGCCATAGCGGCTCTGGAAAAGTCCATCAGCAACACAGAAAAGGACATTACAGACGTCACCGTGCGGACAAACAAGCTCAAGCAGGATATCGCCAATGGAGACCGCAAGAAGAAGAACATTAGCGACAATCTCAATTATCGCAAGCATCTCCGCACGCTCGAGGTCCTGCGCAAGGACATTGCGGAACTCGAAGATCGCAACGCGCATGAGGACTATGAAAGGCTGCAGGCTGAAGCACGATCACTGGAGAACCATTCGAACCGCCTGTTCGCGGAGCGAGGCTCCGTCATGGGGACCATGAAGACCAAGGACGAGGAGCTGGGGAGGCTGCTGCAGGAATGGGAGATGGACTACAAGGACGCCAAGCAAAAGTATCGCGAGTCGCACATCCGCGTGGAGACCACCAAGGCGGCCATCGAGGACCTCGCGCAGTGCGGCGCCGCCGTCGACAAGGCCGTGATGCAGTTCCACTCGCTGAAGATGGCCGAGGTGAACCGCATCGCGGGCGAGCTCTGGCAAAGCACCTACCAGGGCACCGACATCGACACCATCCTGATCCGGTCCGACAACGAGTCCAGCACGGGCAAGCGCAACTACAACTACCGGCTCTGCATGGTCAAGCAGGACACGGAGATGGACATGCGCGGGCGTTGCTCGGCCGGCCAAAAGGTGCTCGCCAGCATCATCATCCGGCTGGCGCTGGCCGAGTCGTTTGGCGTCAACTGCGGGCTCATCGCGCTCGACGAGCCCACCACCAACCTCGACCGCGACAACATCAAGAGCCTCGCCGAGAGCCTGCACATGATCATCAAGACGCGCCAGGCGCAGAGCAACTTCCAGCTCATCGTCATCACGCACGACGAGGACTTTTTGAGGCACATGCGCTGCAGCGACTTTTGCGACAGCTTCTTCAGGGTCAAGCGCGACGAGAGGCAGAACAGTGTCATTGTGAGGGAGAGCATCACCAAGATTTTCTAGGCGAATGCGTCGTGTCGTGTGTCCGTCCATCCGCGGACAGGGAGAGCCTGGCCACCACACTATTTACTTGTACATGTATTTTAGCTTGAGCTGGAGTTGGGGGACTTTACGCTGCATCGCCATCCGTCCGCCGCCGTCACATTCACAATGTAATACCACATCAAGTCCATGATAAAGAGGGGGTCCGTGGCCATCACTTTTCGAAACGAACGAGTCATTCGTAGTACCGTTTTGTCTTATCACGCCCATTATGTCTGGCGGGATGGATAACCTTGGTACGCCTGCCAGCATACTCCTGTTTGCTTCGCTGTCCTGTGCTCATCTATTGTTGTACAGTGATTTGATAACGACAATCCCTGATTCGATTCGACCGGCTCGTGGTATCATTCATCCGCTGCTTCCCATCCCGTCCCTTCCCTTGCTGTCTTTCCAGAAGCGCTGAGGCCAAATAACACCCCAAGTTTCCCTAATTTTCCTCTCCCAAATTATGGCTCCTCGTCCATTGCGTCGCTGCGCGCAGTGTCCGCCGGATCAGACACTATTGTCCACCCATCGTCCTTTTCGAGGGTGGCGGCCGAGAGAGTATCATCCGACGAGGCAGCCTGTTCATCGGCAGTGTTATCGCCCTCGCGCACGGTGGTGCTCGTCGCGTCATCGCGGTCATCGTCGACGTCATCCGCGTCGCTCTCCTTGAGCTTCTTAGGCGACGCACCCTCGAGCGGCTGCTCGGCCTCGCGCTTCGTGCCCGTGCTGTCCGCGCCGGGGCTGCGCATGTCCGTGTCCTCCTCGGGCGTGGTTTCGCCGGTGGCGGCGGCAGCAGCAGTGCTTGGGTGCGTGACTTCGTCGTCCTCCTGTCGGCGGCCGAGCGCCGCGGCGACGTCGATGCCCTGCATCTCGACGCCATCCTCGCCCATGTGGCTGGTCGTCGGCGCCTGAGGTCCCGTGTCGCCCACACCAATCTCCTCCGGGCCACGCGCGTGCGGCGTCTCTTCCTCCTCCTCGTCTTCCTCGCCGGCGCCGCTGCCCTCCATATTGCGGTCCTCCTCGCTGGGGCCTTCCTGATTGCCACCCATGGGGCCGCCGGCGCCTGGACCGCGAGAGAGCTGGCTGACGGGTACGACGCCTGCTCTCTGCTCTTGCCGCAAGAGCTCGCCTTGCGTGACGCCCCTGGCGTGTCCCGTTGACGGTACGCCGTTCACGCTAACGGAGACGGTCTCTATACTTCCCATGCCGTTAGGCCCGTCGATCGTCTCGGTGCCCTCGCTGTGAATCTGCGCGCTCCCTCCGGGCGTCGTGTCACCGTTGCTGCTCTCGGGGCTGCGCCGCGTCAGCCAGGGAATCGGCGTCAGGAGCGCGCCGCCGAGCGCCTCGTCGGACCCGAGGGGCGCCGTGGTCGGGTTGCTCCACGCCACCGTCGCCGCAGGGTCCCTAGCGCCGCTGCCATCTTCGCCGTTAGCGAGGCCCGCGGGACCGCTCATGGCGGACATGTCCGGCACCGCGGGGGGCAGCGGGTAGATGTTGGTGCCGGACGTGACCTGGACGACCCTGTCGACGGCGTGGAGGTAAGAGGTGAGGGCCTTGTAGTGGGCGCGCGGGCTGATGACGAGCTCGGCGAGGCGCTGGATGGTGTGCGGCGCGTAGGTGGTAAAGGTCTCGAGGTGGGACTTGATGCCGGCGAGCAGGTCGGCGATCTGCGCGGGCAATTCGCCCGGCGCGGGGGATTTGGGCGCGGCTTGGGTAGCCGCCTCGGGAGCCTTGCCCTCTGCCGGCTCATTCTCCTTGTTTGCTTCTTGGGACGACTGCTCGAGGGGCGATGACGACGGGAGCGGGGAGAGGAGGCGAGGTCGAAGAGGGAGATGCGGGAGAGTCGGGACCGTGAAGTCATTGTGTGCAATCTGCAGAGCCGTCAGGTCAGCCGCCGCGCTCGACGGACGCCAGGAGGGGAGGGGAACACGGCACAAACCTTGTCTAGGCGCGACAAGATGTCGGCTCGGAGCGTAGGCCATGATCCTCTGCGGCGGCCGATGGTCAGCGAGCGTCTCACATGGCGCAGCCAACGAATGTTCCTGCGGGCGCTTGACGAAGCAGCCGGGGGGGGACGGAAACTTACTCTAGGACGGGGGCGCCGCACGCAATCTTGGAGAGCGCCTCATTGTCGTTGTCCACCTCCATTGCTGGGGGCCCGGGGCGCTGCGCTTGTTGCGGTGCAGAGCGTTCCTAAAATGTATGCGATGTTGCGATGGAGGAAGCGGTTGCGTGCCAGGATGGATGCATGGAACGAACATTGACATTCGCCCGTGGTCACACCTGCCGTGGCGCGCGCTACGCAACTTGCCGCCCAAGTTCTGGGACTGGGTGGAGCTGCACCAAGCGGGGCGGCGGCCCCGATAAGTGCATGCCCGGGATCTGGGGACTCTGTGCACTGGTGCAGTAACTCGCACGTCAGCTCCTTGACATCAAGTCAGTGCAATTATACGCATCAATCCCAATCTTCGTTCTTGTGAAAGGGGCAGAATAACGTCTCTAACGCACCAGACCCTTGGCAATGATATCGTTGCCATCATTCATCATCTATCGTTCTGTCCGCTACTGCACGTCTCTATACATCCACTTGGCCGGGTCCAGCACCACCTCAAAGCTCACCGCGTCAAACGTGCCCACCGCGCAGCTCAAGTCGTGAAAGCCCTCCAGCCCCGTGACGGGCAGGTCCTGCTCCGCGTCCGTCTCCTCGTGCAGGTCCCAGCCGCCCACGCGCGTGCCGTTGCGCGTGAAGAAGATGTCGACTTTCGGGTGCGCGCCCCCTCCAGGCGGCGGCCGCAGCGTCACGCCCAGGCCGTACGTGTCCCCGCGGCGGAACTCGCCCGTAAAGTCCTTGCCGCCCCAGCGGTCGTTGATGAACTTGTGCCCGTCGTCGCCGTGCACCGCCAGGCTGCCGCGGTGCCACCCCGGCATGCGGAAGGACGGGTACGGCAGCGCCGCGAAGCCCATGGCCACCGACGTCTCGCGGCTCGAGCCCAGCAGCTTGACCTCGTAGTAGATGGTCTTGGCCTGCTGCGTGCGCGTCGGGTCGTGCTGGTTGACCACGTAGAGCGGCGGGTAGCTGATGATGCACCGGTCCGGGCTGCCCTTGGCCGTCGACGCCGCCCAGTGACCCTTGCCGAGCCAGTTTAGCGAGCCGTTGAAGCCGACGGGCTCGATGAGGCGGAAGTTGTAGTCTTGCAGCGCCGCTTGTCCCGCCTCATCGAGGACCAAGGGACGCGCCAGGGGGTACTGCTCGCACCACTGCTCGCCCGCGATGGCCTCCTCCTCGCTGGCGTTGGTCGTGTGCGACCTGTCGTAGCCGCTGAAGAAGGGGGGAGGATCCGGGAACAGGCTCGTGTCTGGGACGGCAGCCTGCCAGTCGTGCTCGAACTTGGAGTGAGCTTGGTCAGGGGGCGCATCCTTGGGCGGCGCCGCCCAGTCGTTGGACGCTGGAGGCGGGCCTGGCGGTGGCGCGTAGTCGTCTTGCCGCTTCTCGGGGGGCGGCCCGGTAGGGGGAGCGTAGTCGCCTTGCCGTCCTGGCGGCGGGCCGGCCGGAGGGGCATACTGCGTCTGCTGTCCTGGCGGCGGCCCCGACGGAGGAGCATACTGCGTCTGCTGTCCTGGCGGCGGGCCCGACGGAGGAGCATACTGTGTCTGCTGTCCCGGAGGCGGCCCCGAAGGAGGAGCATACTGCGTCTGCTGCCCCGGAGGCGGTCCCGCCGGCGGCGCATACTCATCCGCCCTCTGCAACCCAGACGGCCCCCCTCCCGACGCATACCCGCCATCGCCAGGCCCACCACCACCATGACTCTGCTTCCCCTTCACATCGCTCCCCCCACCGCTAAATGGCCGTGGCTGCTGCTGCTGTTGCTGTTGCTTCTTCTCGGACTGCTGCTGCTGCTGCGCAGGTCTCGGCGCCGGCTCGTCGTCGCCGCCGCCTCCGCCCGCGTCCTTGGACCCGAAGCACATCGTGAGGGTGCGCGCAGCCGTCTCTCACTTTGTGAGAGGGCGAGAGCGAGAGACAGTGAGTGAATGACTGAGAAGTTGAAAAGAGGTAGGGAAAAGCCGAAGCAAGTGACACGGGAGAATAATGGTGTGACCCGAGCCAGGGGAGCAAGGTCCCGTCGTCCGACTTGTATATACGTAGTATGGCACACACGGTGTTCAGTCCGGTGGCTGTGCTGTGCTGCGGCTCAGAGCTGTCCCGTCGTTGGGGCGAACGGAAGTCGTCTCACGCCATGACATCGTCGCCGCCAGGGGAGCCCCCCCCCCCCCGGCTTGCCCCAGCGGGCACGTGGGGGAGTTTCTATGTGGGCCGTGGCCCCCAGGCCCCAGCAGGCATCCACCAACCTTGTTTGCTTGTCATTCTTTGTCTGCTGGGCCTCGGGGCATCACTGGTTGCCTCTTCTAGCCATGACACTGCCATTCTGGGCAGGCAGGAATGGTCGTAGAGTTCAAATTTATTGACCAAGGTACTTGTGAATACAGCGAACCAATTATTTGGAATTTGTGGCCCTAGCTTCAACCACGTCGCGCCAAGCTAGGCGTACACCCAGCTCAAGCTCCAGACGTCATCCAACGTCGCCCAGTGTGGCTGTGCTCAACCTTGGGATAACCGCCCTGGCGGCCTCTCGACATTTGTCACCGCACAATATTCGCATGGCTTCAGAAGAAAGCGTGATATGCATAGCAATTCAATTTTCTTGGTTGATAGTAATCTTTCAGGGCCTCAGCATGGCCAAAATCAGGCCCGCCGGCGCCCCTTGAGATCATTACAAACTCCAGTTACTCGAACGAATGGTCGTCGGCCGATTCTCACCAGCCAGGCCGACGATACAAGAACGTAAGTCATGTTGTGCCACAGCCTCGCGCACAACCAGTAGCCCTCAGCTACGCAAGCCTTGAGACGATGTCGTCGATGGCCCTACCACGGGCCGACTAATCTCCCCACTGACTTGCCTGGTTGCTGTCTGGATAGAAGAAGGCAACGATGGCAATGATGATGTACACGGCACACAACAGCGCACCTTCGAGGTAGTTGCTGCGACCGTCCAACACCAGAAAGTTGACCATGAATGCCGACACGAACAGGCTGACCGTCTCAAACAACGTGAAGTACAGCGAAATGTCGTGGTGCGTGATCCATCCGAGAATGATAATGAGGGGCGTCACGAAGATGGCAATCTGGATCGAGCTACCAACCGCGACGCCGATGGCCAGGTCCATCTTGTTCTTCATGGCAACCGTGATCGCCGTGACGTGCTCTGCCGCATTGCCCACGATGGGCAAGATGATGAGACCAATAAAGATCTCGCCAATCGTCGACGATTTGGTCACGGCTTCGATCGATCCAACCAGAAACTCGGCGCAAACTGCCACCAGCCCCGTCGTCAAGAGTAGCAGGATGACGGACGCCGGTCGGGAAAGATGCTCATCGTCATCGTCCTTGGCTGCTCGGTCGGCCGCGCCGCCAACATAGCCAGTGAGGCCCGCGAGTGCCGCAAGAGGGACACGTGGAGGCAACATTGCACCAGGAGCTCGGATCTGGTATTGCTCGTTCAGCCTGTCGGGAAGAGAGTTTGTCCTTCTGATGCCATAGCGAACACGGGGGACCGGGCCAGAGGGAGTCGGAGGAGGAAGTCCACCCATCGGCTCTGACCTTTGCGCAAAGACCGTCGGCGCTAGATTCTTGACGGACATCCCACGAAGTGTGGGGAACGGTCGTTTGGCAGGTGCAGATGCATCATCGCCTGCGCCCGTCGAGGCAGCGTTGGACGCTTCACCCCGGACGGCGAAGTCCACACGCCTCGGCTCGCCATCGTCGGCGCCCAAAGCTTTGTTTTCAGGGCCTTCGCTGATGGTTGGCTCGAGGTCACCTGCTTGGTCCTTCTTCCTGTGCTTGCGTCCGTGGCGGCGAAGGCGATGTCTCTTGCCGCGTTTGTGAGGCTTCTCGTCGTCAACGGCAACTTCCGTGTTGGTGTCGGTAAACGAAATCCGTTGAGAGAACCCCGGACGGGAAGACGATGACTCCGAAGCCAGTTCCTCGTTGGGACTGGCGTTTTCCTTTCCAAAGGATCCGTTGCGCATTCCGTTCGTTTCGACCGTATCAATGGAGGTGACTGACGACTTTCTCCGACGTCCACCACGGAAAACCTTCTTCACTTTTCTGCGCATAGTGTCCCTGGAGCGGCTCGAAGAATCTGAATCGGAGCTCGAGTCGGAGCTCGATTCAGAGCTAGAGGTGTCCAGCCATGAGGCGGCAGGGCCTGGGATCGCCTCGGCATCGACAATGTGCTGAGGCGTCGACTCATACATGTAGGCATGAGATTTGAGTTGGAACAAGAGATATACGCCGTAAACCAGTAGAAGAATCTGAGAGCACGCGTTAGCGCAGGTGGTCAGGTCAACGAGGACAGGTACACTCACCACGCTGGTACCACGGCTAATCTTGAGCGACTGCCTGTCGGCCAAGTCGGGGTCGTTAAAAGATGCGTGGAAGGCGGTCTGCAGAGATGTTAGCGTAAAGCTAGAAGTTGAATACAGTGATGCAGACATACAGGCAGTACAAGACTGATGACACTCAGACTTAGAAGACAGGCGCTCATCTGTGTGACAGTGCTGTTGTAAATCTGTTCCCGGTAGCGCAAGCCACCGAGGAAGAAGCCCATGCCAAGAATGAGCAGCAGGTTTGCCAAGATGGAGCCAAGGAGCGATGCCTGGACAATGCGGATTTGGTCCTGTGGCAGTGTCAGTACCGCATAGGGCTGGAGCGGCTGGGCGATCACACATACCTTGACCAATGCAATGCTGCAGCGCGACAGAAACCCAGGTCAGCATATCGGCTCTCTTACCGAAAGGCAGTTCTGCACTTTCTGGCGCCTCCCGCGCAGGATTCAACAAGGGTGAGATCGAGCGTAGTGCACTTACATGCTGCACAGACCAGTTAGCAAGACAGCGTCACAGTGGCCAGGAGCAGCATATATCTCTTACAATATGATGAGTTCCACGGCATTGCCAAATGTCACATTGAGCAGGGCTCCAAGGGAGTCGCCCATGTTACTTGCGACCGACTCGGTCGCGAAACTGAGAAGGCCAGCGAGGGGAATCACGGCAATGCAGTTCATGGCGAAGACGATGCCGCCGTGGACGCCTGGGACGTTGGCCACGACGATACCGATGGGGACGAAGACGAGCAAGACATTGAGCCAGCTGTACGTCACGACCATCCAAAAGGTCCTACGAACTTCTTCGACGAAGCCCCGCTTCTTCTTGGAGGCATTGTCGTCATCGGCCGTGGCGGTGTTGTTGTTGCCTTGATGGCTGTTATCGATGCTGAGGGATCCGTCGCGCGGTGCAGCGGCCCCTACGACAGCCCCCGGCACCTCATCCTTCGGTGATGCGACAGCCGCAGCATGTCCGGAGAGGGTACTGACGGAGCCTGTCTCGAGTTTGCCGAACTTCTCGTCGGCAGAGCTGGTGCCTGGGACAGCATCGCCGCGGAGGTTGCCGGTACTGGAAGCATGGCGATTGCGATGGTCGGGGGTCGAAAGCTGGTTGCTGGTGGTGGCGACGTGGTTGATATCGCTACTCTTGGAGCTGCTCGCGGGCTCATTCACGGGCGGCGAATGAGATAGTCCGGACGACGAACGGCGTGATACTCCATGCGCGTTTGGTATTGCACGGGAGCGGGCTATGTCGGGGGGTTCAGAGGAACTTTCCGTCATCGAAATGGTGAGGTCACCGGCGGAGAGAATCGTCGTCACGGGCGTAGAGAGCGTGCACGGTCCTTTACTGTCCTTCTGGACGTCTGCGGCGAGTCCAATATCTGCCGCAAGTGGTAGGTCTCTCGTGGGCTGATGAGAGCAGAGGCGATGCGAAAAGCAGGAAGAGAGAAGGAGGAAGAGTGTAAGTGAGAGTCGGGAGGAGGTGGAATGACAGAGGATGGGGCTTTATGGGTGGCGGGAAGTGGCAGCTTGCGCACGCATGGCAGGAGCAGCCCCCGGGGAAGCAGCTACTGTACCTAAGCTTAGGTTCCCACTACGAGTCGTAGCGCTACGCTGAAGCCCGGGAGCAAGGGGAGGCGCGAGCGCGGATGGGGCAGCACCACCCAACCCAACCTTGTCATCTTGTCCGTCCTGTTTGGACCGCCTGGACCTTGGAAGAATGCAGTGGAGACCAAAAGGTACAACAAACAAGTCTGGTACGGATATCCCTGTCGGGAACCGGCCTGGCCTGGCCCCCCGAACGGACATGCATGATGACTGACTGACGGGAGTGCGCCAAACATGATTGACGCCGCCGATTTGCCGCTTGCTCCAAGCGGGCAGGCGAGTGCGACCCGAGCCACTGGGTAATGGGGTGCTAGCAGGTCGCTGGAACAGCGCTAACGTAGCAGACATCCAGTACCTCCGTGGACACTGTGGCTCAGTGGATGGACATCACCTGCTGTAACGCGAACCTTACCTTCCTTCCACCAAGTGGACGTTTTCCAGGTTCCCAAGGTGGAGTGGAGCCCCTGGCTATGATGTCGTTCAGCAGTCATGGCGGCCACGATGTGGCGGTGCTGATTGGCGCCCCAGAGCCCTCCCAGACGTCACTGGCGCAGGGGCAATCTCGCTGCACCGCGCCGCTTGCTCCAGCGGGCTGCCTGGATGCATGGCGGGCGCCGGAGGTACCTGGAAGTAACGCGCGTCAATCATCGTCAGTGGAACAGCCCCGAGCCCGGCATCCGGGCACGCACTGCAGACTGCCCGACGACGATGCGGCGATGCAAGCTGGGCATCCGACGCATGTCGCATCCCACTCCCCCCTTCCCGGCTCCCAGGGTTGTTCCCTCCACGCAGAACCACCCGCCGCCCCCATCGTGCGTGCGTGCGTGCGTGCGCGCGCATGGACGAGAGAACAATGCCGGCCGGCTGTGCGACGCGACCCTCAACCTGGAAATGGCACGGCGCCGCTTCTCGTATCTTCCTTTCCCGCCGGGAAGACGACAGAACCAAACAACATACCAAGTCGGAAAGCAAGGTACGTACTGTATCAGAAAACCGACCAAAAAAGACCTCCGCCCATCAGGCTTTGTAACGTGCAAACCAAGTACCGAGATTGCGAGCGGCCGTGATCCGTGCCGCCGCGCGCTCTCCGATCGGCTGCTTCCCTTCCCTCCCCTCCTCGCTTTGTGCTGCGAGACATCCCGAACACACGACGGCTCCCAATCTCGCACCGCATCTCACCGCAGCGCGTGCGCAGCGACCGCCGCCCGTGCTCGCCGGCGGAACCCCCCCTCTTCCATAATCATCTAGAACAACACGCCTTGGAATGTGCTGATAGTGCTGCGACTGCCTTCGTCCGGCTTCCAGCGCCCAGAAATGTGACCTGTATCTTTCCCGCGCCGCGCGGCCGTGAATCGTGCTTTGTGGACTGATTTTTTTAATTATTGAGAATCACTTCCTTCACGCGCGTCTCTGGGAAGGTAGGTATATCATGCCCATCTGCCTGTCAGTCTTGCGCTGTTTATTAGAAAAACATCTCGCATGCCCGAGTACTCGTCTTACACGCGACCTCTGCACCTCGGAGCGAGCACCCAATGATGCCATCTGGTGTCTGTCTTGCGCCGGTCATACAAACACCTCGCATGCCCTCTCCCCGTCTTACACGCAACCTCACCACTACATCCCGTCCAAGAACACCACCACATGCTCTCGGATATCCGGCTCCTTCCCCCTCCAGGCCACAGCCAGCCTGTGAGCCCCCCTCGGACATCCGACTCGCATCAACCCAGCAGCACCGTCATGACTATGCTGTCGCACACGCGTCGCACAGCAGTCAAGCCCAGCAAAGACCCCGACTTTTAGCGCCAATCATCGGCCTCAAACCCCAACCTCCAACCTACTCTACGTACTCTCTTTGGTGGCGCGGAGTCGAGTGCCGCCGCTCCGGCTCCGAGATCAAGCTTGATGGAGTTACGCATCGTCCACCAACCCCCGGCCGCAACGCTAGCGGGGCGGCGGCCTCCCCGAGCCGGGCGGGAACCGCAGGGAATAACTGCAAGGTCGCGCAGCAGCTGCAAATGTGGCTGTGCAGTGTGTGACGCATCGCGCCCACGACAGTCATCACCAATGATGCACTCAGCAATCCACTTCCTCGCAATGGCCGAAGCGCATCGTTTTCCGAGGTGGATATGGTGAGCGCGGGGCCGCAGCATCACGCCGGGCTTTTGTCCAGGGAACCCGCCTTCGACTTGTCATGCGCTGCGACGCTGCTCGCCCGCTTGCTTGCCCACCATGCGTCTCTAGGGTAGTGGATGAAAGGCGCGTGCCATCAACCAGGAACAGGCATCACGAGGGCCATGACGTATTCATGCGCCAACGTGCAAGTCGTCGGTTATCACTGCCGAAACACTGTCTCTCGGAGTCTTACCGGCTGTCTCGTCTTCGCGCCCTCACCCGGATGGAAACTGTCGCACGAGCCGCAGCGTCTCAAGCACGCGACTGTCGCGGTGGCGGCCGGTCACTGCGACTTTCACCGACAACACACAAGCGTGAAGCACGTTCGGTTCACCGTTTCTCATAGTTGATCAATTTCATCCCCCAGCCCTCGCTGATCACCTCAGTCAGACTCGCAATCTGCATGGACATGCCATGCCGAGTCCCGCCCTCCAGCACCATCGCTCAAAGTCGCACCCAGCCGCCGCCACAATGCTTATGCTCACAGAGTATTCACACAAATGTATACCACAAGATACAACCTCCCCGGACTCTGGGCTTTGCTGCGAGGCGCGCCAATTTTCGGCAACGCGCCTCCAGGCCCCCTTTCTGGCCCTCCCACAAGGGTGGCTTTGCTATGAAGCGAGCTTCAGATCAAACTGGCGTTTGCGCCAAACAAAAAGCATGAACAAAGGAAAGACACGAAAGGAAATTATGAACGCATTAGTCCTCCCAACACGCTGCGTTCTCGGCGCTCGAGGGGAGATTCAACAGCATCGGCCGTGATGAGAAGAGAAGATTAAGCGTGCTGATGGGGCCACGGCCTGAGTGCGTTCGTGGCCCAAGAGTTGAGAGGCGGCCGTTAGTTGCCGGGTGCTGCACCGTCGACGGGTGGCGGCACAGAGTCCTCAACCCGTTGAGTAACTCAACCGCACCGCCCAGCAGCTTTTCGCGGACGGTGGGGATGCCAGTCTGATGTGTCTCGCATCAAAGCTTTCTTTGAGATGGGAGCACAACGCCTAAGCTGCGGTTACCGATCGTCCCCGCCTCTGGCCTTGCCTCGTCTCCTAAAAAAGTCCATTACCCGCTTGGCGGCACCGCTGCTGCCTTCATGGCCGCGATAGTCGCTCTGGTCGTACGCGTCGGTAAATCGCTTGTGGTTCTTCTGCAGAACCCCTCGGTTGCCGCGGCTGGTCCCGAGTCGCCGCCCATCATCGCCTTCGGAATCTGCGAAGCCGTGTCGGTAGGAGCCCGGCTGAGGTTCCGTTGGCGGCCTTCGCATCTCCACAGACGACTCCGAAGCGCTATTGAAATGAGAGCCGGTCTGCATATACTGCGGAACGGCGTTGGGTCTCCTTCCGTCAGACCGGTACCGCTGGTGGTATACAGGACTCGCGTTTGCTCTCTCTTGGGGAGGCGCGTTGTTGTCATACATGTTGTCGAAGAAGGGCGAGCTCCCTCTCGCATCCTCGGGAGCCGTCACACTTCTCGGAAGATCCACGCGAGGTGCCTGAATCGGCAGGTCTTGCTGAGAGCCCATGTCGGTGGGCGGAGTCTCGGAGTAGTCTTTGCCGAGACCGATCGACTTGAGCGAGAAGGATGCCGGCAGCAGCGAGAAGCGTCGACGATCCTTCTTCTCACCAGACCCCTGCGAACCTGTCATGCTGCCACTGCGCTTCTTTCCGAGGCCCAGAGAAAACGAGCGACGCGACGTACGAGATTCCACAGACGGTCTGGAGACGGGCTCTTCGGCCGGAGGCATCGCGTTGGACATGCTGACGGGGGGATACCTCTTGGCTTTCTCGGCTTGCGGCTCCGGGCGCTTCTTATTCTTGCCGCCGAACACGGATCCGCTGCGACCCAGAAGTCTCGAGCCAATGTCGCCAATGGTGCTCGACCGCTTGTGGCCGCGGACCTCGTTGCCGCGGTTCTCGTGGAAGCCTGTCATCTTGGCGAACTTGGGGGGAACCCTCACACTGGGCTGACCCATGCTTCCATCGTCGTTCTCTGCGTTGGTTGGCTGCTGGATACGCCCCTGAACGTTTGTGTCTGCAATCGTCGGCGGTACCGGCTGTCCGTAATTGCCGCGTGATTGGAAGCCCATGGACGCACCAGACTGCATCGAGCCTCCGGTCTGCGGTCTTGCTCCTGCGAACGCATTGTCGGAAATGGCCCGCGTGTCTCGCGTATGACGCGGAAGTCCCGTGGTGTGGGAGCTCGGCGGCCTCCTCGACTGGTGTGAAGCCCTCGCGTAGCCATCAGCAGATACAGGAGGATCCTGAGGCAAGGGCTTGTCCCTTGGCGACGTCTTCTGCCCGTCCTCGTAGTCCGCCGGGGCGGGCGCGCCGCTCGGATCGGCTCCGCGTTGCGTTTGTGTTGTTGGCGCCACGTACTCGACCTGCACGGTCCGGCGCTTGGCGTCCTTGGGTGTGCGATACGCAGGCTCGACTTCCTGGTCGATTTTCGCGTGCGCCTTGGCGAGACCTCCAACAGGGGCAGGCGGCGCCGGCTTGTGTTTCGGAGTCTCTCGCACAGACGCGCTCCTCGCAATGGAGGGCTGCTCGACAAACTCTTGGGGAGAAGACGCGTTCTGCACCTCAGAAGGCAAAGTTGTGGAGCTCGTGATGAATTCGACAACGTGGGCGTACTCGCTCAACCAGCTATGCCGTGCAACCTCGAACAGATCGGCCCGCTTGCGCGGGTTCGGGACGAGGATCCGCCGCAAAAGGTCGCGCGCATGAGGGGTGACGTATTCGGGGAACGTCAGTGGGGTGGAAACGATGTACTTGTAGAGCAGATTGATGTTGTCGCCTTCAGGATTCGCAGGGTCGTCATCGAACGGAAGGTATCCCGCCAACATCGCGTACTAACAACACGTTAGCCAGTGAACAGCAGACAAAGCAGATTTCAAACTCACAAGGATAACACCGCAACTCCAGACATCAACCTTCCTTCCAGTGTAGAGAGAATCGCTCACGACAAGCTCGGGCGCGGCGTAGCAGGGGCTGCCGCAGCTCGTCTGCATCAGGTCGCCCTTGCGCATGCCATTGGCCTTGACTTTGTCCAGACCCAGCCTCTTGACAAACTCGCGATCCGTGAGATTGAGCTCCTCCTCGTCGGTGAGCTCCTCATTCGGGTCAAAGGTGTTTGCGAAGCCGAAGTCTGTGATGATAATGTTCCTATGCCGATCCAACAAGAGATTCTCCAGCTTCAAGTCGCGATGCACGATGCCCTTCTTGTGCAGGTAGCCGACACCAGAAACGAGTTGTGAGAACAGGCGCCGCGCTGAGTTGTCTTTCAGGTATCGATGGTTCAAGATGTAGTCGAACAGCTCGCCGCCCGACGCGTATTCGAGGATGATGCCAATGTATCTGTCGGTCTCTATCATATCTATTAACCGAACGATGTTGGGGTGCTGTACGCCGCGCAAAATGGTCACTTCGCGTCTAATCTTGCTGAGGCGGGACGGATTGCTGCCGACAGTGTCACGCTTGATGAGTTTGATGGCTACCTGTTGCTCTCTGTCAGCCTTGCTCGCGTGCATCTCAAAAGAGGTCACAGGACGTACCTGAACGCTGCTGTCCTGCTTCCAGCCAAGTTTGACCTTGCCGAACTCGCCCTCGCCTATGGTGTTGCCTAGGATGAAGTCTCCAAACTTTGACGTTCCTTTGTGGCTTCGGCTGTGATCGTGTCTGCTGCGACCGCCTCGTCGCTGTTCTTCTGGGGCAGGGGGTGCGGCAGACATGTTCACTGTCGGGGCGGGCGCCGCCTCAACGTCGTGCGAAGTTGAGCCATGGTAGGTCGCTCGGGCCTCGCGACCGCTGGGCTCCTCGGCGTTGGAGATTGCCCGCATCAAATTCTCGCTCGCTTCTCGGGGCTGTCTCGATGAGGAAGGCTGATGGGTTCGTATGGGAATCGAAAGGTCGGCAGGGCGGTCTTCCCGACTGCTGGGTGGTCGCGCACCGGCATCATGCGGTACGTGGGAGTTGGCAGTTCGCTTGCTCCGTTGGCCGTCGGCCTGGCCATTGGCATCGCCCCGGGAGCCGCTTCGCGAGGACTCCTGGTGGGCGTGTCTCTGGGCGGCGGCCGCAGCGGCTGCGTCGCCGGCAGCGTAATCCCTCCTAGAGCTCGCGGGCTGATGGGCCGAAGACGAGGTTCGAGGAGGGGCAACAGGAGGCATGTTCGACATGCGGTCAGCGGTCGAGGGGCGCTGATGAGGCGCGGATGCGGCGGTGGGAGCGGTTCGAGGCGGGCGCGAGGCGGCAGTCAAGTCGGCCGAGGCAGAGGGGGCGTGTCCGCTCGTCTTGCGGGACGGAGGGCGTCTCGAAGATGATGGCGATGCGGTTGCTGTCTGATTGGCATGATAAGCCTCTCGGTTTGGGGAAGAGTGCGGCGACGTGTACTGGCGGCCGGAGGGAGAGGGCAAGGGGGGTGACGCCAATGCGGTTGGTTGGCGGGCAACTGTTTGTAGCGCAGCCGACATCTTCCTCGCGTCGACGCAATCGGGCCTGCGACGAGGGCGGGTGCAGGCCGTTGGCGGCCGTGTTGGCAGATGCAATCACGATGGCTCGTCGAGTGCACGCCGACGGGAGGAATTGGGGGACGCGAGGTTTGTTGACGGCTGAGAGACGGGCGCAGCAGTCAGCGGAAGCAGCTCTGACCGGGCAAGCGGTGACAAAAGGGTCGCAGCGATGTTGGGGGGGTGCGGCCTCGCCCAAACAGGCCAGCGCCCAGCTGGAGGAGCGCACGCGCACCGGCACAGGCAGAGCAGCCCCGAACAGAGCAGAGCAGACCACCACCACAGCAACGCCCAGATGCCAGGGCTGCCGGGGTTCAGCGAGGCGGCGACGCGACAGAAACAAGGGGCCGAAAAAGAAAACTGCCGTGGCGGGCAAGGGTGCACGGGATGACCGCACGCAGAGGCGAGCCGGGCGCACGGCAATCAGGAACAGAGAGTCGAGGTGCAGGAACGGAGCCAACTGGGAGTTTCAAGACGTACGTACCAACTCTGCAAGCAGGCCTGCGCCCTATCGCATGGTCCCCGGGCCGTCGACGAGGAAAGGTTGCGTGTGCTGACAATGAGTCGACGTGGTGGTCCGGCAGGCGTCGCGGCCGAGGAGCTGAGCGGATGGCGGCTTGGATTGGATGCACGCGCGCGCGCGACCGACACCAGTCAGTCCGTCTGCAAGGTATGGCTCGATGCAGGCGGGCAGACAGGCCGGCCTTATGCAGGCTCGAGGTGCAGGTGGAGGCTCTAAGACGCGGGCGGCTTGGGACGGGCCCAACGGCAGGTTTCGCTCCCGGCTTGCAAGGTCGCGACGCGACGTCGTCGTCGTGGGCGGCGGCGACGGCGGCGAGGTACTGCCCGTTTGACTTTTGGTGTTTTTGCTGCGCGCACCGTCGTCCAACTCTCCGTGGGATGGAGAAGGAGGATGAGGAGAGGGCGGCCGGGGCTGCCTGCTGGGTGGCTGCTGCTGGGTCCAGGCGGGGCGTTCGCTCGCTGCGCAATTACGGCCTCGCGACCTCGACCTCGTGAGAGCAGCAGGAGAGACGCGCGGAGGAACGGGGCTCTGGCCAGCAGGCGGCGGTTTCGAGACGGTTGCGGAGGTTGCACAACGGCGCGGCCGAGGCGTTGAGGGAAGAGAAGGAAGAAGACGAGGGGCTGAGTGAAGAGGGAAAGGAGACGGTCGGTTCGGCGCGGGCGCGAGGGAGGCAGAGAGGCAAGGCAGGGCAACCTGGGAAGGGCCGGACGGGGGACAATTGGGGAGCAGCAGCGCAGCTCTGGGTGCCCAGGGTGGTGCTTTGCTACTGGAAGGCACCCAAGGCGCTGTATCTCGGTGTTACAGAAAGGTCCCTGCTCTCCTGGCCGGCACTAACGGGCTCATTCACGGCGCGATAGTACAGGCAAGTGAGCGAGTTTACCGACCAGCAAGTATCCAGACACGGCGCCGACATTGGATTCGCGCGCCCGCATCAAGCCCGACTCGAGTTGCAGTCGAGAGAGAGAGAGATGAGGTCAATGGGGCGGTCCCCCCCCCCTCCCCCCAGCTCAGCTCCAAGCTGCTGCCCGTGTGTGCCTGGTGGATCCGCGACGCCAGTGGACGCCAGTGGAGGGGGTGAGATGGGGGCGACCACTGGAGGGAGGCAAGCGCGGCCAAGGTCGCGGCGGGGGGAGGTGGTACCTGCCCGTCGCGTCCACCCCATGTCGAGACGCGCCCCGGTCCAGGGGCTGAGCGGCGCCCGCGCGGGCGGCAGCGCGCATCCACAGTACAAGGGCGGGCGCGCAGCGGCAGGTACTGCGGTACGCCCGGAGCAGCGTTGATGATGAGACTGGACGTTTTGGGTCCAAATTAGATTTCGCACCGGCAACCTACCACCAGCACCAGCACCAGTGCACCACCACCACCACCACCACCAACCCTCGCCCGCGCCAAATTACACGGTCTAGAAGGGCGCCGTTTCGTTTCGGCCAGGGCCGCTGCCTGCGACGGACGCACAAACGGGGGAGAGAAGAAGAGAACTAGAAATATGGCAGCCTTGCACAGGGGCTTGATACGCTGGTGTTGATGCCCATATTGATGCCTTGCAACATCACCACCAGCACCAGCACCACCACCGAGTCGAGAGCGGTGTGAAGCCTCATTCAATGCACTGCCCGAGGTGGGCGCTCCGAGGTTGTCGCCGCTGTCGAGCGACAAAGGGACCGCTTCCCTCTTTTCTTTGACGGACTGGATGGCCCGGCCGGCCAGGTGCCAGGCAAGCAGGGTGTGGCCGGTGCGCCGGCTGGTCTCAGCTCGGACGCTTCCTGACCACTTGCTGAAGCCAGCACCGAGCAATCTGGAGCGGGTCAGCGAGGCGTCGTTGACTTTGTCGGCGCAAGGGAGCGTTCGCCCAGTCATTGTCATGCCAAGGTGTATTAATTAATGCAGCTTCGAGTCTGTACTATGCACCACCTACCTACCAGCTCTTCTCAGTGCGCAGTGCACGACTGTGCCTGGCTTGGTCCCACGTACCATGACGCATTCGACGGTTCCCCCCGGTGCTGGCCGGCCGGCAGCTTGATGCAACGGCATGCGATGGAGCAGCCAAGGCAATCCCGTCATCTGCCCTGCGCAAGGATGACCTGGGACAGGGGGAGGCCGGCCCCTGGGCTGGCTATACAAGGCTCTCCTAACACTTTGTACTTACACTTCGGAACTTGTGATGCGAGAATAGTACTAAGATGTAATGAAGTACGAGTAACACACGACCCAGGCGCGAACCTCTGCACAATCAACAACGGGTTGAGAACACGCGTGACGACGCCAGAAAGAAACAACAACAACACCAAGCCCCCTGACGGACGACAACGACAACAACAACAACAACGACGCCAGCAAATTTGCGGCTCCCTTCTTCAGCGCCCGCCCGCCCCATGCGCCAATGCCACGTTGACGCAGGGCAGCATGCGCCAGTGCGTTAGGCCGGACGCGATCAAGCGGCCACCAGCACCACCCTGGTTGTTTCGAGGGCGAACGGCTGCCCTGGCCTTGGGGCTGGCCGCCACTTCCCCTGTCAATCAAGTCACGATGGCGGCGCCCGTCGGGCTTGTCTGGTCGCGTCTCCGGCCACATGGAATCACTCCGACGCGCGTGTGTCTTCTGACATACATACGAGTACATGCACCACACGCGGCACAAAGCAAGCATACAGACTGCATTGCCCAGTGACACCCAGCTTCCGCATTCAAAGAGCCCCCGTGCAATCGACGCAAGAAAAAGCTCGAGCCGTGGCATCCGTGCTCCCTCCCCTCCCTCCCTCCGTCAGGCCCCCGTGTCGTCATCCCTCTTGCCCCGAGCGCATCCCATCCATCCATCCCCCATCCCTGTCTGTCCTGCCATCCTGCGTCCTGTGACCCCCGAGACCCAACAACGGGTGAATAACCCTGTTGCTCCTTTCGTGTGTCTGTTCCGGTTCCCTCTTTGAGAGTCGTTGGATCCAAATCTGTCTCTCTCTGTCTGTCTGCGGTCGCACTAACTAGCGCCTCCCGATTTCGATGATGCTGGTCTCACAATTCTGCGACAACTGCACGACCGCTGCCCATTGTTGCTGCCGACGCGACCTTCATTATTGAGAGACTTGGGGCCGAGTCAAGTGGTGGGGGGAAAGAGACTCGGCAGTTGTCAGACACCTTTGTTTGGCAGTTCTGAATGGCGCCGATAGAGTACATACTACAGACGTACCCGTAGATATTTCCCCGGCGGCTAAACCGCATCACATATCACTTGTCAGTCTGTATCCGCCGCGGTGGCTCTCGATTTCCATGAAGATCCCCCCTCCTTCTGCTCCGTGGCCCAGATACTTGGCAAAGGACTCGCGCCCCAGCTCAATTCTACAGTCGCACAGGAAAGCTCACGCTGGCCTGCAATCTCGCGTCCGCTTCCCTGGTGGTGCCCGCCCGTCGCAGCGCAGCGCAGCGCGGTCCTCATCCCGAGACATGCTCGAGGCATGTGAGACCCCAAACCCGATCTGGGCCACGTACCGAATTTCCACCTCGACGGCGCGCGCATGCATGATCTCGCACAGCAGCCCAACGCACGGGACGCACACGGCGCACTACCGCCGAGCCCCGTACATACTATGGGTGGTCCGTAGTCGTAGAGCAATCGCGTTGGCATTGCCAATGCCCTCGCCGTGATCCGCGAACCACCCTCCTCCACTCTCCACTGATGAGGAGCCCGCCCAGTCGGCTGGCGGCCACCATCGTGAGCCAGTCGCGCACACCGAGCCCTCAAAAGGTGGCGCAGGCAATTCCACCCCCGAGGCATTGACGTCCGGAAATGAGACGTCCCACGCCTTGGGCCCCGTCCCATCTTTTTCTTTTTGAGGGAACCCGGGCAGGCTGACGATCCTGCCCAGATCTGCGGGCGCATGGCACTGGCTGGCGTCCAAGGGACCTGCTGCGTTTGTTGATGGCCCTGTCCAGCGGCCACGGAGGGCCCGACGCCAACACGAGTCAGATCGCGTCCCGAGGCCTCGCCTTTCTTCAAGACGATCGTGTTCAGCTGGCCCATGTCTCGTTTTCCCATATGGAGACTGACATCATCCAGGCTCATGCGAACGTCAAGTGGGCATTACGCGAGCAAACATATTGCCAAGTATTAAACCCGTGGGGCTGTTATCACTCTAAGTGCTATAATGCTTTGCTCGCCGGCGTTCCGGGCTCGATGCTTATTTCAGGGCATGACAGCAGGGCTTGTCGAAGGAGCCCGACTCAAAGCCGTGGCGCGTGCATCGTGACGCGTCTCGTGGGGCGTATTCAAACATTGGTGGCTTTTCTCAGCTACAGCTTGATCGAGATGTTGTACGCATCCAGCGCGACGGCGACGCCCGTGACCGTCGCCGTGTATGCGAGCAAGATTGCCATCGTCATGATGGGCGTCGCCTCAAGTGTGCGAAACGTCATGTTTACCAAGCCAGTCAGCAAGTTGGCCAGCAGGAAAACTGCGAGGCCGTTGCGGTTAAAGGCACGGAGCACGCGGCTCGTTGCCGTTTCATAGGCCTCCTTCTCCGTCTTGGTGTCCGCTGCGTTGTAGACTGCAGGGAAGAAGACCGTGTCGATGCAGCAAAACGCCAGTATCTGCACAGAGTTGAACGCAGCCACCCATAGCACGTATGGCAGGTTGGCTAGGCGGCGGGACACGCTGAGACCAAACCCGTATGAGTAGCTCGTGGACAGCCAGTACAGCGTCGTCCAGATGCCTGCCCACACAGCCATGGTCATGAGGAGAGTGTTGCGCTGCATACCCGCGCTTGCATTGCTCCTGGGGTTGATGTTCCGGGGGATGATGAACATGCCCAAGTCCTGCCCGGCGAGGAAGATGGCCAGGTACCCCAGGAAGCTGAAGATGCCTTCCCTGTTCATAGATATCAGGTCTGTCCGTGGGCCAGTGAGGATATACGCCTTGAGATCGGTGCTCTCGAGGAGCGCCTGATAGATACCGCCCACCAACAAAGACAGGACAGCGTATGAGGGGACGATCCTAAGCGCCGCCTGACAAGCCGCCACAAAGGGTGGCAGGAACCCGAGCGTGAAAAAGAAGTTCCAGTGCACGCCGTACTCCGTAACGTGCTCTGCGTAGTCGAGCCCTTTCACGCTCAGCAGCCTGATCACTCCCAGGACTAGCAGAGGCACCGAGTGGCGGGCAGAGTATAGAAGTCGTCGGTGAAGCGGTGTCGCACGGCCAGATAGCCGCTCGCTCAGCACGGGACGCGCTGCGACGACGCCGCTCGCAAAGACAAACGACCCGACCCCCATGTCCATGAGCGACGTGCCCCACGTCTCGACCTTGGCGAACCGCCGCGGGAAGAGGCGAAAGTCCACTGCCAAGATGGCCACGCAAGTCGCGACCATCATGCAGCCACGATACGTCGTGAGGAAGGGCTTCATCGGGAGAGGCGAGAGTTGCTTGGGGCCGCCCCTGGACTCGGCCGCCGGCGGAACCTTGGGCTTCTTCCTCCGCGCTCCCGTGTTCAGCGGCAGCATGTATATCAGTGCGATCGGGGCAACGAGGAGAATGTTGAGGAGTATCGGCGTGCTCGAGTAGAGCGTCGTGGCCAGGAGGAAGGCGCCGACATTGAGGCCGAAGTCGACGACGAAGCCTATCGGAGAGTACGGCTTGAAGAAGGACTGCCGCGACTGCAGAACAGACCACAGCAGCACCGCTACCTGCAGAGAGCTGGTCAGCACATCTACTCGAGCGACGCGCTACTCGCGAACTCAAGGGGCACGGACTGCTGCGACGGCCGTGACATGGTTGACTTCGGACACGGAGCCGCCGGAAAGGTTGGACACGAAGTCCTCCTTTTGCTGCTTGTAGCTCGTCGCATTAGACATTATTGGCGTCCGGGAGAGAAACACGCTTCGCTCATGACATGGCAAGGCAGAGGCATGCGCAACTTGCTCGACGTGGAGGGAAGACGGTCTCCGGCGCGAGGAAGAGGACACTTGGAAGTTGTTGCTGTGAAGCTCCGTGTGGCGTGCGATCTGGGGAAGTTCCTGTGGAGATCGGGAGGCGGGAGCTTCGGCCAATCACAAGCAGTCCCTTTTAAAGGGTCTCATTTGACGTCGACGCTCGATTGCGCAACTTCGACCGTGTCTTCTCGCCAAGTTGCCAAGGCAGGGGAAATTCCTCCGCAGCTGGGTGCAGCTCATCGCTGCCGAATCCCTTTGAAGATGGAGCGAGCCGTGGATTCAGCCTGCACTTGCCGAGGTGCAAAGGTCCCTTTGTTGTCGTCGAAGGGTGTTGGGTGACGTCGAGTTTGCCCCCCTCCAAAGTCGAGCGAGCCGCCGTCCTTTAATCCTTTGTAGACGCGCGGAATGAGCCTGGAGTCAGAGGGCGGCCAAAGCGTGCAAGTACGCGGGAAATATTGGCTAGGCTGCTTTATTTGTCATGGCGTTCGTTTGTGCTGCCAACGTGTCGTCGCCAATGACGCCTGTGGTGAGGCTGCGACCTCAAAGAGCCGCCGGCGCGACGTGGGCGCTCGGGACCGAGGGCACTCGCACCATGTCTTTGTGGACTGACTTAAAGACTGCATAAGGGTTTCGTCGCCTCACAAGGCTAATTCTCGTTGTTGTTGTTGTTAAAGCGAACTGAACGCCTTGTTCTTTAACCCTACGTGCTTTGCGCATAGTCATCCAGTCGCCATGATCCTCAGGAATCAATCGAAAACTCGGCCGCTTGTGAAGCCCATTCATACCGGAGCTTTCCCGCTCAGGCCGGCCTCGTCCTGTAAGGGCAATGCGCTGCAGGATGAAGCCTTTCGGTCGCCTGTGTCACCTCTGGGCTGTCCAGCAATGGTATCCAGGGACCATCGCGACGATTCGGCTATGGCAGACGCAAGTCCCATCACCGTAGCCGAGTCAATGCGAGGCGCCACTATCAGTCCTATATCTCCGAGCCGCCGCTACGCAGAGCTATCACTGATGCTCCCCCGACTCGAAGACCTTCATGTACAGGACAAGAGTTCTGACGTGCCCGCGCCCCCGTCAGCCCTCGTCAGCAGCCCTACAACAGCCGGCACGCTGGCCTGCCGTAGAAGACAAACCGTCAAGCCCTTGACGGCGTCCGACCGGAACCTCTACTTCCAGCGCTTCCGCGAGGGCCTCTGGCGCCGAGGCTCGCGGGATTTCGGCAACTATGAGCACGCCGATGTTTTCGTCTCGGCGGCGGAACTTCGTCGGCTGTCCTGTGCCACTGACGGCGACGGCGTGGTGGACAGCAGCCAGCTGTCCGTTCGCGTGGTGATTCATTCCAAGGATCGGAGCCCCCGCGGCCTTAAGAGGGACTTCGACCTGGTCGCGCTCCGTGCCACGATTCCCGAGCCGTTGCCTTCACCACGCTCACCCAACTTTGATCGCGCCTCGCTGCTCTCAGTCCTGGAGGGTGAAGCTGCCCCCTCGTCGCCGTGTGAGTCGCCGGTTATGCCTACGGCACCACGCCCCGTGAGCGACGGGAGCAAGGACTCACCGCGGAATGCACCCGGGCCGGCGGACCGGCGTACTCACTGCTCCGGCTCGCGACCTGTACCAATACGTGAGTCTCTCGTTCAGTCACTAGCAAAAGAGGGGTTTTGACTAACACGTATGACAGACCTTCAATACGCCCGCTCTCATCTCCCCGTCCTGGCGGCCATCATGATGTCGGAGCAGGTGCGAAAGGGGGACGTGATAGAGCTTCCCCTGCCACACCCGCGGGCGTGGCCCGAGACGGTGGCTTTCATGTACACTGGCGAGGAGGAGCTTTTGACGGAGCAGGTGAAGCGGAATATTGTGTATCTGGGTGGAAAGGTGTGATGGCCAGGTTCAGCCTGATACGACGTCACGTCGGTCTTAATAGTTTCCAAAAACCACGTATATCCAACCACGTCCCCCCCGCCCTAAAATGCTAGAATTATTACAGAAGCCCGCCCGGAGTTTTTGGCCCGGAGTCGCGACGTAGTCAGTCTTGTTGTCTCTTCAAAACCACCAAAGAGCCAGTCTGAAGCGACTGCTGAGCCAAGAACCTCAGTGGTCGACTCCCACACGCGCACATCATAGGTGGCAAACGCGGAGGGGATGACTATAAATGGCTGTGAGTAAGCCATCGATGTATCCATGGACGCGTATCTGGATGTCATCCTGCAACCGTCACGGGTCATCGGCCGAGATGAGGCAACCAGATGTTGTCCGTAGCACGAGTATTGGAGTTGCACTCGACTCAGTTGGCAGAATGTGGGCGCAAAGTGTTAACTAAGCCGTGCATACTTCGTACATGCCCAACAGCCTGGGGCCATTGGCCTTTCACGCCACCTGTTGGCTGTAGGTAAACGGCTGTACGGAGCAGAACGATCTCGCCCCCCTTTCCATGCTACGTAACGGCTGTTTGGTCTCGACACACGTTCCGCGATCGAAGAGCCAAAGATGCAAGTAAATTGGACAGGTGAAGATATCTCGGTCCAATGTGACACAGAGCCCGACGACCGTGCTCTCCTTGCATGTGACTGCAAGGCTGGGCCGGGCCGCAACGCCGGGCACAACACAGGGTGCTCAGCGACATGGTTCTGCCCTCGTTACTCGTACTTTATTTCTTTGCGACTGCTCGCATGTCAATTCGCGCCGTGGGAGTGTGCATGGGCTTACGCAGGCTAACGCTCGAGGGTGGCCATACGCGCCTTGCAGGCAGGAGGAAAGTGGAAACAGGGACAACCCGTGCGTCCGCGTTGCCTGTACGAAGGGCTGCCCTGGCCAGTCTGGTCCCCTTTCGTCTCCTGCCGTGCGGACGACAACGGGGGCAACACGGGGGCCATGCAGGAGGATGTGACGCCTCTGCTGCGCCCATCTGCAAGACATCCTACCCTTTCCCCCACAATTTGCGGATCGTGGCGCCTCATGCATCTGCATGTGCGTGCGTGCGGACATGCGTGTACGCCCAGTGGGGGAGGGGGAGAGAGGAGAGATGTCTGCTCGTCTGTATGCAGGTGTGCCTTCGAGATCGGCTTCAGCTGAAGTGTGGCCAGATTCCCATCGCTTGTCATGTACTGTCTTCTGTGAGCGTGGAGTGACGGCACATCGTGGTGCCATGCCCATAAGGGGAAACGGGATAATCGTCCGTTGGATAGTTTCCAGCCTCACAACGTCTATTGCACTGTTGAAGATGTCCCAACGAATGTCCACAAAGATGTCGTTGTCTTTTCCTTTTCTTCTTCCCTGGCACCACAGAGGCTCAGGTGCCATCTTCATTGTCGCGCGTTCCACGCAGTCAGCAGACAGGGCGCTCCAACATGAGTGCGAATGTCGGTGCGTTCACCATGTCAAAGGGTCTTCGGCCGCGACCTTCTAGAAGCAGAGACTCGTGGAGCAGGCGGGCAGGGTGCTTGCGACGGTGCGTGTGGCGGATCTACGCTGCATCCCAGGGCAGCAGGAGGCGACGTTCATCGTGGAAACTACAGTGCGTTTTATGGTATGTACGCATGGCTGACGACGCAAGGCAGGCAGCCGCGTGGTCGTCCGTATTTCTCCTGCGAAGAGTTGCAAAAACGTCGGGGGAGACATGAAGGCAACACGCGCTCCTGGCGTGTTCTGCGGGCAGCCTGTTAGTTAGCCGCTGACTCGTCACGTCGCTCGCCCCAATCCAGACTGACTGCACGCCCCCGGAGTCCTCGTCCTTGTGAGACAGACAGCCTGCATGTCTCACCTAGAACGCCCCCATGGCCCCCATGCCCCCCTCGGTGCAGCAAGGCGTCGCCGGCTGCGCTTCTAAAACGGGCGCTCCGGTCCGCATCGATATGTCTGCAGGATACGAATTATCAGACTGCAATTCAGGTTTTGGCAAGCTCACGCCACTTTGGCGCTGTCTCGCTGCTGCGGGCGGCGGCGGGAGAGCCGCACTGGTGGCTCGTACTGGAGGCGTCGCCGCGTCCCAGCGTTGACTCCAATAAGACGGCGATCCTCCCCCGCACTCGCAGACACCCTTGACCAATCCCCTGCGGCGGAGCTGGGCGGTGGTGAAGTGGTCAGCAACTCGGCGCGGCAAGCGGCCCAAGTGGGCGTTCAGCTTCGATGAGTCGACGGCGACGACGACGAGTCGACGACACTGATGTTGGCGGACGCAGGGTGGAGTCGGACGAGCAGTGGGGGCAGCCAGACGAAGAGGCGGGCAAACACACCCGTGGAAAGTACCCAACACTCCGTGCTCCGTACCTAGTATCACTGTACCTGGGTGACTGCGGTCGTGGAATTTTGGGCAAGCGCGCCTCTCATCGTGCAGTACGCCGGGGGCAGGAGCTTCTCTGAGGAGGCACGAGGCACGAGGCAGGAGCCTTCGGCGGGCAGAGCGGCTTTTCCAATTGGACACGTGGATTGAGGCAACAGATCCTGGAACCTGCGAGAAACTGCAACCAATTTTCCATGGTGGAAAGAACGCCGCCGGGCGGCCTCATCAGCGCTGCTGCGCTTCTCGTCAGCCCCCCGGCGGCGGGCATCGCTTCCATTGCATGAAACCTGGAACCTCCCGTCCATCACGCCTCAGACTCAGAGACTCAGACAAGCCCCGACCTCACTCACCACCTCCCTCACTCAGCGCCACCCCTTCTCCAACTCTGCCCCCCCATCCATCCCTCATCAATGGCGCGCCGCCCACTTCCAAGCTTGTCCAACCTCACCCGCCGTCCGCCGGCGCTCACCCTCCACCTGTCCCCGCCCGCCCACTCGCCAAACGAGGGAATCGGAGGTGCCTTGGCTGCACTGGTGTGCCCAGAGCTGCACGCAACGGCGGGTGCAGCCAGCTGGATGCAGCTACGACATGGAGCGCAAAGGTGAAGAAGCTGTCAGCGAGGTACGCCCTCTCCCAGCAAGCGTGAGCAATTTCCCCCCACGTCTCCCGGCATTCTCCCCCGCCGGCAGCGGCAGACAAAGGGCCATTCGTGATATGGGACAATCGACGAAAGCTCGCCTCGTGAACCTGAATGCGGTTGGTTGCATCATGGAGGACGCGACGTCGACTGATCGGATTTACTCGACAAGGGCGCTTGCTTTTGCGCTTCGTCCCGACGCGCCCGCGTGGCTCCAACGCCGTGCCACATTCACAGCCCCTCATACCCCCGGCCGGAGAAAAAAGCAAGACGCCTCCAAGGCCAGGGAGGGTGGTGGGCGTGCAGCCACGAGGTACATTCGAGATACCTGCCTCGAGACCACCTGTCCGGCCGCTCACCAGGATGCAGCGAATGCCGCAACTGAGCACAATCAGGTTGCGGGGTTTCGGCGTTATAACGAGACCATGGGGGTGCAGATGACGTCTGAAGCGAGCCGTGACCCTTGCAGATGGAAAAAAAAACAAGAGTCGGCATCGTCAAGGCCATCTCGGCTGGCAGAGCCTGCAGCTGTCAGAAGCTTCGACGCTCCGTCTCCGGCATTGCGACTGCGCCCGCCGGCAGACTTCGTCAACAAATGGGCAACATCGACGTCACCTGCTATTGCGCCTGCAATTGTCGATTGCTCTACGTACTATGTCATTCATTCAAGGCCCACAGCTAGTAGGTGCCTATTCCCTCACCTCCGGCGAGGTCAATTCAACCGCCGGCGACCCTTGGAGGATACCTAGGCCGCCCCACGATCGCGGAGGATCCTCCCGTCTAGCCAAACGGACCTAATGCGGCACGGAGGAACAGGGAGAGCGAAATTACCGCTGCGGGGGGCACGATGCCGGACTGTGCAAGCTTGCTCTCTCTTTCTGTGGGAAGTGAATGGAGCGACATGCCGTTGTACGATGCCACCAACGCACGACGGCAGACTCTCGGCGGCCAACAATGTTGATAACGCCTTCGGCAAAGGGCACGGCGACACCATGGCTTACTAGTACAGGCAGGCGAGCGCTCACCTGCGTTGCTCCAAATCCAGTGACCGGCCCATCATGTGGCTAGCCGCAGCGTATGCCGCTGGGGTTGGCACGGCGTCAGCGGCTGCGCGCTCTCTCTTCGCGGACATCAGATTGGGGCAAGCCGGATGACAGTCAAAGTTTCGGCGACGAGATTCGCTGCGCAGACGTGAGGAGCAGCAACCCGCCAGGTGGTGGAGCCCTTCCGCCAGTTTGCAAGTCAGCACCCTGGCTCCTAGAGTGCCGCGCTGATGTTCACTGAGCCCTTTTTGGCGCAACGGCTTACCTGAATGAACGCTGTCCGGAAATGAAACCCCGATCGACGTCGTCAACTGAAATCAAAAGGGCCAGCTAACGGTCTGACTGGAAGCCTTTACCACGGAACATCCGCCAACAACAGCCATTCGTCTCGACCTCAAGGTGAGGGGGAAACGGACTCATGGGGCTGTCCTCACTCATCCATCAAGACGGCATGGGTCACAAAAGATGTACGAGAGGGAGGGGCGTGTGCATGATCTCGAAGCGACACATCTCTTCTTCCATCCCTGTTGGTCCCCACCTCCTGTTCGTGGGCCATGATCCCATGGTGAACAGCGACAGACGGGGAGGCAGGGACCTTGACTGCGATCCTGGACGTGGACCTGCGTCTCTCCTGGTGCGCTGTTGCTGCATGTCCAAGAGGAAGGGGTTAGCCTGGGCAATGGCTCGTTCAACGAGAAGAACTGCACCGTTTGCATGCCCGATACTGATACCAGAGGCCCGATTGTTGTTCATTGGCGGCAGAACGAGGGTACACGCCGCGCCGGCGAATGGGCGGTGGTTGAGGCCAGCTTGCGGACCCTTATCCATAGAGCTTTCCTTGGAATGTCGCGGCTTGCTGTCCTTCCCCACATGCATCGTACATCGCGTGCTCGCCGTCTGTGCAGAAAGGATGGGCCACGGCACAGACGTTTGTGCGCACGGATGCCTGTCTCGGCTCTTACGAAACCAAGCCCAGGAAGACGGGAACCCGTGAAGAGCGACAAACGTGGTCTTTTTCTCGCGAAACGCCTCGATGAACTGGGGCTTGCGCAAACCACGACCGCAGAAGCGCCAGCTGCATACGCCACCCGGGAAGAGAGAGGCTAACACAACGGCAACAGCTGGTCTCGAAACTCTGTCCTTGTCGAGGCAATCTCAACAACAAGACCGACTGGCAACGTCGATGCACCTATCTCGACATACTTACATTAGCCCCGCGCATCGGACCAGATGTGCAATGCGCCCACAACACGGCACCACCTTGTGGTGACCACCACCGCGCGTCCGCTTGCATATGGAAGTCCATCCACCCTTGGACGGACAAGCTGGTGAGGTGCCGCACCAGCCGGGCAGACCCCCTGCTGTCCCGAGCTCAGGCAGTTTGGAGCCGAGAGAAAGGGCACCCTGAGACGACAGTTGTGGGAGTGCGATCCCATGCACCGCACTTGGCAAAGTGCCGAATGGCGCTTGGGGCAAGAAATATTGTTGCACCCAGTGAGTGGCTCTGCAATTCTTCGCATGTGCCCTGCACATGGTTGACGCCATCAAGATACTCGGGCCGTCTTTGACCCATGGACAAGCCGCGCCAACACTTTGTCTTCGGAGACTTTTGGCCCTTTGTCGGCATGGGCCTTGGAATCATGGGAGAAGGGGGTCAGACGACGGCCGGGGCGAGGAAACGCGCTGCTCACGTCGAGTTCAACACACGGGGCCGTGGCCAGAGACTCTACACTTACTCGTTTGCGCCTGATGGCGAGACAAGGCATTTTTCACGAACCGCTGATCTGTGCGCCGCCAGCTTGTTTTGCCCAAACTCAGGAAAGAGTATCACGCTGGTAATATAATGCTACCGTGGCATCGTCCATGAGCAAGTAGTTACTAACGAGGCGCATTTGCGGCGGAACAAGACGCGATGACGTCCATGCGAGAGGGGCGTAATGTACAGGTACGCCTGCGATATCGAGTGGCACTTTCGTGGAAACTCATGCTTACCAGATGTGGCAGAGACAGGCAGACAGACAGACAGACAGACGGCCAGACAAAGCGCAGGCAACGGAACAAGCATGTCGGGCACTGTTGTGCGACGCTCTCACGGCATCGAGATCTGCTGCTGCAGCGCATCCCTGGCCAGGGCCCCCTCCCAGAGGCCCAGGATGGCCCCGGCCTGACCAGACGTGTCACTTCTGAGGGGCCGTGGCGTGGCGCCTCATCGCTCTTAGCTGCATGGCCTGGGCCAGCAAGCGAGCAGGCAAGCGTGTCATCAAGGCAATTCGCGGACGCACATTGTTTGGTCGCTTGTCTGTTTCTTCCTCTGGCTGCGTCTGGTGCTGCGCAGCACCAAGGCTACTACTGACTGATACAGTAGTAGCTCAGGCATGTGCGCGAATGATTCCGCCGGCACGCCATTCGCCTTGTTATCTTGTCCCCTCGCCATTGCCCATTGCCCATGTACAGGGGGTCCGGCCAACAGCCATCCATCCGCCATCCTCTTTGTCATGGCTCGCAGCGTGCGAACCGCAGAAATGCTCCATGGCCGGCGTTTGCACCCCACCCCATTTCAATATCAGACGAGACGAATGCCACCATGCGAATGCAGTCCAGTCCGCCGCCCCAGGCTCGTCTTTCCTTCACTCTGCACCAACGGGTGCGTCGCCCCGAGGGTGGTCCCGTCGCCACAGTCGCCGCAGCTCGCTCACACACCCCTCCCACCTCCCTCCTCATTGTCGTTGTCGTTGTCGCCGTCGCCGTCGCCGTCGCCGCCGTGACCATGGCCGTCGCTGCATTGCCTTATTGCTCCCATGGGGGTGCCCTCGCATTCACAGACGGCGACGCGGGTGAACATGCAGCTGCTACGCATCCTCGTGGCGTCGCCCATCAAGGTGTCCCGAATCAGGCCATTGTGATGCGCATTTCGCCCTGTACAGAGCAGCCCGCTCAATCTCGAGGCAGGGCCATCATGCCACGACAAGCGAACAATGGGGATAAAAAAAGACATTACCACGAAGTTCCCACTCCGCCACCCGCCTGTTGTTGTTGCTGCTGTTGTTGCAAGTTGAAACCTATTACCAATGCATGTCCTTTTTTGCCAACCCTGCCCGAGCTGTTTTGAGTCTGCCTCCCCCCCCTTCCCCTCCCGAGTCCCGATGCCAACACCCCCCAAGACTTTTTTGAGCCGCCCTCTAATACAGTAGACAAGGAAGAACCAAAGAAACACAAAATTGCCGCTCGTTTTCCCGCTCAGCCCATGTCCTTCCCGCCTCGTCGCCATGCGTCGTGACATGTGAAAGGCCGCTTGCGCTGCTGCTGCTGCAGTGTCAAGACGACCTAGACCATCCCACAATCCCCTCCCCCCGCTCTCACCCCACGCCTCAGCCATTGTGCGCGCGTTGGAAGCCTGGCGGGGGAGGGGACACGGCCAGAATGGAAAAGCAAAAGGGCAGAACGACCCAACGCCTAAATGCTTGCCCGGGGCGAGTACTGTGCCGCCTCGCCACATGCAACCCAATGCCGGGTAAGGAAAGTGAAAAGAGAACAAATAACCGATGCATGGGTATCATCAGAATGACCATGTCAGTCTCGGTCGGGTTTCTGTGTCGATGTGTGTGCTGTGCTGTGCTGTGCTGTGCTACTGTATGCGATGCTGTACTGTGCCGTGCAGTGCGCTGCATGAATGCCTGCCGCTTCATAGAACCTCAATCTTGCGTGGCGCGTCCATCAGGATGGCCAGCGAGTGTTGCGCCGGCACGTACGATGTGCTCGAGTCGTAGGCGGCGTAGTCCGACTTTTCCCACGCGGCTCCGTTGCTGATCTGGGTATATGCCAGCCGTCCCTTCTGGCGGACATTGTTGTACCGAATAAGCGAGGCCTTTCCTGGCGGGGTCTTGAGCACGACGGACGGCTCCGGCGCGGGCGCGAGTCGCTGCTCGTCGTTGGTATCGCCGTCGGCGCGGCTGCCCCACGATGTCTGCACCTACTAGTCAGCAACCCACAGCCGTCGCACGCAGCAGTAGTAAAGGGCGCATCGGACTTACCATGTTGAGAGTGACGAGCGCATAGATTTTGATGAGACCGTGGAAGTAGCCGAAAATGATGGACACCGGCAGGAAAACGATGTCGCCAGGGTTGCGCAGGAACAGCCCCATCAACTTGACCACCTTGGTGAAGCCGAACATGAAAGCGAACTGCGCCCAGAAGGCGTATCGACGGTGCTCAATGTCCCAGTCGCCAGTGGCCCACCAGCATGACGCGAGGAGCAGGGGGTCGATGGCAAACGCCAGTGACGTGAACGTCGCAATGTGCAGAGCGTAGGTGCACCACGGCTGCTGCCTGCAAGTACAAACCAGTTAGTTCGCGACGCCCGTCAATTGAAAAGGGGGGAATTCGGGGTTTCCTACGTCCAAACGTGCCTCTCGCGAACGAGACTGGTCCAGTTGCTCCGCCAGTTACTGCGCGCCCAACGCGAGCACTGGTACAGGAACTTGTGACCATTTTCGAGAGTCGTCTCCAGCTCGCACTCCCGATTGTACTGGATCCACGTCTTCCACTGGTGGCTGACGAGCCATCGCGTGACAAAGTTGTCGTCGTCGGCGTTGAGAATCCACTTGCGCCACTTCTCGTTCTTAAACCCTTGCAGGAAGTCGTGGCTCGAGAGAATCTCGGACCGGTACGCCCCGGTGCGTCCAGACATGCACGACGTCCCGCCGTCCATGTTGTGCGTAGCCGAGATCTCAAAATTGCGTCGCTCGATATACGCGGCGCCGAGCCAGTTCCAGATCTGCGTCACCCAGTCTGCCGTCCACTCGCGCCTGACACGCTGGCACGTCCCGACGCCTCCAATCTTGGGATCCTCAAACGGGGCCAAGATCCACGGCAGCATGGTCGAGGGCCAGGTAACGTCATCATCGGCCATGATGGTGATGGGCGTCTTGACTGTCGGAAGCGCCTCGCACACCTGAAGCCTCTTGTTGGCAATCGGCGTGTGCATGACGCGGACGTTCGGGTACGCGAGCGATTCGGCGAGGCGAGCCAATGCCTTGCGCTTGTCGTAGGTGGTGACGAGGATCAACTCAGCGGGCTTGCAGACGAGGATGCTCTGAAGAGCAGGTCGCAGCTCCTCGAAAGCGTGATGAATCGTGGGGATGACCACTGTAACATCCTCGTGCGTCAACGTGGGCTTCGCCGGTATGGGCTTGGACTTGTAGGTCCAATGGCTCACACAGTGGACGAGAAGCCGGAGATATCGGTGAACCCTGCAACCAAATTGTCAGCAATGAGTGCTGCCATCGGCGACACCGGTGTCAACTGACCAGAGAACCCAGAAGACCCAAGTCCAGAATGTCGTTGAGTACCAGAAGTCAGACGATGGTGCGAGCCGAGCGAGTGCGCCACCAGCCACGGCCAACGCCTGCTCGACAAGCTCCTCCATTTCTGACACCATCTCGAGGTTATGTGGCACGAGCACTTGAACAGGTGGCAAGGGCGAACAGGCTTGGTTCAAAGAGCTCGATGCAGCAGTATGACCATAAGACGAGGGACAGAAGCCAGCTCCCGTCGCTTCGAGATATTACTGTATGCTCCACACCACAAGCGAGTCCGAGAGCTGGAAACCAGCTACAACTATGGTAGGCAAGAGCAAAGGCTCTCTGCGTGTGCTACCGGGCCCGACAAATGACGCGTGTGCCCCCGTAACCGACTTCTTTCCGGGATCTTCCCGTCTATAGCGTCGTTCGACCGAAGGCTAGAGGCTTGGGCTATGCCAGAGCTCCCGGCTGATGACACCGCCGTCCAATGGCCCAGCAGATGAGCCGCCGTGCCGGATCTTGGGATGGTTGGGTGAGAGGAGGAAAGTTTAGAAACGACCGACCGACGCGCAGAGTTAACAAGCGTGCAAGCGAGGCAAGAGAGAGGACAGGCGCCTAGGCAAAAGAAGCACAGAAAGAGCAACGAAGGGCGCGACGAGCAACCCGCTGCGTCGAGGAGTCGTCTAGTGTACAACCGAGGAGGAGGGCGAGGCTGTTACTCGCGGTCCTGCTGGCGCATGAGAGATGTCAAGGAGGCAGGTGAAGAGACGAGGTGATGACGGGCGACGACGGGTTGGGCCCGGCTCAAGATATAACGGATACAACGGACCACGCTGGAGTCGCGGCCGGTGCTTCCTCTTGTGCCTCCGAGCAGCCATGTCATGCATGAAGATGGAGACGGAGGGTCTAAGTGTGTGCCAGGCAAGTGGGAAATGTTCATGTAAGAAGTACGTACAGCAGTAGTTGCATGTCTAGCAGCAGCTCGACTTGGAGCTTTGATCGTGGTGTGGTTGTGTGGGTGGCGCGTCTGGACGATGGACCCGACCAGGGTGCCCGCCACGGTGGGGACGGAGGATGGGGTACGGCGGTTGGGGAGGGGGCGTGTCTTTTGCGAGGCAGAGGACCAAGTACGAGACGAGTACTTGGATCAGGGCCGACGCCAATGACCCTCGTCGTCGCCGTTGTCGTCGACGGCATGGCCGTGGGTCGCGAGCATGTCTCCCAGTACCAGCCGGCCTCGGACGCAGCGTCTGTACGACTCGAGCACGACGACGCCGTCTCCCCTCGCCGTAAAGGGCGTCGCAGAGAGCCGGCGACAAAGGATAGCTTCAAGGGCGAGGGCCCATGCTCCTGCCCTGGGGCTTGACAATAGCACCTTGGGGACGGGGCCCGTTGCAATGCTCTGGGGCAAGCAAACAATCGGCAACGCCCCCCCTCCTGGCGGGCCCTTGAGGGGAACCCCGGCCTCATCGCCGAGCGCTGTTTATGGCGCGCAGCCAGCAGCGGCCATTCGCTGCGCAGGCACTTGATAAATCGCAAATCGGCATGCGGTTCTTGGCTGGGACTGGCTACCTCGGGATGTTGCGACGGGCGCAAATTGCGTCGCTCCAGCGGCTGCCCCAACGCCTGGTCCTAATTTGGTGTCGACTGACGTCCTTCCTCCGGTCCTGAATGGTCCATGTTTCGAAGCGCCCGCCCACTACCCACGGGCACGAGGGCGCACTTCCGTGTCCCCATCACGATGTTGCCCAGCTGTTCAATCAACGGCGCCTGGACGGAGCTGGTGGCGCCTCCCAATGGTAGGTAGTCGAGATAGTACGAATACACACGGCAGAATGACCGACCCGGAACGGCATGTGAGCGTCAGCGACCGGGGGGGTGTCCTATTCCGCCGCAACGCCTAAACGGTCGCGTCAACACACACCTTTTGCCGCCCCAGCAATCACTCTCCATGACTCCGTCGCTTGGCACGAAGCGAAGTAGTACACGAGGTACAGTAGCCTGTCGCCCTCTCGTCGTTGTCAGGCAAAAAAGGCGACAGGTATTGCTTGCTGTGACTGGCGGCCGGGACCGGCGCCAGTGCAATGTGGTGGCGTCAGAGACACGGGTTGATCCTCGTGTGGACCGCCGCCCTCGCCGCCGCCAGTCGAGCCTCTTTGAGGCGAAGCTTTTCGTTGGCTCGTGGCGGGTTCGCTCTGTGTGCCTGGCCGCATCTCATTCTGGAACATGGATGGCTGGCCCGGCTGGATGCTTGTTCTGGACATCTCGCCGTCGCCCTTGCTGTACTGTACAGTACGGCACGGTACTTGTACACCGGCGCTGCAATTGCAAGGAGAAGGTCGCAGACCGGGACAATCCCATTGATATGATACACGAGACGCACCGTGGTCCCTGCAAACAGGCAGTCGACACGAGCTGGTGTCGGGCGGACGAGGACGTGAGGAAAGAGGGAACATGCGCGCCCGATTGTCCAACCAGAGGTCCGGCAAGGGAGTCAAGCACCAGTTGACATGCAGGTACTGGGCAGCATTGTCCGCTTCCCATGAGTGTCGTCCTTGTCGATGTGCCAGTTGGGGGGGCGGACAAGGGCATCGTGCTGGGGTCGACCCCAGGGGCCAGTGGCATGGCCTTGGGGCACCAGGCGTGGTTGCAAGCAGCGTGGCAGCATGATGCCATGGGGTCTCGAGGGCTGTTCCTGAGAGAAACCTGGAAGCCAGCCAGCCAACACGGTCCATGCAGGTCGGCCATGGCATAGCCTCTTTTGCCAGCAGGGCCAGCGCCGTCGACGTCCACCTGCCCCATTGGCGGCGGGCCGGCAAGAGACCTGCAAGTGGGCGTGGGTGGGGGCCACAAGACGACCTGGACGGCGCCCGGAGGGCGAGACGATCATGAACAGCAATACCCTTTATGTGGCCCCGACGATGTCAAGGGAAACCGACGGACCCGGACGCGGCCGTGCAGGCACGCAAACACACAGTTTGCAGAACGGAACTCGTGTGTGGCATTGTTGCTGTTGGTCAGAGGTGGCGTCGCGGTGCGTCTGACCCCATCGTGGCGCCATGCCCCTTCGATTTGGCGGAGCAGTCCGTTTCGGACGAGGAGTTTGCGGCATACCATGGAACATGGAACGTTGGTGCTCGGCGTGCAGGCCATGGACAGGCCTCTGCAACGCCGCTTCTGAACATTTTCGCGGACTAAAGCAGTCTGGGAATTAGCGCTGTCGACAACGCCACGCCTTCGATGGGCGACCGTGGTGCAAGGGGCGTGGCAAGCAGCAGGCTAATGCAGCTCAAGGACCCTGTAGGCATCCGGGTCGCCGAGAGCCCTGCTGCTCGCTCCATTATCCGGCGATGCTGGAGGCACGGATGGACGGAGCCATGGGACCACGGACTCGTACACGCACATCCTCGCACATACTTACGTGGAAGAACCAGAGATCCTCGCTCCCGCGTCCTCTGACCAGGGTGCCGTGATCCTGTCTCTTTGCGTATCGGGCGAGTTGTCTGGCGAGACGAACCGTGGAGCGAGGGCTCGAGAGGACGGCGGGAGCGCAGCTTCTGCTGCGCGGCTGTTGCTTGGTTGAAAAGGTTCTTGCCTCTGCTCGCGACGTTGCGGGCGCGGGACTTGCTAGTGACAACGCACCCCGGACAAGTAGCGACCTTGGCCAGGTGAGGAGAGGTGAGCGTCGTGAGGGTGGTGTGCGGACATTGTGGACCGTACCTAAAGGTCAAGGTGGCAGATCCTTCCCCTGCCTGCCCTGAAGATATATTCGCTCGAGACCAGGCGGCATGCAGCGTGGTTGCAGTTCGTTCCTTCCTGCGCTGTTAGGAAACACTAGGCACTATGCCTCGGTGGTGTCGCTGGTGTGCGCCGAGGAAAGTGCGACGGGTCGGTCGCTCCTGCTGTCCAGCAACCAGCAGGCTCGGCGCGTACATACTACATAGGGTACTACATAATACGCAGGCGCAACGGCGGGGCACCTGATAGCGAGACCCGGTGCCAGCTTGGCACGCCTCTGCCTCAGGTGTTGCTGGGTCTTTGTCCTTTGCACATGCTCTTCCGAGGCCCTGATATACCAGCTCTGGCTGCGTGCCCTCCGCTTTGCGGCTGCGAGTCCGACAACTCAGCCAGCGTCGGGCGACGCCCCAATCACTGTCCAGCTGCCCTGGTCGGCCGTCCTGGGCTAACATGGCAGGGCTACCCTTTCTGAGTGTTTGGCCCGCAAGCGGGCCGCGTCGGGGATCCGTGGAGCCGCCCACATTCCTCCGTCAGACTCCTCATTGACTGACAGGCATCTCAGGGCTACCCCATAATACCGGCGTCGACCAGAGTTGCAACGATTGGCAACGAGTAACACCGTAGCCACCCGCGTTTGGCAAGGGACGGATGGATGGATGTGGCCACGTCAAACAGCTCACTCAAGCGCCTTGCCATCTTGGATCAAAATATCGCACCATCAGAAGTTCTCAGCGCTGCTTCATGCCCGCCCCTGCTTCTTTATCGGTAGCAAATTCTCCCTCCGACTTGCGGACACCCCCCCGCGGCCTCGGTCTTCATCTCCGTTGATCGACTCCTCCCACAGCTTCGCTCCCACGAGAGTATCCGCAAGTGGCAGGCTTGCTCTCCGCTGGACAGGAACGAGTGCACATACGGGTCGTTGCCAACCAATGGCAGCTGCTATTGGTGGCCATCTCAGGCAGCGTCAGGAAGCGAACTGCCGATGCTTCAGTCCCTTAGTTGTGCCGCAGAAGTGATCGCCATTCATCCGAAAATGTTCCTGCCTTCCATTGGCTTGGCAGACCAACCTCTGCGGTCCACGCTCCGGCGCATGTCTCGCGATGGTCCCTGTCGCCTCGATGGAATCTCTTATGCCCGTGTTATCAACCAGGCCGTTCAGAGGCACAAGTGCCTCACAGTTCGCCTCCGCTTCAATCCTGCAGTGGCGGCGATGCAGGTCGACCAATCTGGAAGTGTTTCTTCGATCGCAGGATCCTGGTTCCCTGTTCGATGCCCGCTAGTGTGGTGGACAGGCACTCTCTAGCTCCTCGGCGGACAGCTCTCGTGCATCTGTTGCGATGATGGCAAGGCCGGAAAGTTGGATGCCCAGATGCGGCCCTGAGACGGCATCAATGACAACAAGGACATGCCACTTAACGAAAGACCGCCTCCGAAGGCCGGGGGTATAGCGATGCTGATCCCAAGCCGTCCCGGAGCATCCTCAAGTCCAGCAGAGTGGGGACCCGCGCCATTTCTCGTGGAGCTCTGGCAGGGGGCAAGGTGTCTGTTCTCTGAGCTTCCACGCAAGGATATGCCTGCGAGCTGTCTACAGATTCTGTTGCTGATTCCTCAAAAGAGAGTTTCGGAAGTAAAGAGTTTCGGAGATAGAAATGAGATGGCGGCATAACACCCAGAGTTTCGGTAAGCTTCTTGGACCCCTTTGGGTGAAGGTTCAGACCCTCTGCAGGTACCTCAGCCTGGCAGCACCGATAATCTCGAATTGACATCACAAAGTATCAGCCCTGTCGACCGGGAAAAGTCGTGATTCTCTTACGGATTCTGTTATGACGAAACTTGACACAGTAGGTATTCTTGTTAAAAAGTTAGCCCGGGTTCAGCCGGCATCGACATCAATGCAGGGACGGCGGACGGTGGAAGCCGGCGTGGCTGAAGTAGCTCGTTTCGGGCGCTCGTATCGCAGGATCTGCCGCATTGAGGACCGTCAGCTATATGCTCAGTAATGGTGGCACTGCGATAGGTCACGCATATCAGACTTGACACGGACTTACGGGGTCTGGAACTGCACCGATGGCGGTGGTCGGATGTGAATCCGCCAAGAAGCTGCATCCGACGAGCTAGGCCTGCATGAACGGTGTTCCACTCAATGCGAAGGCAGGCTTGAACTAGACGATGCCATTCTGCCTTGCATCAGCGGAGTGTCGCTTGCAAGTTGCTCAATCTCGATCCCTTGCTGCCACAGTGAGCTCCAACGTGGCACACAAGCCGAGCTCGGCCATGTTCGGTTGCGACTTTCACATGGCCACCTGGAATGCGCGGCAATAGCCTCCTCGCTCATACCTGTTGGTTGCGACTCGGCCCTGCGTGCCACTTCCCGCTGAGCCGGCGGATCCATGGGGCCAAGCGCGCAACCTGCATGGATTTGGCAATCGGCATGTTTGAGACATGGATCCCAGACAATGTGGTTCATTGATAGGGACATCGCCGAGGGCGGCGCTCAATCCACGGATGTCCGGCGACGGCGGCGCGCAGGTACGGACATGACGGTCCAGAGGTCTGTGGCGTAAACACAGGATTCTTTGGAGCACAAAATTCTCACTGCACATCTCACGCATATCAGAGGCCAGGATTATCTGGAACAGATCCGGAGACAAGACCGAGATTCTGTTGCACCAGCGCCACGTGAGCGAGGCTCGTACCGTCGCATATGCATTCGCCTAGAAGGTTGGGTGTGGAAGCCATATTATGTCGTTGCCTCACAGATCTGACACCTAGCGCAGCAGATGGTACAGCCCAACTGATTACCTCTGAATTGTTCTTGGATGCACATTTCGTGGCATCAATAACTTCAACGTGCCCGAATTTGGCAAACTTGAGGATGGTTTGGCTTGACGGCACGTCCCAATACATTACATGCAAGGGCGCTGGCAGTGTATCTTGGCCAATATCGCTTGTTGCAGCCCGTCGGCAGCTTTTGCATGGCAGTGCCTTGGAATCGCCGGGGACAACGATACTCGGCTTAGTACGGCGCGCGACTGGTGGCCTCCCCATCGTATTTCTCGCATATGGCCAAACGAGGAGATAATGTCAAGATGTGAACTGATCTCCCCGGGACCTCCACGGCAGGCCTTGCAGAGGGTACGCGGCGCCCTGCTTTAATTCTTACTTGCTCATTCAACTTGGTTCACCATTGTTTCGGGACCTTGGAACCTGGAATCGATGTTGGAAGACCTGACTTGGCACGGCGGCGGCTGTTGTGGCATCGACGTCGACAGCAGCCCTGCCTTCGTACGCGGGCCGGCCCTGACGTCTTGCGAGGATAGCCGCCATCGACCTGTCAGGTGGCTTCTAGACTCTGTAGCAGACAGGGCAGGGGTCTTTGATCTGAATATCCAGCATGCATGGTCAACCATATTCTGTCAGGGCACGCACCTCCGTCGCTAGCTTCGGTTGGCTGGCTGAGATACATATGCAAGTGCGCCGGTCGCACCAGGCGAGCTATCGGACCCGGCTGGCTCAATGGCTGTAATGCTACGTGGACGTCTTCTTGGCCGGGCCTTGTCTGGAGGCCACGAACGCCAAACCCGGGCGGCCGAAAGGATGAGCTCAAGCCTCCGCCGGGCGGCATGCCGCCGATCCACTGCCTGCCGCGCGTGGTCCGGCCGATGGTCCGGCCGGCCTTTACGAGCAACATGAGCGGCCGCTAGGCTTCCCGGCCCCCCGATGGAGCAGGGCAAGGCGGGCCGCATCGAGCAAAACACCCGGAAGGTCATGCGCTAGCAAGGTGTGGGCGGACGGAGGACGGAAGGATGGGAGGTTGGCAGCTTGACACGCCGCCTTCACCTTGCCGCCGCCAATTGTACCCTGGCCGAACAAGCTTTTTCTCCCCGGCCACATGGTGGCTTGTTTCGGAGCACCCACACCCTTCAATGCGAAGCTGTCAAACACGGCCATCGAGCGCCGAACTCGCATGCGCGACGGAGCCGATCAAGGTGCGGCACCAGGCTGTCCTTGCCTGCTTACGCTCAAGGGTTCCCCTGGGCCGATGAACCAACACCTTCCTGGCCAGGAAAATACTCTGCAGTCCTTGGTAGAGCCCTCATCCTCAAGGAGCCTCGTGCAGGACCGTCACAGCTCATCCGGCGCGTATAAACGCGAGGGAGAAGGCGGTTCGTGGCGCGGCGCCGCCGACAGCCCAGCAGGTGCCCTGGCGAGGCCGGGCCCCTTGCTGTCCAAGACGCAGGTTCGGCCGAAATGGTTCATGCGAAATCCAGATGGCATCATAGTTGGCAAATCAGGGATTTTTGTTGGGAATGGGATAATGACAGGGGCCGCCTGTCGTGACGCGTTGCGGACCGAGGCACCAGAGACGATTCTGGTATTATAGGTCCCCCCCCTTCATGCAGATGCACTCCCCCCATTCCACCCCCTGTGGAGGACAGAACGTTGCACTGCTTGACGCAGTGATACACGCCGCCGTCCCAAGAGACGACGGGAAGGGAAACCCGAACGGCGCCCAGAAAACGCCACCGCATGAAGGAAGAGCAACAAGGGTGGATAGGCGGGTGGAAGGCCACCAAGGACCCTGCCTGCTTCGGCAGAAACACTAGATCGGCGACGTGGACGGCGCCACATACGCGCGCAGCAGCAGCAGCGGGCAGGAAAGAAGGCGAAAACATTCTGCAGATTTGATTGCCGAGAGGGACCTGCTGTGTCTGGTTAGGGCGAGCGGAGGCTGAGGCCATTCCCAAGCAGGCCGTTGATGGGCGCGGCGCGCAGGCCAGCACGGGTCGTTATGTAAAAAGATGGGACATATGAGTTGGCAGATATTGCTGCTTTAAATTATAGCTCTTGGTGCTCGCTTCGTGGAGCGGCAAAAGTTCGAGGGCCGAGTTGTCGGCTTCGAGACGGGCGCCGTGCCGGTTTTCATTCACAGCGAGCATCGTTTATATATCAGGGTTTGCGATAGTAATACGTCTCCATCACACAGCGTTGCCCGTTCAACACGTATCGCTTCGTCTTGAACGTCCCGCAGCTCGAGAGAGTGAAGGGGGTGTCTACCTAGACGCGCCATGGGATATGTCAGTCTCGCGGACATGCAACTCCGGCCGCCACGTGCAGCGTGCCGTTCCTCAGATCTCCATGCAGCGAGGGCCATGTGACACACGTCGGGTGCGTCGCAGACACATTGTTCCGCTGCTGGTTTGCCGGCAGAGATGCAGTAACTCTGCCAGCCAAAGGGTCACATCGTATAAGTCCATTGGCCGCACACAAGGGGACGGCTATACCGCAGTCGACCTATATCGCCTGCCGCGCAGAAACACATATAGGAATTAGGAACCCGATCGGCTGACATTTGGGTGGATGGCAGGCGAGAAATGCTCACCTTCTGCTTGATACGCTATGTTGCACTGTCAGTAGAATCGAGCTACTATGGGCGTGCGTTGACAGCTACGCGGAGAAGAATGTGCGGCTGGAGGGAAACGGGTTGCGGTCTGGAAGACGCCCTGGGTGTAGGTAGCAAAGTAGGACAGCCTCGTCCGGCTTTGAGTGCCCAGTAGCCTTCCATGAGATGACATGGCGGCTGCGGCGAAGGTACTGTGTCATAATGAAGAGCAACATTGAATGAAGGGTGGAACGATCCTTTCAAGTTCAAGTTGAGGAATTAAACCCTCTTGTCATGGTAGTCCTCAGGGATTCAGCGCAGACCAGGCTCACGTCCGCGTATCGCCTACCCTGCATTCACCGTCCATGTTCGATTCAAGTATAAAGGGCATTCTTGCTCATCGCTTTTGTATATTAGCTCATGTAAGCTCGTAATAATCTTTCAATCGTTTCTATATCCCGTCTCTACCACGCGTCTCGAACCTGTTGAGGATTCTGCTCCCCGTTGTGACTGCTTCTGTCCTCAGTCGTGATATCGACCTGCTTGGATACCACGATGCTCCCTGGAGGGCCATGATTTCCCGAGGACGAGGCAGTGCTGTAGCCCAAAGTCTGCATCTTGACGCCATCCACCATTCGCTCCTCGCTCTCGCTAAAAGTCATGTTCACCGTGATGGGGTTGGCGCTCGGAGGGCCGCGGCGATTCCGGCTGTGAGAGTTCCCGCCCCCACCGCCTATCGTCTGGAAGCCTGTAGGGGTTTTGTACGCCTTATTGGAAGAACTCAGGGCGCTTCCAAAGAGAGGGGTGAGCCAGGACTTGAAGAGGGGGAAGATCATCGGCAGGTTCGTGGTGATGACGGCGACAAAGGATTCGCGTGTGCCCCATGAGCCGGCAAGCTGGGCGCCGTTGATGGGGTCCTGTGCAAATAGAAAGTTAATACATTAGGCTCGGACTTTGGGGTCGTGGAAGCTTACCACCAAGACGAAGACGCTTTTTAGCGTCGCACAGACAAGCACAAAGACGCCAGAGCCCAAGACGATGGTAGAGGCGATCTTCTTTGGCATCTTCAGACTTGACCGCCACAGCATGGGCAGTGGAATCGAAATCAGGTATAAGTCCGTAGAAACATTGGAAGCAAACGAGACCCAAACAATGGGCCGGGAAATGGCTGCTTGGCAGTTGTCTGCATTCGGGAGACGGTCAGCACGGGCTAGCAGGGCGACGAGCCGGGGGAGACTGACTTCCTGGGTCTGGATTGATCTGCCAGTACTTTGGAAATGGACGGCAGGCGGCAAATATTGTAATAATGGAGGCAAAGAAGGTTCCGATGACGAGGAAGAAGCCGATGTGGATGCGTATCCGATAGGGCCTGCCGAGACCCTCCTGCAATGCGAGTCAGCTGGCGTCGCTCCGTGTGGATGAACAGAACGTCGACGTACAGTCAATCGGATGAAGAAGAAGAGCATGGACAGCTTGAACGACCAGATGAGGGCAGAGTAGATGGTCCAGCCCGAGATTTGTATCTTGCTGCCTATGATCCTGCACGAAGAGCGAAAGTAAGCATCCCGTTCCGTGGGGCCGGCCGAAATCTCCGGGGAAAACGGACCTGAACCGGAACTCTTGGCTATCTGGGGAGAGGGCGGCCCGCTCTGCATCCGTCATGCCGTTGTTGGCGAGACCATGGGCGACAGTGCCGACGCTGTAGGCCAGGGCAGCCTGAGCAGTGTAGAACGCCTATGTACCGGAGGGCAACATTAGAGATAGAGTGACACACTGTCAGGTCGAGGTTTCACGCACCATGCCGACCCACGCGAGGTAGTCGTCTGGCCGCAGGTTTCTGATGCCAACTGCGCGGATGCGGGCGTATGTCCTCAGCATGGTCGCAAAGAGGCCAATGCCGTAAAGGGTCCACGATTCGACCGCAAACTTGTGGAAGGCCTCTTCGGCCGCGGCCGCAGCCGCAGCCTGGTCGGCGTCGGACATGAGTCGATTCTTGATCAGGCACACGACAGGACAGTGAAGAGCGACGACGACCACGGCGGCGAGGGTGACATGGCTGAACCGGCAGCGAGGAACGAGAAGATGGAGACGACACGAGACGAGACAAGGCCAGATGCAGGAACATGGGGACCGAAGTTCAATTCAAGGAAAATCCAGGTCGGCCGGGAGGCGCCTCCTCCACTGCTCTCTCCACCGTCCCGGCAAACCCCTGGGCGGACCCAAGAGGTTACCCGAGTGCCGCCATGCGTCGCGGATCCGGACGACGAGGTCGTATTACTGGATCGCGCGACTGCCAGCGGCACTAAGACGGTGTGCCGGCCCGTAAGCATGGAGAGATCGGCATGCAAAAGTCTGGTCCGGCTAGCGCAGTCGAAACGGTCGGCACCTGCTAGCGAGCGAAGACCAAGCGAAGGACCAGGGAAAGGGCGCAACGGGGAGGGGAGAGCCGGAAATTGAGAGTGAAGCCATGGCGTTGACGTTTAGCGAGGCTTTTGCGGCGGGAGCCAAAGCTTACAAGGAAGGCAGGAAGGAAGGAAGGAGCACCCGTCGCAACGCGCGCTTGCCTCGCCTGGCGAGCTTTCGTCGCCTGGTAGCTTCGCTTGGTAGCTCCTTCTCCCGCTTGTTCCAGAGTTCCAACCTCCAGCACAAGACCCGAGACTGACGCCCTCCATCACCATCAACCTCACCTCGGCCCAACTCAATGCATGCCATGTCACGCCATTCCAATGATGGCGCGAGCGGCCCCCCGTCGATTGATCGCCAGAGCGACGATTCGGTGCGATGCGATACAGATTCGCGCCCGGAGACGCTCCGTGCGCACGGCCACCATCAACGTCAATGTCAACGTCAACGCGAACCTTGGTGAGACCAAGGCCCGGCAAGGAGGATTTCAGGGTCGGCAGCTGTGGGTTCGCCGTGACGACATGGTCCGCCCCTGCTCCGGATCCATGGCCCTGGGCCAGCTGCAGGCCCGTCTTTGGCATAGCGGCAGCCATGCGACCAACGGCTGCCCTGCGGCTGGTGGACCGTTCGCATGCCATGGCCCGATTCTGCAGCGCGAGTCATTGCCAGAATCCCTCCCAATCGACCAATACGCCAACCGCGAACTCAACTTACAGTTTCGTCACATCGGGGCTCTGCCACAGAACACCAACTCCCAGGTACCACCACTCTTGCCAGCACTCCAACTGGGACCACGTCAATTTGCCCTTACGAGGAGCCGAATTTGTGCGGGGGGCCCATACATTCTACAACCCACCACGCCGATCGCCGCCCAGCCCACCTGCCCTTCAGGGTCGCGTTCCCGTTCCTACGAGCCATCTGTGACCCCCTTTTCTGGGCCCCCAAGGCCCCGAAGCAAAGATAACATCTCTGTAAATCTCCGGCGTACCTTGCATGGCCAGATTACCGAGAGTCCTGTGGGCGAACCTGGTCTCGGCGCGGAGCACTTGGTGCGCTTCTCCATAGCTCTTCTCTCCCAGTGCATACGCTGGTGCAAGAACAAGGCCGCACGCCACACGGAGGTAGCCGGCGCCATCCCGATGTGCAAGCCGCACTTTCGCGTCTCATCATGTTACCTGGCGCCAAACCCGGCAAGTCGTGAAACATCCTGGCAGCATAAGGCGTCACAGCTGCCGGCGGCGCAAAGTTGCACCGCTGTGGCTATCGGCAGTACATAAATATCGACGCGATGCTTCTTTCGTAATTTCGGAATTGCCGCCGGTTTTGCTAAACGGAACGGCCCGTGAACGCTTACACGTTGCTTCGTTTCAGCTCGACGGTCTCGACTGTGTTTACAAGCCACCGAGACTTTCTTCTGGTCGGTTCCAAGCGAGGACGAGGACTGATAGAGACTCTCCTTTGCCCTACCAGAGTCCTGGAAGGAGTCAAGGAGTCGAAGGAGCGTCGACGTTTCGGTTTTCCGGTGTAAGCCTCTTCGCTAGAGGCGACATGGCGCTGAGCTGCGTTATGAGCCGACTGCCCAACTCAGCCAGCCATCGCTGCGACCTCGATCACCAGGGTCAGGATCATGCGATGGGGCCAGCTGGAGTGAAAGCTCGACCCCGCGTCATAAGGACTTCGATCCTGGGTAGAACCGACTTAGCAGAATCCCTGGGAGCAATCATAAGACCATGTCAACAGAGTACCTCGACGCCGTTCTCGACCTGTTGATACAGCCTACCCTACTGTGCGGAGGGATCACCCCCCTCAAGTTGACGGTATCGAACCTCGGTACAAGCGAAGTTGCTTGCTCAAGGGGTTTCTGCCGCCCTTATAGGGGAACGATGATCTCACCGTTGCTTTTGTTTCCCTGGTTAGCTACGGCAAACGATTGCACGACCTCAGTGGGCTGCTCGGGAACCAAGCTCGATACCCCCGCTTGTGTTCCGGCGTATTTTCGCCGGCATCATGAGAATTGAACCGGAGCTACACAGGGAAAGTACTCAGGCCAGGCTATCGTACGACACTCGTCACTCGATCCAAGTCTTTCACGACGAGGTCCTCTTTTGCAGGCCCTGAAATCTCTCGGTTCATGGAAGCTTTGCTTTCTGCTGCATCTCCTTTGTCTCGGGCCTTCATATCTGGCTTATTACCGTGAAACTCAGAATGAGCTTGAGTGGAGCGACGGCCAGCCAGAAATACTCGGTAATCCACCCCAGTACAACTCCCTCTAAGGTAAATATACGAGGCCTTGCGAATAGTCGTTCTCTCTTGTGAAATGCTGGAGGAGCAGGACAACGGCGGTGGCTTCAAGAACTCTCGATCTCACAACTAACACTTTCACGGGCAAACACATCGTCGAACTGTATGGAACTCTCAGCAATGTGGATGTCCCGGCTGACGTTGATGGTTTGTGAGCCGGCAGAACAAGGAAGCTGTTGAGGTGCCATGTTGTCAACCCTACACTGAGCTTTCCTCTTTTCCCACTCCGACTCAAGAGATCACCCGGCGAACAACTCGATCTGACAATCACCGACGCAAAAGTTGCAGTCGGCACCTTCCTTCAGTCAACCCCGTGAGCAAGGCAATCAAACCCGACTCTTCATGTCACTTGACGGACTTGACGACCGACTCCAGAATGCGCATCAATAGTCAGTCAATGGGCAACAATCTATCACATGTTGGATCGCCATGCGCGTTCTCTGCGGGGCACAATAGTTGAGAGCTGCAATGGCCAAGGTTGCATGATTGGCCGGACCGTATCGTTGGAACCTCCGTTGCAGATCCAATCATTTCTTCGGACCCTAACGCTGGGCCGGAAGGGCCGAGATCTACGGACCACGGGCGAGGGGTATTCCGCGCAGCGGAAGATGGTTGCCTGCGCAGCACCGTGGCTGAGAGAGACTGCACAACACATATCAAGCGCCGATGAAGTGGTGGGACTGGGCCCATTAATACTCGGGGTTTCCGGATGGGACGGGGCGATCTGGAGCGGCACCAGCGGCGAGAAGCGATGCAGGCGAGGCTCTGGGCCTCCGGGGGGCCGCAGGAGGGGTCGGATTCCTGTGCAGCGATCCGCCAGCCACGTCTGGTGTGTGTGCCTGTGCTTGCCGCAGTCGGTAGGAGGGGCGATCGGTGGCTTCGGGAGCAGTGCAGACTTGGGCACGCCGTTGGCTGAGTTGGGGCAGCATTGCGTCCGTCAGCCGTGGCACCGCGTTGATGTCGCGGCTGAGCCGCGCAAGGCATCTGACCAAGCAGATTCGTCAACGCTCAGGTCAGGACAGCCACGCTGCGCTATGAGGCACCAGGGAAAACGTGGCGACAGGAGGGCGAGTGCTGACGACGGTGCCGGGATCAGGACGGATTGCGGCTTCCGCTGAGATGGTGAGGCCGAGCATGTCAGGGACGGAGTGAAGGAAGAGGAGAGACGTGGTCCGGGCCGCTGGAGAGAGACAAGGCAAGACAAGACAGGTGGAGGAAAGCCCCGTCTCCGCACGCGGCGAGGCGGGCGGGCGGGCGGCGCTGCAAGATGCCACGGATGCCATGCCATGCATCGCTTCCCCGACAGGAAGTGGAGGGCCCCTCGATGGCCACCTCACCCACGGATGTCTCGACTGACGCATCCGCCGACCACTCAGACGGAGCGCGGCCCTGGCGATCCCCCTTTGGCACTGGCATCATGGCGGGCCGGCCGCGGTGCAAATGCTCGAGCAGGAATTGTTTGCCCATCGCAATTCATGGCAATCAAAGAAACGAGAGCAAATGTCTGACTCGAAGCGACAAAGACAAAAAGCGGGGACGCTGGTCTGAGTCGATGCGCGCAGTGCACGGCAGGACAGGACAGGACAGCGACTGGCGGGGAGACGGAAACGAAACACGTTGGGGGCGTTTGGGGCGGCGCCCGCGTGCGGATTGAACCGCGAGAAACGCCGCAGCGTGCGCGATTGCGCAGCCATGGCATCGCCAAGGCGCCGCGTCCCGTCTTTGTCGCTTGCTGGAGCGCAGATGATGACAGAAACTCGCGCGCGCAACGGCGCATCTGAGCTGCTTCACCTTTGGCATCGTGCCTTTTTGGGTTGCCTCCATGGCCCGATGCCTGGGGACCCCTCCGATGGATTGATGCCGCGCCGGCCAATGGGAGGGTGGGTGCGACGCCGTTGCCCAGGCCGACTTTGCCGTTGCTGGAGGCGGCGAAGGACGAGGAGAGCGTTGCGGGATTGACTCGCAGAGAGAGCGGGAGAGGGAGTGTGGAGATGGGAATGTTTATTTTTGGGGGCCGCTGAAGGCGGACAGGGCGTATTTCGCTTCGGTCGCCGGTCGCAGTCGCATTCCCCCCTTTACCATGCTGTTGCTGGAATCACAACAAGGGGAGTTAATGAGCGGGAGCGACGCTCTGGCGAGGCGAGATGAAGGGGTTTGATGATGGCGAAATGGGCAGCAATTCGGATGGAAATTGGGGCCCATCTGGTGACGGAGAGGATCCACGGATCCCGGGCCATACCTTGCCATGCTGCGGAGAAGATGAGGCGGTGATGGACCCAGGCCAAGCCTCCGGGCTTCCGTCCAGCGCAGGACTGATCCATCCACGGCCAGTGGCTGCGCTGCTGGCGGGGCCAGCAAGCGTCCACGGGTCGCTGGAGGCAGCCAGGCAGTCATTTCATCAGTAGGTGGAGGAGGGCCACTGATGAGGTGTGCCCGGGTGGGGGGGGACGCCCACGGGAACCCTGGAACTCTACCGTACCGCTGGCAGCAGCACCGGACCGGCTGCCTGCCCGCCTGCCCGCCTGCGTCCGTCGACCCTTTTGGGGGCGGCTGCCTCAACTATCGACGGCTGCGGGGAGGGGTCGGCCAGGTCGCCCAGCACGCCGGCGGCAGCAGCCCAGCCCACCAGCGCCAGCCCAGCCCATTGCCCCGAGACCGTTGTCTGCCCGCCGACGGGTGCGGTGCAACGGCGGGCAAGCCACCACCACCACCTCCTCCTCCACCACAAGCACCACCGCCTGATGAGGCGCTCCCGTCGACAGACAGAACTGACTCTCGCACCATTGCGGCGCCGCGGGAGCACACCCAAAAGGTGGTCGCCCGCCCAAAGCATATTCCTGCCGTCTGGCCTGCGCGCTATTGCCTCGGACGGCCTGGACGGGTCGGGGCTCCTCTTATCACGCAGCCCTCTTCCTCCATTCCTCCATTTCTCAATCCTCCTCCTCGGCTCTCCCCCATTGAGCAACCATAGTCACTTTATCGTCGTCGTTTCCCCGCGTCATCCGCAACGCAAACCGCGCCTCTTGCCTCTCTCCCTTCTCTCCGCAATCCGCACACGTGCCCCTCGGGTCGCTTTAAACGAGCGCAGGCCGAAGTTACCTCCAACAATCCCGCCTCGCCGACGAATGGAACTGAGCTGCCGCCCCCCGCCCGTGGATTCGGAACCGCTCTAGGGTGCCCCTGTTCCCTGTCTCTCGCGCGTCTGCTCCTTGGCCCGCCACTCAAAGCGCAAAGGGGACCGACAGCGCAGCCTTGTTGGACGTCAGGCTGTCCATCATCACCGCCTCGCCGCAGCACACGCAGTCGTAATCGCCCGGGGTTTCCGCCTCCCTCGCTCACCCGCTCATCATCCCGTCCCCTGTCGCCCCGCTCCTTCCGCTCTTCAATCTCCCGTTTCTCGAACCTCGTCAGGGCTGTTTCTGTTTAATATTGCCCGCCTCGTCCTCGACTTGGCCCTCTCTCTCTCGGTCCCGCCCCCCAAGTCTCGTTGCCGTTGACCGGTCTCTTGATTGTTGCCGTTGCCGTTATTGCTCTTCTGCGCTGCAGGCGTCTGTGTCGCCTCCCGCCTCGTGCCCTGTGGGTTCGTCGCTCTGGGAGCGTTTGCTCGTTCGTCGCCTGGGCGTCGCGCGACTCCTCGTGTTTGCTGCTCTCCGCCATCCTGCTGCCACCTGAGCGACGAGTTATGGCTTGACCCGAGAAGGAGAGCGATCTGCTTTTGTGCTTTCCAAGTTGGTGTTGACACCGACTCGCCTGCCAATCTGAGTGAGCCGCTCACCTCACAACGAACCGCAACGCCCCGCGCGCTGCGTCGCGTCAGTCCGTCATCGCGGCATCCCCTCCCGGCAACACTGGATATCTCATCCACCGGCCACAGAAACGGCAAATATGGCCTCGCTACAGATGCACTCGAGCGCCCTGGGCGGCCCCCACGGCCCCGTCAAAATTACAAAGTCGCGCGGTCGCACCGCCGTCAAGCCCATCCTCAAGAAGCTACAGTCTCACCACTCAGACCGCGAGTCCCTCGATCTTGACCGAGGCTGGGACGACCAGCCATCACCGCGCCTCAGCTCGCTTGATTTCGGGTCCGGACCTTACGACAGTGACGGCGGTGGCTACTTTGGCTCGTCCAGCCAGTATGGCGGTAATGCAGGCGCTGGCAGGACGGCCCGCGACGTAAGCTTCTCACTTGCATCTGGAGACTACGGCAGCGGCGTGGGAGCCAGAGGCAAATTCTCGCACGCGCGCTCCACCAGCGGCACCTCCCATGCCTCCATCGCCACCACCAACAGCAGCGGGCGCAACGGAGGCTCCTTCGTCCATCCCTTCCAGCAGACCCCCCAGATGGCCGCCGCGACGCCTCTCACCTACACGAACCCGCGCGCCTCTTTCGACAACTCGCCCACCATCACCGAGGACGACGGCGACGACGTCGACCCCTACCCCTCCTACCATTCCACCGCCTCCTCTGCCAGCCGCCCCGCCGTCTACCAAGCAGCCCATCTGCAGCAGCAGGGCCAGCGACGGCCTTCGCTTGCCAGCCAGCGCACCGGCTCCGTGTCGGATGGCGCCCAAACGCTGCGAGTGACAGCAAGCAGATCCCACTCGGGCTCTGTGCAACGTCTCACCTCGAGCTCGGTGAACCAGAGCCGTTCTGAGCTGCAGCTGAGTACTGCCAACTCGGTCATTGATTCACCATTGTCGACGACGGCACCGCTCACGACTTCGCCCACCCTCTTATCGTCTACCCAAGGTGGCGCTGCAAGCACCGCGACAACAGTCACACCTGCACAATCGTGCTCGTCGTCAGCAAGTCCCATGTCCCCCCTTCGAAGCTCGCTCGATATGGGCGGATTCCGCCTCCGCTCACGGAGCGAGGTCGACACATTTACCCGCCAAGAGCATGTTCGTGAGGCGCGTCGCAAGTTTGAGGCCAAGGAACGCGCAAAAGAAGAGAAGTACGCACGTGAGCAGTCACGCAAAGAAGCGCACAAGCAAGAGCGCGGACAGCCCCGCCTACGGAAAGAGAGCCACGGCAGCCAGCCCGGCGCAATCAACACGGCTGGCCTGCACCGGAGAAGAACGCCCAAGCCCGACGTGGCCACCGAAGAGCCCAACGAGAAGGGCGTGCATGCCGGCCAGGAAGCCGACGGGATCCTCGACTCCCAGCCCAGAGCCGACAGCGTGCAATTCAAGTCACCAAAGCGCACAAAGACGGCCAAGCACAAGACCATGGGCGTATGGACATCGTTTATGCTTTGGCTCAGAACCCGGCTGCTCAAGCTGGGGAGATAGGAGCGGGGCAAAGCTGGCCGATCAACCAGTCGCCCTCGAAATGAGTGAGATACCAGGCGTGGCCAGAGGTCACCGGTATCTCAAGTGATTACCCACCACCACATACTTCGACAGCCTGCATACCGACCGGCGCACGTTATGACGCCTGGCGACTCATAGCAAACAACCCCCCTCACAGCGGCAGATATCATTTTCAGCGTCCCGAAACGGAAAGTTCTGATCCAGCCAGAGCGACCGCAGCGCACCTAGTCGCGCGGCGCAGACACGTCTGCGTCGACAGAATCACCTTTACACGGCCGATCAGAACTGCTTTTCATCATTTTTGCGCGGCGTACAGGGACGGGGAGGGGAACCACGAATACGGATGGCCCCATCGCTGGCTTGTCAAATGCATTTCTCATGACTACTGCATTGTTGAATGGTGCCGCGTCTTGGGATACGGCACTGAGGGTTTGGAGCCTCGTGCGTGCTTGAGAATAAGCAGGGCATCGGAGGGCTTTTGGATATGTTTGAAGTGGTGTGCGCATCACTCATTTTTCTTTGTCACTCGACGTACTGGACGTGTAGATGTGCTAGCGTTTTATAGCTAGGGCACATGCCCGGCAGGGCTGCATGTCTAGAGTCAGAATAAAGCTGTAACAGCTTCATGAATGCATGACGTTGATCAAATCCCCGCCATTGTCGAGTGCCACGTGAGCAGATTATTACAGTCGTATGGATCATGGCATTTCTGGCTCTGTCAAGGGAAACTACACACAGCGTGGGCACCCCGCTGTTTCGTAGGTTCGCGTACATTTTATGATCTAGATCTTTGGCTTTACTCGGACATCGACGGGGGTCCACCATGGATACGACGAGGGGGCGTCCGCCATGGTCGCCTTGAACTCGGGCTTTCTCTTCTGGAGAAAGCTCTCCTTGCCCTCCTTGGCGTCCTCGCTTAGCGCCATGCCGTGGAACACCCTGCTGTCGAGGAGATGAGCTTCCTCCGGCGACTCAGCGCCGCGGTAGATCAGGTCCTTCATGACACGAGCCGCCTTGGTGCTCACATTGGCGGCGATGTCGTCGGCAATGGCCAGCGCCGTGGGGAGCACCTCGTCGGGGGCGACAACCTCGCTGAAGAGCTCGCCAAACAGCTTGTGCGACGCCGGGTAGACGGCACCGGTGGAGACGAGGTGCAGGGCACGGCTGGCGCCGACGAGGCGCGGCAGGAAGAAGCTGCTGCAGGCCTCCATGATGAAGCCCCTGCGCGCGAAGACGAAGCCGACCTTTGCGTCGCGGCTGGCGACGCGAATGTTGGCGGGAAGGGTCATGGTGATGCCGATGCCGACGGCGGAGCCGTTGATGGCGGCGACGACGGGCTTGACGCAGTTGTACACGGCGAGGGCGACGCGGCCGCCCGAGTCGCGGTGGTCCTCGGCGCGCGGGGGCAGGTCGTGCCGCTGGTTGAAGTCCATGCCGACGCAAAAGATTTTGTTCTTGGGGTCCGAGGAGGCGAGGACGACGGCGCGGACGCGCGGGTCCGACGAGAGGGTGGAGAAGGCGGAGACGAGCTCGTCGGCCATTTCGTCGGTGAAGCCGTTGAGGGCGGCGGGCCGGTGGAGGGAGACGACGACGACGGGCGTGACGGAGGGGGAGGAGGCGGGGTGGTGCGAGAGTCGGATGGTGGAGAAGGGGAGGGAGGCGTAGCTTTCGGGGAGGGCGGCCATGATGATGATGGACTGTGTGTGTGTGCGTGTGTGTGTGTGTTTATGCGTGCGCGCGAAGGCGCGACGAAGGGGTGTCGATGAAGAAGATCGGGTGAGCTGAGGCGAGGCGTCCCTGAATGAGTGAGTGAGTGAGTGAGTGAGTGCGAGATGAGGATGAAGTGGCACCGAGTGTTGGAGGTGAGTTGGTGTTGTGTGTGTGATAGTCGTGTCACTTAAAAGCCAAGGTTCCCGGGAGTTGTTGGGTTGAGGTGAGGTGAGGAGGAGAGCCGGGAGCCGAGGCAATAGCGCCGAGGGCCATGTACTTTCCCAAAGGGGTAATTAATGCGGGTATGCTGTACCTCTTACGCGCTGCTGAGTCGCTGACTGGCGTGAACCAGCAACACATTTTGGGGAGACGAAATGAAATTTAGTAGAGAAGGCTGTTCCTGTTGATTCCAAGCCATCTATTGAGTTCGAAATGCTGCATACTCGCAGCATGCAACGAAAAGCCTGAGCGAGGCGGCATTCTTGCACCGGCCTGGCCCGCACAGCGGGGTCCCTACTCCAAGATCCCCCCATCCCCCCCGCGGACGGTGATGCGCCGAATCCGATCCACACCCGCTGACTAAGACTGAGTGGGCGATCGGAAACGAAACAGGACAGGCAACGCAAGCCAGCCCGGCCAACCAGCCAACCATGAGGTGAGCTGAGCTTCACTCACCCGCTCATCCCAAATCGCCGCCCGTACCGTCCCTTGCCCGCGTTCCGCCAGCAGCAGAGGTGCAGCAATGTCACCGCTGCGCCAGCCGCCCGTATCATGGTATACGACTGGGACGCCCACCACCAGACATGTTACCGGCTGTACATCGAGGAGGGCAAGTCCCTCGAGGAGATCATGGACCACATGAGGACGGCCCACCGGTTCACACCAAGGTGAGTGAGTTGAGTGAGTCAGTCCGTGGCATGTCAGCCTCAGCCCTTGCGCCCTGCGCGCGCCCGCGCGCCTGCTGGGCCAGCCGGCTTGCCACCCCGTCTGAACACCTCGCGACGACTACATGCGGGCGTCATGGCATATGAAGTCCGGGGCATCCTGCTTACACGCACCGCACAGCAAACGCGCTTTCCAGACGCAGTTCCGTCGCTGGGACTTCCCCCCCAAGCAGCGCCCCGCGTATAGGAACGAGAAGCTCGTCAACCGGGTTAAGGAGCTGTGGGAGAAGAACCTGCCCCAGAGGGAGATGCTGCGGGTGCTCAACGACGAGGATGGCTTCGACATCAAGGCCAGGGAGCTCATGCGAGTGCGCGCGAGAAACAGATGGCTCCTGCGCGCGGCCAACGGGGACAAGGCCAAGGGCGTGGACCGCGACGACGATGATGGCGATCATGCTTCGCTGGACGGGGCGTCGACGGCCGAACGCAGCTCGCAGAGGACCGTGTCGGACGGCAACCACTCGGACCGGCAAGGCGGTTCGGCGGACAACAGGAAGCGGAGGAAGAGGAAGCAGGCCGGCGGCCCTGGCGGAGGACCGCTCCGATTCCCCTCGGAGACGACCCTCGACGAGGCTCGCAAGATGATGGGCCTCGACCCGGCCACCTATCAGCTTCTACGCACAAACTTCCAGCGCATCTGTCAAGAGGAGGGCGTCACGAAGAAGACGTTGGCTGGCATGGAGAGGTGGGAGGCTGTCAAGGCGCGCCTGGTGCGCGAGACACCTCAGCTACAAACGATCCTGTGGCTGTCAAAGGATGAGCCGGAACCCAAGAAGCTGGCCCTCGATGTGATTTGCACCGACGTGACCAAGCGGCTGCGAAACCTGGAGACGAGGATGACCCTGGTAGAGGCGAAGAAGGAGCTGGGCATCAACCCTGAGGAGGCACGCGAGGTGAGAGTCGCCTTTCATCACGTCTTGTCCGAGTCCAAGATTGCCTGCAAGTCAGAGGCATCTCCTGAGCAGTGGGAAGGCTTGAAGCGCCGGTGGAGTGAGAGATCGGACATTGTGCGCAAGATCATGGACGGGGCAGACGAGGGGACAGAATCCTCAAAGCTGATACGGGCCTTGGACGTCATTGCCAGGGACGTGATGAAGAGGATACGGGACGAAAGGGGCCGCCATGACCCGCGGGCGGGCCAGCAGCTGCCGTTGAGCCCGGCGGCGTCGCACGGCGGCAAGATACTCTCGCCGGCAGACCGGGTCGACCTGGGCGACGGACTGGCGAGCACCTTTGACAACGTGTCGGAGGTGTCGCACACGTCGCAGATGGCGTTTAGCCCGGCCAGCAGCACCATGGGCAGTAGCATGGGGTCCCACATGCCGATCTCGCTGCAGTCGCAGGCGTCGAACCTGTCCGACTCTCAGGACGGACTTGGGCCGCCGCAACGGGTCCTGGGGCCGTCGATGGCGGCGGGGATGGGACTGGAGCCTCAAATGGGGTCGTCGCTGCTCCTCAGGGCCAATACGCAGGCGGCCTTTATGGACCAGCCGTACGTGCAGCAGCAGTATCAGCCGGCGGCGACGTCTGCGCCCGTGTACGCGCCGGATCCGATGGCGTGTGCCGTTTACCTACGGCTGCACCCCATGTCGGTGTACGTGGGCAGCACGACGCTCTGGATCGCGACGCTGGGGTCCGGCTCGGTCGAGGAGCTGCGCCAAGTGGCGGCGGCCAAGTTCCCGGGCACCGTCTGCGTGCGGGTCGAGGGTATCCTCAAGGATAGCAAGGGGCGCGAGCTGCCGCTGCAGATCGAGGAGGACCAGGAGCTGAGCGCGTTCCTGACGCACCAGCAGGGCACGGCGCCGACATTTAGCGTCCAGCTGGTGTGGAAGACGTGAGGGCAGCAAGGCGCGGCGCGGCGCGGCCCCGGTGAGACGGAGAGGGACTGTTGACTTTTGCCTATATTCACGGCGGACTGGACGGTGAGCGGCACGGCGGCGTATGGGCATGGCTTGCTCCTCACCTACTGAGAGGCGCGGGTATGGGTTGGCGTTGGCGGATTAGTGCGTGCGCGTGTGTGAGCACCTTTATTTAGCGTACAGTAACGTAACGAATGACGGACTCCAACTGGAATAATAAGACGACTGTTTCCCCAGATGCCCTGTTCTGACGGGCCTAGCAATGGGGCTTCGGCGGTGGAGGTCCGCCAAACGTTGCACCCGGCCTGATGGATGGAAGGGTATCCGGCAACCGGCAGTGGAGCGGACAGCGGGCGACGGGCGGCGGGCGGTACAGAAAAGTCAATTCCGCAGGCCTGCTTCCCCACCCCAGGCGCCGGAACATCTTCCGGGCGTGGGCTTCCGACGCAGAGAGCTCGCCGCCGGGGCTAAAATTGTAGTTGAAACTTTGGGTACAAGATCGAGCACATCACCACCACCACCACCAGCTGGACCGGGCGCCGCGCTTGGCACACGTTATTCCCTACGTCTTCTCCGCCCAACCCTCCACTGCCGGCGCGCCGCATCGACGACTTTTCGCCACCCCTCCCCGTCCTCGGCGCACGACGAGACGCACGCGACCGACCGACGACAGGACAGGACAGACAATGGCACCGCTGCAGCTGCGAGCTGCTGCGCTGCGGCGCCTGCGAGTCGCCGGCCCCCGGTTGCCGGCGGCCGTGGCAACGCCGCGATGCTACTCGACCGAGATGGAGCCCGAGAAGCCCAAGGGCCAGCCCGCGGCGCGGCAGGGCAACGAGGCCAGGCTGGGGCGCTCGTTCAAGGGGCAGGTCATGGGCAGCATCGGCGCGCGACTGCGGCGCGAGAGGGAGCAGCGCGAGCAGTACGAGCGCTGGCGCGACATGACGGACCCGTCGCGCAACTGGATGGTCACCTTCCGTGAGTACCTTTCTCATAAATGCGCAATCCTTGGGAGGATAGGAGGCTTCTGACACGTCCAGTCTTCCTGTCGAGCGTGGGCATCGCCTACTACCTGGGCACCTACTGGCCGCGCGACCCGGAGCCGAGCTCGACCCTCCCGCTGTCCAAGACGCGCGACCCCAAGCACAACACCAAGCTCGAGAACATGCAGGCGGCGTGGGCCGACTTTGTCAAGGTCGTGGGCAAGGACAACGTCAGTACGCTCGAGACGGACCTTGAGCACCACTCGACGTCGACATGGTCGACGCACCAGCCCAAGCCCGACGAGAAACCCTTCTGCGTCGTCTTCCCGTCGTCGACGGAGGAGGTGTCCGAGGTGATGAAGATTTGCCACCAGCGGCGCATCCCCGTGGTGGGCTACAGCGGCGGCACGAGCCTCGAGGGCCACTACACGCAGACGCGCAAGGGCATCTCCATCAACTTTGGCCGGATGAACAAGGTCCTGGCGCTGCACAAGGAGGACATGGACGTCATCGTCCAGCCGGCCGTCGGCTGGGAGGCGCTCAACGACGACCTCGGCAAGGAGGGCCTCTTCTTCCCGCCCGACCCGGGCCCCGGCGCCATGATCGGCGGCATGGTCGGCACGGGGTGCAGCGGCACCAACGCCTACCGCTACGGCACGATGCGCGAGTGGGTGCTGAGCCTGACGGTGGTCATGGCCGACGGCACCGTCATCAAGACGCGGCAGCGGCCGCGCAAGAGCTCGGCCGGGTACGACCTGACCAAGCTCTTCATCGGGTCCGAGGGCACGCTGGGGCTGGTCACCGAGGCGACGCTCAAGGTGACGGTCAAGCCGGCGTCGACGAGCGTCGCCGTGTGCGCGTTCCCGTCGATCCGGCACGCGGCCACGTGCGTGAGCAAGGTGGTGGGCGAGGGCGTGCCCATCGCGGCGGTGGAGATCCTCGACGACAACCAGATGCGCAACATCAACGCGGCGGGCATGACGTCGCGGACGTGGGCCGAGGCGCCGACCCTCTTCTTCAAGTTCGCGGGCACGCCCGCCGGCGTCAAGGAGCAGGTGGCGCAGGTGCAGGCGCTGGCGCGGTCGGCGGGCAGCACGACGTTTGAGTTTGCGCGCGGCAAGGACGAGCAGGACGAGCTGTGGAGCGCGCGCAAGGAGGCGCTGTGGAGCACCATGGCGGCGGGCCGCGACGGCGACCGCGTGTGGACGGGCGACGTGGCGGTGCCGACGAGCAGGCTGCCGGCGCTCATCGAGGAGACCAAGGAGGACATGGCGCGGAGCGGGCTGAGCGCGTCCATCGTCGGGCACGTCGGCGACGGCAACTTTCACAGTACGTCTCTTCCCCTCTTCCCCCCTCTTCCAGCCAGAGTGAAGGGGATATGGAGCAAGGTGCTGACGACAGATGTATAGCGATCCTCCTGTACAGTGACGCGCAGAGGCAAAAGGCCGAAAAGGTGGTGCACCGGATGGTCAAGCGGGCCATTGAGATGGAGGGCACGGTCACGGTGAGGCATTCTCGCATTCTCATGAGAGCGGTCAGGAGAGAAATGGCTCGGCTAACTTAAGATAACGCAGGGCGAGCACGGTGTCGGCCTCGTCAAGAGGGACTATCTGCCGCACGAGCTGGGCGAGACGACGGTCGATGCGATGCGCCAGGTGCGTCTTCTATCACTAACTGTACCTCGGCAGGCGAGCCCGGGGTATGAGCGTACGTTCATTTTGCTAACGAGGTGTACCAGATCAAAAAGGCGTTTGATCCGCTGTGTCTGCTCAACTGCGACAAGGTGGTGCGGATGCAGAAGCCGAAGCGCGGCGAGGTTGAGGAGTGGTAGTGGAAGTGGTAGTTATAGTCGGGCCTCGAGAGGGATGGATGGATGGTGGGGGGGTGTTGTTGTATATATTAGAGGTGAGGTAATCGGGCGCGCGCGCGCGTATGCCGCGTGTATATGTGTCAATACAAGACTTCTCCAACGTACATTACCACCTGGTTGCTGGTGGCTCGACATTTGAGATGGACTTACAGATGGACCCTGAATCGCCATGCTTGGGAGCTGTTCCCCACTGCGAGAGAGCTCGCTGCCAATGCACCGTTAACGGCTCGGACTTGGCTCCAAATTAATGGAGCTCGCCTGGGTAAGGTTAGGTGCGGCGGCCTTCCGTCTCTTATCTAATCGGGGCAGCCAGTGACGCACTTGCATCACAGGGACCACCTCAAACCACGGCGGCCCGCTGGAGCGTTGCGTTGCCCCCAACTGCCCCGCGTCACTCCCCGGCGTCACATGGTCTGCCCTCGCCGCACCACCGCAGTCAACTGCCTCGCCAGCTCGTGACTGCGTCCAGTCGCGTACCGAGTCGCGTCACGAAAGTCCCTCTCTCCCCGGCATCTCAAGACAATCCACGTTCGAGTCGAGTACGGCCAACTAGTTTGCGATATCTGTGCTAGCGCTGGGCGACGTCTGTCGCGCAACCTCGACCACGGCCGCTTCGCCATGTCGCTGTTCACGGCGCAGCTGCATCCTGGCAGGGGCCTTGGGTTCCTAGGTGAGTCGTCGCTGCGACCCGGAGCCCCTGTGGCGCCGGCGCCGGCGGAACCTACAAGTCAAGTTAGATGCTGACGCCGTGTTCAGTCCTCGGCGCGTCGCTCCACGATGTCCTCACGCGCCTCAAGGCCGAGCCCCAGCGCTTCCCCAAGCTCGAGGTGCTCTACTCGCCCGACCGCCCCGTCACCGAGCCCGTCTGCATCAACCTGCCGCAAAACGGCATCCGCCTGCGCTTCGACGGCCCCGAGCAGCGTCTGCGCCTCGTCGAGGTGCTCGACTTCACCAAGAACCACGTCACCTTCAAGGACCGCGACCTGCTCAAGCCCGCCAACGGCACGTCGGCCCCCGGGTCGCCCGTGCCCGGCGAGGCGTCCTCGGCGGGGCCCACGTTTCGACACATATACCACCGCCTGCTAGGGCCGACGTACGCAGGCGAGTTTATCCCTCCCGCCGGCGGCCAGGAGGATGGCATCTACGTGCTGTCATATCCCGGCGTGGCCTTTAACTTTCCCATGCCCAAGGCGGCCTACTCGCCCAACAAGGACGTCGTGTCGCTCTTGTCTGCGTCGTCGAGCCAAGTCGCCACGTCCATGGCCGTGTTTAGCGGGGACTCGTGGGCCGAGGCGCGTCCGACGCTCTTCACCGAGGTCCTGCCCAGCATCAAATCGACATCGGCCCTGCCGCGCGGCAAGGACGTCTACCCCGACGAAGTCTCCCTGGTGCGGCTGTATGGAGGCGGTCGCATCGATCTCTTCCGCAAGTGGACGAGCAGCGCGTTTCGGATCCAGCTCGGCGAGACGACGCCGCAGGAGCTCGTCATGGAGCTGGGCCCGCCCAACGCCATCTACCGAAAGAACGACCAGAACATGGTCATCCACAAGATGCGTACAGCTAGCAACACGCGCAGTAGGCCGAGCGCAACGGACATCGGGCGGCCGGACGACCTCACCGACACGGACCAGTCATCTATGAATACGGGCTCCGACGACTCGGACGAGGAGGCCATCGACGAACACACCGCCAACAACCCGTCTGGAACATGCTTTTACAACTACTTTTATCTAGGGTTCGACGTGCTGCTATCGACGCCCACAGCGCCGTCAGGCCTGCCGCCCGGCACGGAACCGGCTGGCCCGGAGAACCCGATCAAGTCGCACCACCCGGACCGCCTCGTGGTTACCAAGCTCGTCCTCCACGGAAACATACCTGGCTCCTACGAGTTCAATCGCCACCGGCGCTGCCGCTGGGAAATTGCCTACCTGAACGACGGCGAGGACGACGGCTCCATCAACTCGGAAACGGAATTTCGACACGTCGAGGAGCGCATGAGCGACAAGTGGCAGGAAGCGCTTCCCGCCGGCAAGGGCTCCTCCGGGCGGCAGAGGGGCATGGTGCTGAACCGCGGATGGGGCGACAGCCCGGGGAGCAGCTGCGAGTTCCTGGGTGGCTGGGAGGAGAGCGGCGCGCGGCGGGCCGACGCCGGTGGGGAGTCTACGACGACGCTGTATGGCTTCCCGGGGTTGGTGTTTGAGGTGCTGAAGAATGATTACGTGAATACGGTGACGGTGTTTTAGACGCTTGCTTTGCGGGTCGGAAGGCGTTGGGCACATTGGGAATGAACCACATCAGTGGGCTTGACACAGTATTCTGTGTAACGCATGCATGAGATACCAACTATACAAGACTTGCAGCTTCTTGCCGCTTCGCTTGGCTAGCGGAACGCACTCGCTCGCTACTTCTACTTCTTTTCCAAGTACACATTATCACACACGTCACGGAACGTATCCATGGAGTGCTTCGTCGCATCCGCGACTCTGTCCATCATCTTGCCCATGTCTCTCCCCAGCGGGAGCACCCGCTCCGCCTCCTTGCCCCGTCCCACGCCCTCACCCACGATGACCTCGTAGATGGCCCTCGCCGCCTTGCGGTGGTCGCCGTCGGGCTGGAAGTTGGCCCCCTCTATGCTGCCGAGCACCTTTTCCACCATGGAGCCCGCGTAGTCGTCTGGGAAGGGCTCGGCGGTGCGCGTGAGCGCCCGCGTGAAGTTTGTGTCGAAGCCGCCGAGCTGCACGGTGAGGGAGCGGATGTTGAAGGGGGCGAGCTCCTTGGCCATGACGCGCATCAGACCTGCGAAAATGATTTCCCGTCAGACATGCGATTGCAAAACAGCGCGATGCACAACATTGGGCTAAGTTGGGGAAGGAAAAGGGGCAGCAAAGTGGTGACTTACCGTCGAGCGCGGCCTTGGCCGCCGCATACACAGCCATGCTCTCCCTCCCATCAACGCCCGCCCCGGACCCGATATTCACAATCATGCCCCTCCTCCTGCGGCGCATATGCGGCACCACCGCGCGCGCGAGCCGGTACGGCCCGAAGAACACCGTCTCGAACTGCCGCCGGACCTCGTCGTCGCGGAAGCTCTCGGCGGGGCCGTGGACGGACCACCCCGCGTTGTTGACGAGCACGTCGATGGCCACGCAGTCGTCCCGGCACTCGAGCTGCTCGACGAGCTCGGCGGCGCGGGTCGGCGAGTCGACGTCCAGCGCGAGGAAGCGGCTGCCGTTGGAGGCGTGGGACTCGACCTCTGCGACGAGGGCGGGGGGCAGGGCGGAGGGGTTGCGCGCGGTGGCGATGACGGTGTGCGAGTGGGCGAGGGCGAGGCGGGTGAGGGCGAGGCCGAAGCCGGAGGAGCAGCCCGTGATGAGGAAGGTGAGCTTGGGGGGGTCCCAGGACGACATTGTGAGTGCGTTACAGCGGTCTTCACGGGGTGTAGAGTTGAGACTTGAGCTTTTGGTCGAGACTTCAGAAAGCTCTGGGTCAAACTTGCAACGCCTTTCGGCTTCGATATATACGCGACGCAAACGCATCCGTCCCGCACATGCCAGCACTAACCCCGGACCCCGCACGCCTCTCCTTAGCCATGGAGAACTATGCGTATCGCTATGAGGTACGCTTTCTCAGCGGCGATTAGGGTGCTTTACCCCCGGAGCGGTCGCCGTTTCAGCGCCGATCCGGGTCCGGGGAGCCCCACATAACCGGAGCTAACGGGGTAACTCCACCGGTCGGAGGACCGGGGCCGACCCTATAGATGCTAATTAAGCGAGCGCCGCCCGCAAGCATCAGACGTGACATTAGACGGGGGCCAGCATAAGCGGGTTTACGTCGAAGAGTAAATTAGATGTGGTGCGATTCGCCTCCCTCGAGTCTAATCCGCCTCGACTTTAAGGGTTACTTCGGCTGCTCGACAGCCCATGCTTTGGTGACCTGCCGCGTTATACCGACGCAAGCGGGTTGAGGTGTAAGAGACTACACGCCACCTGCGGGGATGTTGCTTTGCGTGTTCATGAATGATGATCTGGTTAGTTTGTTCTTCACAAATCGGCTTGCATTCTCGCTCTATGTCATACTCGAGTCGGGTGGCATATTCGAGATCCGCAAGGCTTTCATGAGTCACCACTTTTCCAACACGCAACTCCAATAAGAACATCAATCTTTGTTGAACAACGTTGCCAAGTACTACCTGCTGCTATTAGAGAGTGTGTGAGAGAAACAAAGGGGAAGGGGGCTAGGGGCTAGCGGTGGACGGGAGTCCCGGGGGGGCTCATCATCTGCCTTTGACCGTAAAGAATGAAGATTTGGAAGCCAATCAAAAGTCCTCTTGCTGCTCTGATCAAAAAATAAAAAAAAAAAAAAAAAAAAAAAAAAAAAAAAAAAAAAAAAAAAAAAATAACACAGCGGCACCAAGCTAACGCCGCATCTCATCGCCTCCACTGCAGACCACTGGCTCAATTATCAGGAACGTAATCCTTGATACTCATTGTCCCGTTGGTCAGCGTCTTGAGCTTATAAAAGCTCGTTGTGTCGGTGATATCGCTCGGCTGCACCTGCGGGGGGAATTCGTAGCTCATGACCGACTTGGGGTTTCTCGTCCCGTAAACCACCGCTCCGCCCTCCCAGCGGCCCGGATCCAAGGCGAATTCGTGGCGCAGGCCCAGAGTGTGCCCAAGCTCGTGCAGGAAGATGTTTTTGAGGATCGAGCGGTACTGCTGTTTGGACAACGCCGACTGGTACACGAACAATGTGTTCAATGGCTTGGAATTCGGGAAGAACGCCGAGGCCAAGACGCTGCCCTTGTCCCCGCCGTACTCCAGCACGAACGCCGCATCCTCAAGCTTGCCGACCCAGGCAAACTTGACGCCCAGATTATAGCTGTTCCACTGCTGCGCTGCCTCCCAAAGACGGAGCGCCGCAAATTGTGCGTCTCCGGCCTGAGGGTATCCACCGGCGTACGCGGCAAAGTTTATGGTCGAGCCGTATTTCCAGCGCGGGATCTCTGTAAAGAGGCCTACCAGGATGGAAGCCACCGAGTTAGGGTCAAACGGCTCAGTCAGGCAGTTGTAGCTGCCCTGATGGCTGGCAGCCGGGGCACCTGCATCGTTATCATTGGCGCCTCTGGCATCATATTCCTGAAGGACTGCTTGGGGATCGAGAACTTCAATCTTGTCGTCACCGAACTTCTTTTGGATGATTCGCACCGCAGCATTTCGCTGGTCCTTCTTGGACTGGGATTTGTCCAACGGCAGTTGACTCCCAGTCATCGTGGATGGTTGAAGGACTTCACGGTTATATGCTTGTGATGGGGATGGTACAACACTTGAGGGACTCGACGGAGGCTTGGGGATTGTCCCACACCAGTCTTCTGGCTTGTTTGGGTCCGTTGTGATGGTTTGGAAAAGTTGGTTTTGAAGGTTGGCTGAGATGGGCATGGACCTCAGGTCCCTTTTATGGCCCATGTATCGTAGATGCCAACGCCTATCCCATCGGCAAAGGATATTTGCTGCCAGCAGACTGTCAATCAGGACGATTGCAAGTCGAGTCAAACTTTGGAGCCCTCACCTCAGCCGCAACATAACCTAATCGTCTAGGAACGGCCGAGACTCCCTGAAGTTGCTATGCCGCCTTCTTGGAGTGAAAACACACTGTATCCATTGGCCACAGATTCATTTCTGTACATGCGAGCCATCAAAGGTCAGTCTTTTGTCGCCTGCCGAGCGCGAAGGCGTCTGCATTTCACGGGTCGTCACGGGTTGGTTACGTGCTCCATTGATGATTCCCAAGGCCATTGGCCCCCGCCAAACCACCACTACAAGAACTATCTAGAAGGAGACTTTGAGGAGAGGTGGTGAGGGCTTAATCGCTTACTCCTTAGCTTCTAGCGATAATACAGCTTGCCCGCTTGCTCTGGAATGGTGAGCTGAAACAACGGTGCCACTTGAGCGATGGTGTAACCTGAATGGATTCAGCTGAACATAAAGCTGCCACTGGGTGCTGGACCGACACGTTATGCTTACTTTTGTGTACCGTGGGTCTGTTACGGCCTGTGGCATCAGGCTGCTGGCGACATGGTGGTCTGGCAGCTGAATCGCCTGCTCAGGTGAATTCCAACGATATCAAGACGATCAGATGCCCACAGCACATGCACACAAAAAGTTTACCGGAAATTACATTTTGCCAAACGGGGCGAGGAGTATCGTAGGTTGCGGTTTTCCGACTGCAACGGATGGCCTAAAGGGCATCTCTCAGTTTGGCGAGTAGATGCAGACCAATACAAACGGCGTGACGTAAACTGTGATCATCATTACGTGTGCCAAACGACGACCTCGCTCTGAAGGTTCGAGTTCCAATACTGTCTGGCACGAGCACACAGAGCATGTGTTGGGAATCCTTTCAATTAGTAAATAGTTATGAGCGAAACCCTGTCGACCATGAAAGAGCGAGGTTATGCATCATTTCCGCCCCTGTTACGTCCACTCCGGTTCTCAACGCTGCGGGCCATGACAACACGCCGTGCTCGGTTGACTTCACCGAGCGGTCGGTGCGCCTCTAGAGTATCCCATAAAAGAAACGTCTTGTCATCAATCTCGCTGCTCCATTCGGGCGTGATTTCTTGCGCCGGGATAGTGAGACGGGCAACCGTGATGTAAGGCGATGCGGTTTCATTCCACGGTTTGGTAGCATTTTCGATTGGAGTATCGGTTTCATTCACATAGAACTGAAGTTGATACTCCCATGTAAGAGGTAATCGGGATACCACGTCGGCGCCCCAATTTTTGCTGGCGTTTGGATCCGCAGTCTGCCCCTTTGGTGGTTTAAGTCGGCCACGAGCGGCGTACGGACCTACGCAAAACGGCGTTTGCGTGTGAAATGTATCGACCGCAAACCCAGAGAAGGGTCGAGCTGGAGCACTTTTGTAGTCGCCCTCTTTTGTCTCCGCCATCTGAACAAAACGAATGAAGTCCAAGCTGCGAGCGCCAAAAGGATCCAACTGTACCATAAGGATGTTGTGCTCCTTAGCGGGCCCGGTATCATAGGCATCTCTACCCTCGACACCTAGGACTTTGATGGCAAACCCTCTGATGTCTGGACGAGCGTCCTCGTAAATTCGCATACTGGCGTTCGTAAGCCTAACCAGGCTGTCGAAGCTGTGCGGCTGAGCAAACACTCCAAACCGTGCATAGGGAGGTAATCCATCGAGTACTTCAAATACCGCTTTGGTCGCCAAGAGCTGCTTCCGATGGAATGCCCTTCCAGGACATTGGTATAGGCGACTGTATTTTTCCTGGATAGCTCCCACAATATCTGCCTCCTCTTTAAATCTTTCGGCTTCGTCTGGCTCAATGCTTTCCTTCCACTCCGTACTCGGTTGAGCCATGGTGTCAATCCAGTTGGCAGATAGGGGTGTTACGAGGGCTCGAAAAGCTCAAGGTCACAGAGAGTTGGACATATCCACTGCTACAGAGTCGAAGTGTGGATTTATGTACTCGCGGTCTAATTCGCACGTTTGGCCTGGGATGTATTGTCTCTTCCGTAACACCGATGCTCCAGGCCGTATTATTGCCATTACGTGAACTTATTCGAACTTGACTCGTAGCGGCTGTTTCGAGTCGTACATGGCCATGCAGTCACTTGTGTTAGAGTTTGTGCAAGGAGGGTACGCAGAGTCGATACTCTACTTTTCTCCTGCACGTGTTGAAATACAGGTGCAAACTTAAACCTCAGCCTCTCCTCCACGGGTAGACTCATGTAAGTATTTCTGGCCAGAGTTTTTTTCGGACGTGTTAGGCGCTGAGACTGCGTATTGCATGGATATGTACTCTGTATACGAAGCATTTGTATGGGAGATGTATGGGAGATGTAGCGTGAGGGAAGCCAATACACGGGCCACTCATGTGGCTCTGTAACAATATCACGATCCCTGGACTGAGCCTAGAATGTGGTGCGGCCTGCGCACGAGATTAAGGGCCCCAGAGAGCTGGCGATCTCATGCGAAGTGGCGCACAGCTCATGCGAACGGCAACGTAACCCTAACGCCGCATATTCCAGTTCCTCTTGGACGACGCCTCGGCACCAAAGTCTGCTGCAGGACTCTTCATCACAGGCAGAGGGACACGTATGTCAGCAAAGCCAACGCCAATTACAATCCGCCTCGCATATGCGCTCACGCTGCGCTTACACTGCGTTCTCTATATTTGTGTGGCAGCAAACACTTTACACGAGGCACGCGCGCAAGCAGCGGACTAAGCTTATTGTCGGTGACGATAGCCACGCGTCCAAACTTTATCCCCACATCCCATAGAGCTTCCAACTTTTTGCTCAAGGAACAGCCATTCTTTGTGCATACCTTCATTGCTGGTTTGGGGTGCCCCTGCTCCTCCTGTTGTCGAATTTCTACTCTACATGTTCGACGTACATGTCGCACAACTAGCCTCATTCCCCTGGGTTTTCATTTATGGTTTGAACGTCGAATCAAATCAAGGATACGTTAGGGTATGTAGAATGAGGTCGGACAGCCACAACTAGCGAAAGTGATTCATTCCCAAGTCCGACTGTTTTCCAACCTAGTAGTTCTCCAAAATGAGCTGTGTCTTTTGTGCGTCCTGTGCGAGAAGCCACTTCTTGTCCTCCAGATAGGTGGCGAGCTTGGAGTGTTCAGTCTCAGCCGTTTGACGGCTGCTCGTCTTGAAAGATGCCTCAACGATATGTATCATTTTCCCGTCCGAGTCAGTGCGGATTGGCCAGACCTCGACGTATAGCTTCAGGTCGCCCCATGCGCCAATCCAGCGCCTGGCAAACACCGGCCCGTAAGGCCGCGACCTATTCAACGCGGCTGTGCCCCATTTCTTCCGTCTCCAATCGTCAAACTTACCAGGCGCTTCGTCGATGAGCATTTTCCGAGAGTCCGTTGCATTCGGCAGGTCCGCCCCATTAGTTGGACTCCGCGCTTCTTTGTCGCGGCTGATGGACAGAACCCGAGTCGTGAGGCCCCATTCGACTTGCGCCTCATATTTTGTGTCATCAGCATCGAAACCATCGATGCTGGCCACTGCGAGCGCTGCATCAACGTCGCCACTGGCGATATTGTAACGTTTCTTATACGTCAGCTCGAGGTCGCTCTTGTCCTCCCTCTTGCGGACGCGGATGCTCCAGTCGGCAGCAGAGATGTCCTTTGAGTCGGTATCGAAAAATTGAACATTCATCGAAATGGACTTAGTAATACCAAAGGCTAGCAGAACATCTCTGTTTAGCTCGTAGTCGGTGTTGAGCACTACTTCTGGGTTGAGCAGGAGCCTGGCCTCATAGTCAGGCGTCAAGTTTGCCTTTCGGGGAGGGCTGGCTCGCGATGGCATGGTAAACAACGTGGCTGATGGAGTAACGTATAGTACTTGTGAGTTCTTGGGTAGGCTCTGAATGAATAATCGGGGCGATACAGCAACGTCGCTGTGCAGGAGCTGCAACGGTTCCAGCAAAAGGGAATGCTTTTGAATGACGCGTTAGAGGCTCTCTCTGTCGAGAGTAATAGGAGCTAGCACTGTCTATTGCTCATTATAAAGCTTCAGACAGGACTATACCAATGAGATAATAACGGTTCAACGTTAATACCTTGGTCTACGTCCGAGTTGCAGGAGGAGACGTGGGATAGGTAAGGTGGATAGTACTTCTCAGGATTCAGCGTGGAACGAAGAGATCAGGCTTTAGCTTCCGGTATCATCCAGGTGGCGTCGGGGGCATTCAGCTGACACACTTAGGTAGGACATCTCTTTAGGAGCTGGCAGGTGATGCTGCTTCCAGGCGATTCTGGAATGCATGGCATTTAAGGTTAAGTTACAAGCTCTATCTACCTGAATCCAGCCACTGATTAGGGCCCTCTGCAAATCACGTAGCTACTTTTGGCTGGGTTTCAGCTATGCTTGCATTCTGCAGAAGTGTAGGCAATAACCAACTCGTGTTTTGCGACAGAGCTTCATGGCAGCTACATCTGGATGGGATTATATCGGAACGTTCGTGCGTGCCCCCAATCGCATGGTGTTCTATATATCACGAGACTTCTGGACCAAAATTGGGTGGTCCTACCAGGTCCAGGACTGAACTTCATAGTTTCTGACCGATACCAACGCTGGTCTGAGCCTACAGAGTTATCCTACTGGCATCGGAGATCCGGAGAAATGGAATGCTCGTTTACTGGACTTAATGAACATACGTAAGTTTCCGTCGCTTTGCAAGTTTTGCTCGTCGTGCCAGAGCATGTGATGCAAGCCACTGAGTCGCGACCTTGTCAATTCGACATATGTGGTCACACACCGTATGAGGATGTGTTCCTGCTTTCGTACGGGCATGAGGTCCTTCTGTGATCCCTTCGGCGTCCGCATCGGATTGTGGAGGGTCGGAAACGGGCCTCGCCCTTCACAAACTCTGAGAGATCGCGACAGCCGCAGATGAGCGCAGCGGGGGTTTGGGTGTGGCGTCACTCAAACGCCGCCGTATATCCAGCCAGCGCTTTTGAGACATCACGGCCGGATTGGTTGAGACAGAGCCCAGCTGAGTCAATTCGCGATCCAGGTGCAACCAATCTGAGGCGCCCAATCTATGTGAATGTTACGCTCGCGGCGGCTGATAAGGAAAATTTCGTCCTCACTGAGGCATGAACTTAGCTGCCAAGATGGAATATATTCTGGGTTCCTAAGTACAGTATTGCAGTACACTCATCTGCACTGCTAATAGACGAGTTGGCCAAAAGCTAGGGACATGTGCCTTAACGCGACTAAGAGCTGTCTTGCAACGTCTTTATAGCTAGTTAACATTGGCTTGACCACTCTCCGCGTGCCGCTGCGGCCATCTTGAGAGCCGGAACTTCGATTGTGAGACGACTTTTCGAGGCCCAGCTCTAGGCAAGGCTTGCATAACTGAAAGTCGGCGACGATGCCACTATAAATCGCCTGCCTATCAACGTCCGCTCTTTGATATATGGTTGCATCGTGGTTGAAGGTTTGGATCTCCCGTCACAGGCGGCAACCAGACTCAGGATGGCGGCATTGACTGGTGATTCATGGGCTACAAGATGCTTTGGACACGCATGACATTTTGCGTATTTCATTTACTATTACTGAGGCAAACAGGCAGCCCCATGTTGCAAATGTCAGGGTGATATACCATTAATGCGTCGCTGGCGGGGGCATGCACTGGGGTATCACCTGTTTTCTGCTGTCCCCCAACCAGGCCCGTCTTAGCTCACCGCCGCTTCTTCCCAAGTCTTGATCAATTGCTTCTCTAGCAGTTGGCCGCGATGTTCTTACTCAGACCAGGGTTCTTTTCTCCCAGTCGTCTAGGCTGAAGCGCATGCGGGACCAGTTGCTCATCTATAGGAAGAAACAGTAACGATGAGGACCGCTGCCGGGCGGGGGCGCCAGGCCGATGTAGTTAGAGATGAATGGCTCCGTTGCCATGAGCACGCGTTGTACAACGGCCACAAGAATGCCATCGGACTAGCTCGTCTGCTCCTGTAGGACCTCCACGGCGGCCCATCACACAGATTCATCTTCTTCGTCGAATCGTCACACGACGGCCTTGAGGATGTCGTCGGACAACCCTGATTGCCCCCGGAGGGCCTTCACGACGCACCACGGCTCATCCGAGGCGTCATCACCTGTCGCAGTGCACATGTGCATAACTAACTGATGACCGGGCACAAGGTCCCCAGTGAATTTGGGCAACGAAAGACTCTTGCATTTTGTATCTAATTACTGAATTGAGGTTGGCAATTTATACCGATCTAATGTTCCGCACATGCCAGCTTTAACCCCGGAACCCGTGCGCCCCCATTAGTATCAAGGGTTGTCGCTGTAAGATGTGCCATCTCGGGACGGTTCGGGCGATGTACCCCCCGAGCGTCGCCGTCTCAGCGCCGATCCGGGGCCGGAGAGCCCCACAATACGGGAGCTAACGGGGTATATCCTCCGGAGGGCCGGGGCCACCCGTGTAGGTACTGACTGAGCGGTCGCGGGCCGCAAGCACTAGTAGGGTTTGCGTCGACAAGCAGATTGGATGGCGGTGTAATTCGCCTGCAGTTATGCCGCCCTCCCTTATAGATCTTATAGACAACTGCCGATGTGTAGGGCCATCGTGTTGCAACTTGTACCTAAGGGCTTCGTGCACTGTGTGACTCGTCGCTATTGTGACAACGCTTTGCCTAGCTGACAGGACAGGCAGAAGACGCACAGGACTGGAGGGGCCTCAGGCTGCTCTGGGGGATCATGGAAGCATAATGATTGCAGGGAGATTCTGGGCACTGGGAAAGTCGCTTCAGAACGGACCATTTTGGCTCTCATGGCCAAGCACGTAGTAGGCACTAGGCACGAACGACGGCGCAGACACCGTGGACACGAGAGTCACAGGCTTATGAGAGGCACGAGAGGCGATGGCGGCACGATGGGTGTGATGGGAAGGAAAGGCGACCCAGCATGCACGGTGCGGTTCACGGCAAGCTTCCCAGACATCGAAACACGGCGTTTCCCGAGAACCGGCGAAACGACACGGCGGTTACGCGTGCCAAGAGTAGTATGTCGGGCGATGATGCAGACCTTCTCTTGTAGATCGACACATCCGGCCCTGCAGTCCCCCCATACCCAGGTCATACCGAATAATGCCTTCGCACCCCGCCCTAGCATCTACATGTATTGTCACGGCACCACCAGGCGGCGGCAGAGTCATGGGCGTGCAGGGAAGGGGCCCAATGCCGGACCGGCCGCTAGCAAACTGCAAGGTCATCATCACATATCGTCTGCCGTGCGCGCGGCACAGTCCCCCTCTTCAACGCTCCCAACGCTTCTCTGCCTGGGATCTTTCATGGTCTGCAGAAGCGCCACAGGGACTTTATAGTCCCGACGGCAGCTGCCGTGGAAGGTGGTGTGCTGTCGATATTGAGGTGTTGCCTGCATTGAGCGCAGAGGGTGTGGTACTGTACTGTACGCACGACGTGCAATAGCGTTACAATCGCGACAGAAGGAGGTGTTTGTTCCATGCGCGCCCCATGCACGCGCTCTGTGCCACCGCACGTGCTGCCCAGACCGCATAGCATCGACTGAACGTCGTGTGTAACTGCTCATCCGGCAAGCCCTGGTGCCAGGGGACGGCCTCGACGGCGCGGGTCGTCATGCGACAGAAGACGCACAGTCTGACAGCTGCAACGAGGTGCAGACGCCTGCCGCAGCCTGCCGCAGCCTTGGCCCGTGCTGGACACGAGCGCAGGTAGCGTGCATCCATCGCATGCCGCAGGAGGATCAGAGGTAAGATGTAGTTGCTGGCTTTTCTACTGCACTGAACTGAACTGTGCAGTACTGCAGGTACTGTAATCTCACCGCGGTACCATGGTACCGTAGCATTCGCACGAGTCAGTGGGAAATCGCTGAGCCCGCCCGATGGCATCATGCGCAGGGGCTTGGACTCTTGCTCACGTCAAACGTGCCCACGAACCAGAAAGAGGAGTACTGCATAGAAGAAGCGAACATGGGAGACATGCGGGAAAAAGAGAACTGACATTCGTCATGGTTCGCCCGATGTCTGTTTCTTTGACGAACAAGCACAAAGTACAACTGACTGACCGGCGACCTCCGAGGCAGGGCATGACTGAACGATGACGCTGGAGTAGTACGAGTCGTCTCGCCAGAGGCCCCACAGTCGTAGCATGAAGCGAGTTGACGAGATTTGAAAAGTGGCACTGGGCAAAAGCCATGGATCGAAGAAGCCCCACTGGGCTCTGGTTCCCTTGCTTCACTTATACTGCCAATACCAGGCCAAGACACTTCTTCGGGACAGGGAGGGTGTTCGTGCAGTCAGGACCACATCTGATCTGCAGGTGTAGCTATACACGAATTTCGAGACGCCAGCGAACGTCTTTCATGCGAAAGACATGCACCATTGTCAAGCGGAGTGCCGACTCGCAGACGCCACCCGCTCTCGAAAGCAATGACCACTTCACCGTCGTGCAGGCGGAAGGCGCCCGAGACAGCGCTCGGAATGGCGGAGGTTCATCGCCCACTTACCGAGCGTCTCTACCGCGCGCGCGGTGCAGGTATTGTATGCACGTGCGGCGGCACTGGGGGCAATACGTAGTGAATGGCGTCCCGGCGGCCGCACCGGCCAACAAACCACCTGAGACCCCCAGACCTTCAACGGGCTTCTGCGGCAGGTCTGGGGCACACGACACGGACCAGAGGGCGGCGATGGCGGCGCCTGCGGCGCGGGCAAAACCTTGCGTGGCTGAATCGTTCCGCGGTCGCAGGCTGCGGCTGAACCAGGCCGTGGAGAAACAGGCGGGCGGCTCGTACGACAGGCACAGCACGTAGGTATGCGCGGGATCTTGCCGCGCGGGCTGAGGGTTCTTGAGCATCACCGGGAGGGGGTAAAGGACGACTTCACGATGGCGCGGAATCGGCTTCGCGCAGCCATTCCGGTCGGTGGTGCGGGCACGCTCCCACGCCCACTCGGGTTACCCGATTGTGCGCTTGGCGATGTTCGAAAAGAGACTCGTCGAACAAGAAGCAACCCCAATTTGGAAGCACACTTGTTACAGTCACAACTCGGCAAAGTACTGAAACCGTAGTACACACAACAGCGTCCCCCATCGGGCTCTCGTACAGAAACCCGACGTCACGGGCAGCAAGCAAGCAAGCAAGCACCGCCCGGCAGTGCTCGACCCAACTGCAGGGCGGCGCCGGGAGTCATGGGCCGATGCTGCCTCGTCCCGTTGGCCAGTGAGCACGTTTGCCGTTGCACGGCAGCGGCAGCAGGAGCAGCACGGGCGAGTGGGTGTGTCTCGCAGGTGGAGGAGGGGGGGATGTCAGGTCGATGGGAGAGCCGGGCCAACTTGCTAGCTGCCGAGATGGGGCTCGCGGGTGTGCCATTTTTGCACGGTAACGGTAGTGCCCCAAGTACATACATACATACATATCGTACTGGACTGCGCGTACATGCGGCAATGTAAAGCATGTTTCTCACTGATCGAGGGACGAGCGTGCGGTTACGACGCTGCTGACGCCATGTAAGCCGTGTGTGAGTCAGTCAGTTGCGTGCATCGTCGTACATTGTGTCTGTCAGTCGTACAAGATGCCTGCCTGCCAGGAGGGACCGACTGCCGTCGCGCCGTATATCCGAGCTCGAGGCGAGGAGGAACGGACACAGGGCCGAGCAGGGCAGTAGTACCTTATGTACCGAGTTACTTGCAGTCGTCATCGCCGGGCGCGGCTCGTCGTGGCCCCGTTGCTGACGTCCGAGCTCGTCGGACTCGCGCATGGCTGGCGGTTGTGCGACCAGGCGACGCCGCGAAGGGGCCACTGGCTGTGGCCGCAGCGGGCAGGGATCTGGAAAAAGACGACGACGATGGGAAGCTTGGGGTTCGTTCGTTTGTTCTCTGACAGCGAGAGGTGGCTGACTGGGATGCTGGATGGATGGATGAATGGTTGGAAATGCTGGGGTTAAGACGCCAGTTAAGCCCGGCCTCGGCCGAGGCGGGCGGCCCCACCTCGAACTTTCACTTTTCGCCTTCACTTTCCAGGCCCCACCGGACATGAGCTTCCCAAACATCAGACAAGGTGGAGGACATGGGACATGGGCGTCCATCCCGCCGGGCACGCACCGAGCTGCGAGCCCAGGGGCGTTCCTATGGGGCCGGCCTCATCAACCCCCCACACCGCCACAACCGTTGTCTCATGCAGCCGCGAAAGCCATGGCATGCGATGCGCTGGGGGGATGGAGACGCTCGCGTTCGCGTTTGTCAGCCTCCTCCCGTCTGGTCAATCAACCCGACGGGGCATCTCTGCTGACGACGCGCATATGTCGTCGTCGCCGTTTCGTTTTTTTTTTTTTCCTTTACCGTCCCCTTTGTTGTCTAGTGCGGTACTGTACAGTAGGTACTCTACGTACTTCAGACATGGACCCCCTTCAGGTTCCCACCGGCTCGCGGCTCGGCTTTTGACCTTCCTGCCTGCCTGCCCAACCGCGGAGGAGGTGGAAGGGGCCATGGACGCAACGCAGCGCATCGCACCTGCCGCTGCACGTCTGCGTCGCGCCTGCCCGTTCGTTTGCTCTGCCGTTTGCCCGTCGTGCTCGCCGATTGCCCGATGCGGTTTAAAAGCGGGCCGCGCCGTTGCTCAAACTCAACGGGGGCGCCTGTAATACTTGTGAATGACGCTTATATGCAGGCACCTTGCTTTGTAATTGGAAAGAAAATCACTGCAGAGAGAGAGCGGACTCTGTGCGATGCGCGGCGGCGGCGCAACCTGCGCGTGTGGGAAAGAAAGCAACTGGGTGCTGGCTGGCTGGCTTTGGTGCTAAAAAGCCCCGACTGGAGGAGGAGGGGGTGGCCGCCATTGTCGTCGTGGGATTGTCACCAGACGGCGCTGGGGGGAACGCCCACCACCTCATGCCACGAGGAGTCATGCATGGAAGGGGATGGGAGTCGGCCATCGGCGCTCGTGGGATGCCGGCATGGCTCGGATTCCGCAGCGGCGCTGGCTGCTGGTGGCAGCAGGGCGGTGCGGTGCGGGTCTGGTGCTCCGTCCGTTGGGTGGGCTTTATGCTGAAAGCGGCAACCGCCCAGCAAGCCCATCCATCCTGTCCACGGGGGGTGGCACAGAGGCGTGAAGAAGAGTGGGCGCCCTCTCTGTCCGTGCCTCTGCTCTGCCTTTGCCGCTCTCTGCCTCTGGCCCCCCGAGACCCACTCGGATGTAGTTTGGTCTGGTCGACGGCACGCCTTGCCGTGAAGAACATGGTTCCTTGTTCGCAAGCGACGGCTGCTTAATAAAAAGTCGACCAGTCCCCCTCTTCTTCAACCTCGCCGCACGGAGGAATCGAGCTGTCATCGTCATCAGGCTTTCTGTTACCTCTCACAACTCGCTTCTTTGTTCCCCCAGAAGACGTTGAAGAAGTTCTTTGTCGAAATTCTTTGTCTGAGACAACCAACCCCGGGGGCTTGTTTGTTCGTTTCCTGGGAGAGAGCGAGAGAGGGGGCGTCTGAGTCAAGTCTCGCGTGGGCGCTGCTGGAACAAGCAAACGGACAAAGAGAGACACAAAAAAAACGGCGACGCCACGCCGCCACACCAGCAGTGAGTGAGCCATGCCTCACATACCGTCCGTTACCGAAGGGCGCGCCAGCTCCGACGGCACGCTCAACCAGGATCGCGACACTGTCCTCGACGAAAAGGACGCCCATCACCATGCCTCCGGGGACGAAAAGGTCGGCTCCGAGGCTTCAGGCACCGTCGCCTCACCGGCGTCCGTCGACGGCACCGTCACCACGGCCGCCGATCCGCCTGCGCCGGACAAGCAAACCTCCCCAGCTGCACCGGCAGAACCCGAGGCTCAGCGCACGAAAGCGGAAACCACGATTGTGATGCTCGCCCTCGCCATCAGCCTGTTCCTCGCCGCCCTGGACATGACCATCATCACCACGGCCGTACCGACCATTTCTTCTGAGCTCAAGTCCAGCGCCGGCTACGTGTGGATCGGTAGTTCCTACCTCTTGGGCAACGCCGCCTTCGTCCCCATGTGGGGCAAGGTCTCGGATATCTTTGGCCGCAAGACGATTCTCATCTGCGCTGCCGTCGTCTTCCTTGTTGGCTCCGCAATCTGCGGTGCCAGCGTCAACATGGGCATGCTCATCGCTGCCCGTGCCATCCAGGGCGTTGGTGCGGGTGGCTTGATATCGCTTCCCAACATTGCCGTTTCCGATCTGTTCTCGCAGCGACGCCGTGCCAAATACCTGGGCCTGCTTGGAGGTGAGTTCCCACTTACATGGCTCTCTCTTCCTTGCCACCATGCACTGACTGTCATCTCGCAGCTGTCTGGGCCATTGCCTCTGCCGTCGGCCCGCTTCTGGGCGGCGCTTTCACGTCCAGGGTCTCCTGGCGATGGTGCTTCTACATCAACCTCCCCGTTGGCGGTGTCGCCCTCGCCGTCATCATCTTCGTCCTCAAGCTGCACAACCCGCGGACCCCCTTGGTCCAGGGCCTCCGGGCCATCGACTGGATCGGCAGCTTGCTCATCGTCGGTGGCACGCTGATGCTCCTCCTCGGTCTCGAGTTCGGCGGCAACACGCACCCGTGGGCCTCGGCAACCGTCATCTGCCTCATCGTCTTCGGCGCCGTCACCATCGGCCTCTTTGCCGTGTACGAGGGCCGAATCGCAAAGTACCCGCTCATGCCACCTTCTCTCTTCCAACATCGCTCCAGCATTGCGGCATACTGCGTGTCTTTTATGCACGCCTTCACCTTCATGGGTGGCAGCTACTGGCTGCCCCTCTACTTCCAGTCGGTTCTTGCAGCCAATTCTCTGCTCTCCGGCGTCTATCTGCTGCCGTTTGTCTTGTCGCTATCGATTACTTCTGCGCTCATTGGCATAGTTATCAAGCGAACGGGCAATTACAAGATTCCCATTCAGGCAGGGTTGTTGATTATGACACTGGGGTTCGGCCTCTTCATCGACCTCGGATCGGACAAGAACTGGGCCAAGATCATCATCTTCCAGATCATCGCCGGCTGCGGCGTCGGCCCGAACTTTCAATCGCCATTGCTGGCCATCCAGAGGAGCGTTGAGCCTCGTGAGATCGCCGTCGCGACATCGTCCTTCGGCTTCACCCGTCAGATTGGCACCTCCATCTCGGTCGTCGTGGGCGGCGCCATCTTCAACAACAGAATGAGGCAGCAGCACCAGTCGCTGGTGCCTGTGGTTGGCCAGCGGCTCGCTGATCTCTTTGGCTCTCAAAGCGCCGCAGGAAGCGTCGACATTGTTCGGTCTCTGCCCGACGCGTTGAAGACGCCGGTCGAGGAGGCGTACTGGAACGCCATCAAGTACATGTATGTGCTTTACTGCTGCACCGCATTCATTGGACTCTTGATCAGCTTCGGCATCAAGCAGAAGGCGCTGAGCCAGACGCACACGGAGCACAAGACGGGACTGGAGTCTCTGAAGCGCCGGAACGAGGACCAGGCGCCGCCTGCCGACGAGGAGAAGAAGGTTGGCAACTAAGAAGCGAGATGGACAAGAATTGCATTTTAAGCATCTGCATCAAAAAAGATTTTCAGCATGGAGCAGGCGTTTTTGGCAACCCGTATGGGATGGTTGCCCGGTTTTGTACGTACATACATGGCATGGAAAGCTCATATATATGTGGATTGGTGTGATAATTGTCCTTGACAACTCTACGTGACTGCGGCTCTCGAGAGAACCTACAGGGGATCAAATTCCATCCAAATACTCGTCGTGCAATAGGTATCGAATATCTGCCACTGATGGTTCAACGTATTTCAGCAAGAAACAATAAAGCTGGTGACATATCTCAAGTCCCGGGTATGTTGGTGTCGTGAGGCGCGTCACGTAAGGGCGACCCGAGTGGGAAGCAGGAATCTTAGCGATTCGCTACAACGCACATCGACGGCTCCGGACTTCTTCCACATCCGTCTTTGCCAGCAGGGGATTTTGTTAACACCTCGACTCGTTTGGGATCCGTCAAACCTGTTTTGGTCGAACTGAGAGTGCAGGAGGTGAGCCACACTGTGGCTGGACACGCGTTGCCGGGGCGACCTCGGGCCGGGTGTGGCTGCGACCGCGCACTAACGCGGCAGGCATGACCTGTATTTACCTTTTTGTGTACCTGCGGCGCATGGACCCCCTCCCGGATGTTCAAGGATTACACCGCAGCCCTGGCTCGCATACAACCTCGCACCACCATTCTCAGCCCTAACCATCTGCTCGCGGGCCAGCCACCCCAGCTTCGCGCCTCTCTACTCCTGTATTCTCTACCGTCGTCGCGTCCATCACCGCTGCGCTTTCGTGTTTACCAGCTGGAGGGATCTCCAGCAGCGCGTTCACGCTGGCTTTCCGACGACAAACGCGCTCCGACCGGGAGCTGGGCCGGTCGGCAATGGGCTCCAGCGTGCGCGCCGGCAGCTCCGCCATGAGCCGACCCAGCATCAGACCCGGCGGCATCAGGTCATCGTCAATACGACACGCGTCGTCGACACTGGGCGTACCCAGAGGCGCGGCGGCCGACCGCTCCGGCGCCGTGTCGCCCGCCGATACCGTCTCGACCTCATCGGGGATGAAGCGCAAGGAGCGAGATTTCGACTCGGAGGCTGGAGGCGAAGAGACAAACATCAATGTCGTCGTGCGTTGCAGAGGGCGCAACAGCCGCGAGGTCAAGGAGAACAGCACCGTCGTCGTCAGCACAGACGCGGTCAAGGGCAAGCAGGTTGGGCTGTCCATGGGCGCCAACGCGCTGAGCAACAAGACGTACAACTTCGATCGCGTCTTCTCCCAAGCGGCGGACCAAAACATGATTTTTGACGATACCGTCAAGCCCATTCTGGACGAGGTGCGTAAAACGCGAGAAACCCTCGCGCGCTGCTCCCGTTGCTGACCAGCTCTAGATGCTCGCCGGGTACAACTGCACCATCTTTGCATACGGCCAGACCGGCACCGGAAAGACGTACACCATGTCGGGCGACATGACGGAGACGCTGGGCATGCTTTCCGACGAAGCTGGCATCATTCCGCGCGTGCTGCAACAGCTCTTCAACAAGCTCGAAATCGACGACTCAGAAAACTGCGTCAAATGCTCCTTTATCGAACTGTACAACGAGGAACTGCGCGATTTGTTGTCTATCGAGGAAAGCGCCAAGCTCAAGATTTTCGATGACGTGTCGCGCAAGGGCCATGCCGGCACCATCATTCAGGGAATGGAGGAGAAGCACATCAAAAACGCCTCCGAGGGTATCAAGGTGCTTCAGGATGGCAGCTTGAAACGCCAGGTTGCGGCGACAAAGTGCAACGACCTCAGCTCGCGAAGCCACACGGTTTTCACCATCACCGTCTACGTCAAGAAGCCCAACGAGAACGGCGGGGACGACTTTGTCAGTGCCGGCAAGCTCAACCTTGTGGACTTGGCGGGTAGCGAGAATATCCAGCGATCCGGCGCGGAGAACAAGCGTGCGGCCGAGGCTGGGCTCATCAACAAATCCCTTCTGACCCTCGGTCGCGTCATCAACGCACTCGTCGACCGAAGCTCGCACATCCCTTACCGAGAGTCGAAATTGACCCGCCTACTTCAGGACTCGCTCGGTGGCCGGACCAAGACGTGCATCATCGCGACGATATCGCCCGCTAAGAGCAACCTCGAGGAGACGATATCGACGCTTGACTACGCGTTCCGCGCAAAGAACATCAAAAACAAACCCCAGATGAACCCGATGCTCAACAAAAAGATGCTTCTCATGGAGTTTGCAAACGAAATCGAAAAACTCAAGAGCGAGCTCATCTCGACGAGGCAGCGCAACGGCGTGTACCTCTCCAACGATGCCTTTGAGGAAATGACGGCCCAGAGCGAATCCCGGCGAATCGTCGTCGAGGAACAGACGGCCAAGATCGAAACGCTGGAAACGAATTTGCGCAACAAGGCCCACGAGCTGCTGTCCCTCACCACCTCGTTTATGGGACTGAAGAAGGATCACGAAGGGACCAAGGCTCAGCTGAACGACGCCAGCGACGTGCTCGAACAAACCGAGATTGTCCTGTCGGCTACGCGCAAGACCCTGGCCGAGGAAACGCGCCGGCGAAAGGCCCACCAGGAGACGGAAGGCAAACTCACCGAGATTGGCGGAGAGCTCATCAGTAAGCTTAACAAGACTGTGAATGACGTTGGCGGCCTCCATGCGAAGAACAAGCGCAAATCGGACCTGCAGTCGCTGAACCGCGTCGCCTGGGGCACGTCACAAAGCCAGGTCGCCGACGTCACGTCGATGGTCGAGCGGCGGGTCCAAGAGTTCCAAGACGAGCAGCTCGAGCACATTTCCAGTGTCCGGAACCGGATGCAGGACTTTGTTGAAGAGGAGCTGCAAAAGCTGTCTACCACGCAAGCCTTCTTGGACAAACACCTCAACGAGTTTGTCGAGTCTAAAAAGGACATGCTGGAGAGGAAGCAGGCATCCAAGGACGACATGGACGAAGTGCTGGAGGAGATTAAAGACATTCGCGACAATGTCAAGGAAAAGACGGGGGAGAGCCTGCATGCCATCTCGAATGCGGCGGAGAAGATCTCGGCAGATGTCCTGCAAGAGATGACCAACTTTCACAGCACAGTAAGTCTGTCGGTAGCTCGTGCCAGAGGGCCACATGCTAACACTCGTCAGCTGCACACGTCCTATAGCTCCCTCGGCAAGGACTTCAAAACCCTTTTCGAAGATCTCGTCAGACACGTCACGGCGCAGCGCAGCGAGACAGATAATCTCCGACGCCAGCTGCAAGGCGCGCTCAACACCATTGTTCTACAAAATGCAAGCATCTCTACTCGAATCCAGGAGGCCTTGGAAGAGGAACGACGACAAGCCGCCGAAGACCGCTCAAGACTGATGACGCAGATCACGGCCCTAATCAACGCCCAGGCAGAGTCGCAAGATGCGCGCATGGCCGACAAGGCATCCCAGATCCAAAAGACGGTGTCTGAGTCCTCAACATCGCTCGAGGCAGCAGCAACACAATACGGACAAGGCATGGATTCGTGGGATGAAAAGGAAGGCGAGTTGCTGGACGAGGTTAAGAAGATGCGAGACCAGCTCAAGACCAGACTCAAGGACGATTGGACAACGACGAGCGAGCAGAGCATGGCGATCCAGAACTCTGTCCGCTCTGTGCACGCCGAGACGGTCCGCGTGGTGGACGAGCAGGTCGAACACCTCGACACGCAAATGGAGGCCCTCGACGACTTTGTCACCCGAGCGCGGTTGGAGAACGCCAGCCATCACGAATCGCACGGACAGTCGGTCCAGGCGCTGTCAAACACCGTCGAGCAGTCGTTTGGTAACATCGCGGCGCACTTCAAGACGACGTTTGACCGCGTCAAGAACCTGGGCGAGGAAATGGAGCTCGACACGACCGACTTGCAGGATGGGCTGGAGCCACTCCAGACGCAGCTTTGCCAGCCTCTTTCCAATCTTCGTGACGGCATCACCTCCACGTCTCTCCATGAGTACCAGCCCACCGGCGAAACTCCTCAAAAGGTGTTATACACTTATCCGAAGACCTTGCCGCGGACGGAATCGCCCGTTGCCGGTCTCTCGCAGTTTGAGGAGCCTTCAGACTTGGGGGAGGATCATGAAGAAGAAGAGGAGGTCCAGGACAGCATTCTCTTCCCCGAACTGGACCCGAACCGGAAGATGAGCTCGCCGCTGTCGCAGCGACGCCCATCCAACGCTAGCAGCTTGGACAAGAACCCGCTGAGTATGAGTTTGCGCGAGGTGAACCCCAACGTAACGACGAATCTAACGACGGGCGCGATTGGCTTTGACCCTAGCATGAGCACCATGTCTCTGCAGTCAGACCACACCATGCCCATTCTGAAGAGGAGCACGCGGCCTGGGAGAGGGAGGAGGGGATCCATGATTGTCGAGGGGAGAGAGAACCTCCCGCTGACAACGGAGGTGTTTGCGCAGGGTATGTCGAGGAGAAAGAGCCCGAGGCTAAACTGATTTGGTATTGAACATGAAGCTGCTCGCAAGCGCTGGTGTTGGGCGGATGCAGGTTTTGCCGGCGTTTATCGGTACTCATGGCATGGGAACTCGGGGCTCAGAGGTTGGGCGTCTTTTTTTCTCTTCACGGGCGGGGAGCAGGAAGCTGTTGGGATTATATTGCAGGGTTATTGAGCACTTGAGATACCCTTGAGCATTGTTGAGGATTTGTATATTTCTTCCACTAGGAATCACTGGGCCATCAAGCCAGATCTACTTTGTACATGCTTGCTACTATGAACTGCCATGTCTGCGTAGCCGCGTTCCCGCAATGCGTCCATCAAGACGACTCGTCGTCTGCCGCCTCGTCATCCCCGTCATCGTCGACGACGTCGTCACTGCTCTGCGGACGGCTCCTCGACGCGCTGCTCCGGACCGGCCGTCCGCGCCAAAACGCCTTCCTCTTGCGCTCGGCCACGTCCTCGGCGCGCCACCCGCGCCCGACCTGTATCGTGCGCAGGAACCCGTCGACGTGCACCGCGCCCACGGCCTCGTCCTCGCTGTCGCGCTCGTCTTCGGCGCCCACGCCGGTGCCGGTGCCCTCCGGGTGCACGAGGTGCATGTGCCGACGCAGGTTGGCGCGGCGAGCGAACCCCGTGGCGGCGCGGTCGCACGTCGACACGGGGCAGAAGAGCAGGCCTGCGGAGGAGCGGCTGCGCGTGCGGGAGCGAGAGCCTGCTGCTGCTGCTGCCGGTGCGGAGGATGATGAGGGAGGGCGGCTGGAGGTGGAGGCCGGGGCGGGGGTTGCGGAGCGTCCGGGGGCGCGGCCGCGGCTGTGGGCGGGTGTGGATGGAGAGGAGGCGAGGGAGGCGAGGCGGCGCTGGCGGAGCGTAGGGCGCGCTTCCTCGTCGGAGGAGGATGCCGATAAGGAGGCGGTGGAGGAGAGACGGATGCGCTCCGGGCGGTATTCCGTGGTGTGGAAGCCCGGGCCGCGCGACGCGGGCGCCTCGTCGAGCCTCCTGATGACCATGCCCTCGCCGAAGAGGTCCGCACAGCGCCTCGCCGTGCGCTTGATGACATCCTCAGGGAAGCCGGCCAGCGCCGCCGCGCCGACCACGTCGCTCCAGTCGCGGAGGCCCCAGCGGCGGAGCTTACGGTCGATGTTGTCCTCGTCGTCGAGGAGGCGGCCCGGCGCAGCATCGTTGTAGGAGGAGTCCCCACCTTGGCTGCTGGGCTGCGCATCCGTATCGTCCGGTGCGTCGGATTGGGCGCCCCCTGCTGCTGCTGCTGCTGCTGCCGCGCCCGCCGTCTCGAGGCTTTTGCTCCGGCGGCGCTGGATGCGCTCGTCGCCCTGGCGCAGCCACTCCTCGAAGGCGGCGTCGCGGTCGCTCTGCGTGTAAGGCAGCCGGCGGTGGCCCTCGCGGGCGACGCGCAGGCGCATCTCTTCCTCGGTCTCGCCCTCGCGCGGGACGTGCACCTTGCGGGGACGGCCGCGGCGGCTCGTCCGCGGTTTCGTCGCACCAGCACCGTCATCGCTGGCAGCGCCGCCGGGTCGGGGCAGGCTTCGGGGACGGCCGCGTGAGCGCTTCCGCGGCGCGGCGCCCTCTGCTGCTGCTGGTGCTGCCTGCGAATCGGAGTCGGAGTCGCTTGGCGAGTCAGAGAGGTAGGAGAGGCCGGCGATGCGCGCGTTGTGCAGGATGTCGAGCGTCTTGTCGAGCTGGGAGAGGATGTGCCGCACCGAGGGCTGGAGCAGCGCGTAGGAAAGCTCGTCGTTTGTCGAGACCATGGGCTCGTACGTCTTTTCTTCCGTGACTCTCTTCGACTTTGAACGCTTCGACTGTCGCCGCCCGGATCCGTCCCCCCGCCCCGAGAAATCAGTGTCGAGCTGCATCATATCCGTGCTCTCCTCGCCAGACTCGTGCTTCACCGGCAAGGGCGGCGACAAAGGCATCGACGTCCCCTCATCGCCCTCCTCCTCCTCAACTTCGTCGTCGTCGTCGTCAAACTCCCGCTTGATGGTGCCCGGAGCAGCCGTAGATTCTATCGACGCCCGCACCGGCTGCCACCGCTTGCGCTTTCGGAAGCGCTCCTTTGCGAGCCGCAGAATCGCCGCGCCCAGTTCGTCCTGCAGATCCGCGCTCGGCAGATCCCTCGTCTCGTCACGGCGTATCGTAAACTGCTCGTCCTCGTCGTCCTGCCGCTTGACGAGATGTTCCCGCGGGACGTTCTTTTCCCTGAGCGGCCAGGCGGTCCACTGCTTGGGCGGCGCCCATACCGCCTCCTCTCCATCTTCCTACATCTCTACCGTCAGCACACGCTCCTCCTCGACACCAGCGCCGCACCAAGCACACGCAAGCACTGGCGACAGCGAAGAGTAAAGGGGAAAACACCCACCGTCTGTATCGTGAGCATGCGCGCCGTCGCCGGGTCCCTGCCCTGCCGCTTCAGCGCAAAGGCGTCGTACAGATGCACGCCCAGGTCCTGGTGCTCGAGCTGCCGCATCGACCGCCACAGCTGCCGCTCCTCCGCCGTGAGCGTGCGCCACGACGACTTGGGCCCCGTCCAGCGGTTCGGCCGGTTCTGGTAGAGGTCCTCGGAGGCGACCGACGCGATCTCGTCGCTGTCGAGGTCCCATTTCGCGGGCCGTTTGCCCTCATCCATGGTTGACATGACGGCGGCCCGCAGCCGCGGAGCCCGCTTTGCAAAATTCTCAGTTTGCGATGAACGGCTTCATTCGTTGGCAGAATTTGAGATGGATCTCACGCGAGAGCGAATTCACTTCGTTGTAGGGCGGGAGTGTGGTTGCGACTGACTGGGCTGATGTTTGGTGAGTGTTGAGTGAAGGTGCAAGTCACTGGAGCGTGTACGTCAAAGTTTGTACGCTTTAGGCTTCGTCAGTGATCACACACACCCAACGCCACACCAACAAGCCGCACCACTCGGACGCATCACTTTCGACATTCAATGAGATTGAACCGGATTTAGATCTATGAAATGGTATTTACAGTAGCCCAAAATTTACGCCTTGCCCTTGCCCTTTTCCTTTTCCAGCTTTCTCCGCTTCGACCGCAGCTTCTGGTCCTCAGCGCTCTTCTTGTTATTAGTGTAGATCATCTGCTCGTAGAGCTTCCGCTTCTTCTTGCTCAGCATGCCCTTGGCCCGTTCCAGGTCTTCCGCCTCTTCGCGGGCCTTCTTGTTCAACGCCTTCTTGGCGTCCTCCTTGGCCTGGGCCTTGGTCTTGGGCTGTGTCTTGACCGAAGCGCCCGTCAGCTCGGCCTCGAGCTCCTTCTGCCGGGCGTCTGCTTCATCCTCATCCTCGTCCTCATCAGCGTCCTCGGCCTCGACTCCGTCCATGTCATCCTCATCACCCTCCTCGTCGGCCTCGTCTTCCGACCCTGCAACGTCCATGCCCTCCGCGGTCTCGTCGGCATCAGCGTCCGCAGCCTCCAGAGCCTCTGCCTCGGTCTCCTGGTCCTCGAGGGGCATCGTAGGGTCGTAGGCGCCTTGCACCTTCCTCACGAAAGGACTCAGGTGGGGTGGCAGCGAGGCACCAGGGGCGTACAGGTGCGGCTCCTTGAGCTCCTCGTCGTTGACGCTGTCCCAGACCCACTGGGGCTGGACATATGTCCGTCCAGGAACACGGCGGTTCGCTGCCAGTTTCTGCGAGGTCTGGTTGTCCTCCGCATCCTCGTCCTCGTCGGCCACGGCTTGTATCGGGGGCCGATCGACAATCTGATGTGTGATTGACGGGTCCAGTTCGTTGGTTGTGAAAGCGCCATCTCCAAGGACGGCATCCCAACCAACGCGCTTGCAGCCAAACGACTTGAGAAGGAACTCGAGGGGTTGTCGGGGAGTTTCGCGGGAAAGGTAAAAGGTGCAGTTGGCGAAAAGCGAGTTTCCACTGCCTCCGGCAGCCGCAGGTTGGGGCAACTCATCGCCACCCTCTGCAGCCGGCTCGAACTTGTCAATGGCCTCGTTGGTGGCTTCCTCGGAGACATCCTCGTTGCCGTTCGCTTCAGTCGGCTCCTCAGTGCCCTTGATGGTCTTGAGGACCTTGTTCACGGCGGCCTGGACCTTGGGATCAGGCTTGTGGGGCGCATCCTCGAGCTGCTTCGCCTCCTCGACGCCCATGAGCGCCTTGCCCTCAAGGGTGAAGGCACCGAGTTCGGCGGCGTTCTCGTCCTTGACCGCGTCGAACTTGGGAGGGTACTTGAGGCCAATGGCCGTGTAGAGTCGGAAGTTGACGAATCCAAGCAGCGTCATGTAGAACTCGACAAAGGTACCCATGATCCTGAAGTCGACGTCACCGACGATGCGCTGGTTGAACTTGTACGGCACCAGCCAGAGAATGTCCTGGCCCTGAATGTTGGCCTGGTAGTAGATGCCCTTGATAGACAAGAAGGACTTGGTGACGGCCTTGGAGACGATGAGATAGTGCTGGAACTCGAGGCACACGCGCTCGCACCGCGCAATCATCTTGGCAGGGACGCTGGAGGTGGATGGCAGGTTCGCAAAGAGGAAGAGCATGGACAGGCAGTCGTCCAGGTCGCGCAGCGCATCGACAAACGTCGGGTAGCGCTCACGAATGACATGGTCGAGCGTGTACAGCGGCTTGCCGGTCTTGTCGGGCCTGGCGGCGTTGCCCTCGAGTCGCTTCGCATCGCCGACGTCGCCGCGGCCGAGAGCGCGGGAGATCTTCTTCTCGAGGACCTTTTGGTCGCGGAACTTTTGCAGCAGCGGCTCGTGCAGCAGGTATTGGATGTCCTTGGCGTAGTAAAAGGTCGTGGAGCTGGTCGACGACTTGGAGACCTTCTTCTTGCTCCGGGGCTCGCGCGGGTAGATGCCCTTCCAGATGCACAGCTTGCGGAAGTCGGGCAGGCTGATCTGCAGCTTGCGGATGGCCTGGTTGCGCGTGACGTAGTTCTTGGCCGCGCCGGCCTGGCCCTTCTTCTGTATCCGCGGCATTGTGTCGGATCTGTGCCTGGGTGACGCCGCAATTGATGTGTCGTCGTCGTCGGTGGTTGTTCGTCGCAGGACAGGCGGCGGGGCAGACGGCGGCAGCAGCAGAGACGGAAGTTCGACTTTTTTTCTTTGGCTCTGGGCTTCGGAAATTTTAATGCCGTCGTCCACCGCCTGGTCGAGGCCTACACAAGCGGCCTAGCGGCGGGCAGTTGCGACGCCTGTTGGCTCACCGCCCGCGGGCGCGACAGGGTCCACTGGAGGCCCACATTGCGGCCTGCATTCATGGATCTTGGGGGAGAGCGCGCTGAAGGAACGCGCTGAGCCCCCCGCGAGGCTCCAGCTGGAGGCGTCGGCCCGGGCTCCGGCGGGCGCGGACTGGATGGCCAAGTGGCCTCCAGCTCCGACCTCCCTCACGTCGGACCCATCGCCAGCTGTGCTTCGGCCGTCACGAGCTCGCGCGCGTCCGTCCACCTCCCTCCTTCTCCTCCTCCTCCCGCTCAACTTAACCCCCCCACCGCTGCGCAATGGCCTGAGAGATGCCATGGCCGCGACCACCACCATGACCTTGCGAGGCAGAGCCGGCGTCTACGCGGGCGCCGCCCTGCTGCGACTCGTCCTGACCCTTGCCTTCCCCGGACTCCCAGACCTCTTGACTGGCCGCGTCGAGATCTCGACCCCTGTCACGAGCTTCAAGCGCTGTAAGCCTCGCATCGCGTGCCACCCGGACAACGCCCTTTCCCTTTCTTGACGGCTGTTTGAAGACAAGGAGATGCTGACGCCGATGTGATTCTCTCCAGTGCAAGAAGGACTCTTCCTCTACAACCACAACGTCTGGCCGTACGATGGCGGCGTCTACCACCAAGCGCCGCTGCTGCTCCCCCTCTTCTCGCTGCTCCCCGACGTCAAGGCCTGGCCCATATTCACGTCCCTGCTCTACATTGCGGTGGACCTGCTGAGCGCGGACGCGCTGGCGAGGATTGCAGATTCGGGTGAGGCGGGACAGTCGAGACTATTTACATCCCCGCGACGGGCTAAGCGCGCGTCCGGACTGCTCGTGGCCGCGGCGTGAGTTTGCCTCTTCTTCGCCTCCAGCTCTGGCGGCGTGTGTCTGCGCGCGTGCACTGACGGACATGCCCAGGTTTCTCTTCAACCCCTTCACGATCGCGACCTGCATCGGCCGCTCCACAAGCGTCTTCACAACATGCGCCATCCTTCACGCCATCGCCAAGGCCATCTCCGGCTCTCCCTTCAACGCCATGGTCGCCCTGTCGTTCGCGTCGTACCTCTCCATGTACCCGCTCCTCCTCCTGCCGCCGCTCGTCCTGCTGGCCTTCGACCGCCAGCCCGAGAAGCGCCGGGCGACATGCATCGCCAGGTTCGCCGCCAAGTGCGTCGTCGTGGTGGCGGGCTGCCTCGGCGTGCTGCTGGGCATGTCGTTTGCCCTGACGGGCAACTCGTGGGAGTTCCTCGCCCGCACGTACGGCATCCAGCTCACACTCTCGGACCTGACGCCCAACGTCGGCCTCTGGTGGTACTTCTTCATCGAGATGTTCGACTCGTTCCGCGCCTTCTTCCTCGCCGTCTTCTGGCTGCACCTGTCCGCCTACGTCGGCGGCCTCTCCATACGCCTGCGCGCCCAGCCCCTCGTCGTGCTGACGCTCCTGCTGGGCATCTTCGCCATCTTCAAGCCCTACCCGTCCATCTCCGACACCAGCCTCTTCCTCGCCATGCTGCCCCTCTACGGCCACGTCCTGCCCCTCATGCGCTACACGTACGTCGCCTCGGCCACGATCCTGTACGCGACGTTCCTCGGCCCGGCCTTTTACCACCTGTGGATCTACGCCGGCAGCGGCAACGCAAACTTCTTCTACGCCATCACGCTGGTGTGGAGCCTGGGCCAGAGCCTCCTGGTGTCGGACTTGACATTTGCGGTCTTGCGAGACGAGTGGGAGGTGGAGCGGCCCGAGATGACTGGCAGGGAGGTCAAGCAGATATAGGGCGAGCTCGTCATAAGAAGACAGACCATGGACAAAGAGTTCATTCTGCCATAAAGTCTTTTGTAACAACACTAGCATCACGCCGCCATAGATGTGGTCACAAAAAATAAATGCAAGCGAAAGCATATTGATTGAGAAGGAAAGGGTATCTTTACTTTTGAGTGCTACTCGTACAACGGCCTCCGTCTAGTCTAACTCGGAATCTACCTCTACAAGCTGGCCATTGCCAGGTTGTGCCGCTGCCGACCCCATCGGTTGGCTCTCGTACACGCCCATGGCGCTGTTCAGCATAGAGCCCAGATCGCCAAACTGGCTAAGTTTGGACGTTCCTCTCTGCGCCCGCCACAGCTGCGACCTGGCACCAAACGGCTGCAACGTCTTGTACGCATGGTACCCGTATCCCAGCGCCGCGCCGGTGGCCGCCAGCGCCATGAACAGCACCACGGCGCGCTGGTCGATCCCGGTGGTGCCCTTTTCGGCGCGCTGCCGCATCTCGTTGGCATAGTGGTCGCCCACCCCGGGCGTATGCCGGATGACGGAGTCCAGCACACGCGCGCTGGACGTGAGCAGCGACGGGACCTCAGGTGCTGCCCAAGGCAAGTCGGTCGGCAGCATATCGTCCACAAACTTGACCAGTCGTGGCATTTTTGTCTCCAACAGGTCTCGGAGAAAGGACCGTGGAACCTGGGGCTTGACCATGAGGGCAAGATAGCCATATGCCAGGCAGTCGAGAGTGGAAACCTGTGTCTCGTCGAAGAAGCGCGGGTGCTTCTCGTCGCTGCCGCCCTCACTCATGAACTTGTCCAGCGTCGTGAGGCAATCTTCGGCGAGCCCCAAGAGTCTGATGGCGACTATCTGTTCGGGTGTCATCTCCTCGCGGACAGTCTTTTTCGCTCTTGTCAAAGGGAGATGCCTCCTGAACGTCTCGGGCAGGGCATCTCGCCCAGCGCTCAGGTGAAGTCCAGCATTGGGATCAAAGTCCGTGTCCAGCTCGGCGAGCCCCAGGTGTTCGACGCGCTTGATAGCCTCGGCACGTATGAGCGTCGGCACCGTCCACGTCAGCGGGAACGAGAGCAAGGCGCTGTACGCGGGCCGTGTGGTGGCGGCCCAGTTGGCGGCCGAGGCGTAGAGTGACAGGTCGACGAGGGGGGCCGCGTGGGCGTCCAGGTATGTCATGAAGGCGAAGCATTCGTCCTGCTGGACCTCAACGAGGCCCGTGTTGAGGTCCGGCAAGAGTGACTTGGACTTCAGGTAGCCGACTATCTCGTCATAGCCGCTCGACCAGGCGCCATCATGGCACAGGGCGGGGAGGTGATCTGCGGCGCACGATGGCGGTTAGCTTGGGCTGGGGTTGCGGGAGTCAAGACCGGGGTGGCGGATTGCATTTGCGCCGGAAGCATACGTGAGGGGGCGACGACAGGAGGGGGAAGTGAGGGGAAAGGCAGAACGAAGGAGGAGACGAGGAGGAGAAAGAGTAGAAGGAGGCTGGGCGTACGGTCTGGGCAAATGGACGGGTCGTTGCTCGGTATCAAACGCCAAGCGGTGCTCGGGAGGCCCGAGTGGTGGAAGTGCGCGATGATGGCGAGGCACTCGGCGTCGATGGACGGGAGGCCAAAGGCGGGGCCCCAGACGTGGAGGTCCAGCATGGCGGCGACGTTCGGGGACGGTTCGAAGCTGCGTCTCGACGGCGTTTCGGCCTCGCGGACGGCCAACGACTCGAGCGACTTGAGGAATCAGGAGTCCCCAGGGTGGGCGGGCACGAGCTGCGGGGGCCGCTGCACGCCCCAGAATAGAAACGGCCAAGAATGCGAGGGCGATAACAAGCTGCAACGTCCGCGCGTGAGTAGCAGTGCCGCGGCTGAGGTGGTGGTGACGTGCGATGGCGGTTGAGCTGCAGCTGCGGAGGTATGCAAGGCTGCAGAGGCAAGGCAAGGCCAGGCGTTGGCGTTGGCGTCGTTGCGCGCGGCTAAACTGCGCCGTGGTTCGCGCCTCCCCCACTTCTGCTAGCTTCCGTCCCGTCGTCCGTCGTTGCGTCGCAGGGCCCAAGGTGCTCTGCCAGGTTTGTCTGCAGCTGCTCTTACGCCCGCCGGCAGCCACTGGCGCGCAAGCCACAGCGCGTAGCCACGTGATGGGTCGTTTCCTGGGGCGGGTCTCCTGGAGGGAGTCCAGGGGGGCGGAAGCTTCCGTCCGCCTTCTGGCCTGGCGCAGCACCGCCCGTGATGTGCAGACAGGATGTCTCCGTACGGCACAGCTGGAACACCCCCCGACACACCGAATGCCCGAGACTGCCCCAGAGTGTGCCCCTCCAGCAGTGCAAATTCCAGGGGTGCTTGGGGGGGCTCGACCGGACACACGACGCGCCACAGAGCCAGCGTTCGCCGGCAAACTCGGTGGGGTTGCCGTGCTTCAGACGACGGGACGGGCAGACGGACTTGACGCAGGCACAAGGAGAAAAAGCCAAGGGTTGCATCCACAGTGGCAAAAAACATGCTCTCGAGTCGGACAAGCCCCTGAAGATCCAGCCTGCCCAGAAAGGAAAAAAAGAAGACCCCTTCCAATCATCATCGTCATCATCAGTGCAAACCAAAACCAGACGCAGGGTTCGGTTCCGAAACGGCCTCCTGGACCCTATTCCCTTCAATTTGCCCATTTGCCTGCGAACCGATGGGGGGAGGCATGGCATTGGGGGCGGGCCAGAGGCTCAGGCTGGGGTCGAAACGCGAGATGGACATGCTTGCAAAGGGCGGCGGGCTCCACGGTCCACAATATACGCGAACGGCAGAGTACATGGGCATTGAGTACATTGCCATTCGCACACCGTTTCCAAAGAGTCCAAGATGGGGGGCGGAGACCAGTTGGAGGGACGACGACGACGCGCTGCTCGTTCGCGATCCTTGGCCGGGGCGCTGCGCAGATCGCACCACTGGCCGACGTCAGTGGTCAGCAATCCGCCATCACCGCCTGTTTCAAAGTGCCTTTGGGGGCAGTTCGCGAGTAGGGGGGGTTGTAGGCTTGGAGGGCCGGCGCCTTGCCTTGGGCCGCCGGCGCGACGATCGATCTTTGCCGTTCAGCTGGGCGAGGGTGCGCACGTGGACTACGGCTTGCCGGCGCGGACGCCAGCGGCAACGGCAGCGGCAACGGGCGTCGGCAACGACGGGAATTGCCTCCATCGTGAGCCTGAAGAGTCCGCCTCCCTCGAGTCATTCATCGCCGCACTACTACTAGTACCTCGGGCCCCGGGCCAGGCAGGGCTGCGCACATGTCGACTGGGTTCTCCGATTCCCCACGGGTGCCCTACAAAGTCGGCGCCAAACGGTAGTATTACTACCGGACACGTAGTCCATACCACAGAGAGTCATTGAACCTATCACGTCCTGTAGAGCGCAGAAAAAAAGAGCCGTAGCTAATTTGCCATGGGCTCCATCGGCTCGCTTACGGATTCCCATGGCCAGGGAAACCTCCAAAAACCAAGGCCGCTGACGCAACATGGCCTGCTCGGCAGCCCACCAAGTCTGCGGCGCCCCATTACGGGCCGGCAAATATACCTCTTGCCATTTGTACTAGCACCAGCCCACCCCCGGGCGAGCGCGTGATGCGTTCGATGACACGCTCATTGTCGGCCAGCGCCCAAAAGGGGAGGCCGTCTCGCGGTAGTCGAGGAACCGGTTCTTCGCAGGCGTTCCGCCCGCCGGCCAACTTGCCGGTAGCCTGTGGCTGACTTGGCGGTCCAGGTACTACACCCAGCTGTTTGGGCGTCCCGTTCGTGGCCCCCCGTGGCTGCCCCCGTGAGCCGTCTTTGAAGCTCCACCTTCCCCCCTGGGAACGTTTGCGAGACCTTGGCTGCCACGTTCGAGTAATGAATGAGGCAGGCATACTAGCACCAAGGGGCGGGCG